TCTCGAGAAAAACGCAAGCAACGCTCGAGCGCACTGCTGCGCCGTAGAGTGATCTTTTAGTACTACTATATATACCTTTGTGCTACTAACTGTACATACCTCACATTGACTCAAAGCAGCCAATGAGAATATCCCATCGTGGTGCATGCAGTGGGACCCATCATGAATGGTCGGTCGGTGGAACTGGTGGAATGCCACCGCCGTTAGCTTCCGCTGATCTCCGCGTCCATGGGAAAAGTCAGGCAAGAAGTGCCCGATTCCCGACGTCGTGGGTACCTGCCATTGGCCTCGCTACCATGCTGGCTACAATTTCCTGTGCATGCTTGTTGCACTTTGACTGTCCAGCAAACCTTCCCGTGTTGTCCCATGCCGCCGAGTACTCCCCAGAGTACTATATCTTTGCAATTGGCATGAACTGCACAGCGTATTGCATGTACATTTCCACGCAACGCTTTTCGAACGTCCTTTGCCGACGTTTGACGAAATTCAGAGGGGTTTTGCCACGTCTGTATCGTGGCGTGGCCATTGTGACCACAATGGCGTTGGTCGTCCTATCCATCTGCGACTCCATTCGATTCCCAGACGCCCATGTCGTGTCAACTATCGTGTTCTTCGTGTTCGCTTGGGTGAAGATTGCTTTAGCCCACATTGGCCGCCACAATCTCGAGCCTTTCCACGGAGCTCAGTCGCCAAATGTGTAAGAAATTGCTGCATTGTGCACTGCAATTCTTGGCCACTCACACATCTATGCGCCATAGAGATGCTATCATTGGAAGCTGGCTCATTGGGGTTGGGCTTGCGTCGTCTTTCACATGTAAGTGCTAGGTTCGCTGGGCAATTGTTGCTCATCGCCCAACCGATTTTAGTCGGCTGTGTGTACTTGGCCCGTCGCCACTTTGCCACCAAATCGTTTGCGTTTGGAATTGCCTTCGAATCCTCAAGTGAACTGGTCGCAATCCTGTGCCAGCTCTTGTACATGGGCACGCTTCCCGTCGATTCCGTAGTCGACGCCTCGTCCATCAAGGCCACATCGAAGGCCCATCGCAACTAACATAACATATTCCCTGCATGGCAGACACTGCCATGTATTACTCCTCTCGCTACTATTTATAACTCGAGGCCGCTTCATGCACATGCAAGCTCGGCCTTGTCCGGTCGAGTCCCGACCACTCTCCTTGCTTGATGATGAACTTCACCACATCGCCGTGCACGTCGACACCTCGTCCGACACCTCGTCCTGCTCATCTAGTGGTGACTCCGACGAGAATTCCAACTGCAGCGGCGACGAGAGCGACTGCGACTCGCATAGAAATCCGTCAGATTCGCTTGGCTTTGTTCCCATCCTCCTCGCAGGCATGGTTGGTGTGACGTGCGTAGGTACCGTCGCGTGGGGCTGCGTTCACCCACGCATCGATTGCCGCCTATTCTGGCCGACTTTGGCCGAAGCAGCGAGGTTTCGTCCCCAGCAATCCCTCTTCGCAGTCGGGATGCTGCTCAGTTCGCTGCTGTGGGCCACAACACTTTTGCTTTTTCACTGGCATTCTCGACTTGTGTCGGCGCATCGCCATCGCGTGTTGATCAGTGGCATTCTCCTTTGTGGTCTTGTGTCTGCCATGTCGATCCTTGCGTTGGGCTTCATGGACACACGACTTCACCTTGCTGGCCACAACAATGCAGCAGTGCTCTTCTTCACATCCAGTTGGACTACCGTCGGTCTGATCTGTCTGCTTCGGCGCCGTCTTTCGAAACCTCCTCCAAGGTAGTGGAACTACAAATCGAGCCCCTTCTAAAGCCTTCGAGACGACTGTTCTGCCCTCATGTAGTTCGATCAATGTGATTGCCGAAGGTGCTGCAGCCATTGGGTTGGTGTCTTGTGCGTTTCGTAAGGAATTTCCCCAGACTGGTGGTTGATAGACTGACAAGCTGCACTAGGTGGCGTCGCAGCACTGTGTACAAGCGAAGTTTTCCCCAATCTCTTGAGCCTATCTCCTTCGCATGTGGCTTTGGCCGAGTACGCGATCGTGGCAGCATTGGCGACGTTTGCTGCGACACTGAGCCACGAGGTGGCAGTTCTCACGCCTCTCGTGGAAGCGAAGTACTTTTCAATTCTCCAACGGGGCAAAGGAAAGTAACGTGTTGCATTCATTGTGCTTGTTCATTCAAGTAATCGACAAAATGGTTGCCGATTTGGTGGACTGCAGGAGGATGTCGATGTGAGATCTTGATGAATTGGCGGCGATGGCGACGGAGCTCCGATGCCGACATGTGATGACCGATGCACACGTATTGGACAAGCTGGTCAAGGAGAACGAACAAGGAAAATTCAACCAAACGAGATAGATAGGGTTGAAAAGGATATCTTCGTAGTGGCGTGTGGAACCTGGCAGGCATCGACGAGGTCAAACTCCCGCTGTCGAGCGATCAAGTCGTCCACGATAGCACTGGTGATAGCGTCAAGCTCTTGCAAAAACGACGTTTCGATCACAGGCTTCTACAATGGCAATGTTGTGGGAAAAGGAAGCGAGATGGTGAGTGTGTCATGTCAAAGTACCGCCTGCGTGGCCAAGCCAGCTTTGATGGTTTTGCCGTACAAAATGACTTGTTCAATGTGCTGCACAACGGGCTGCACGGTTGTATCGTCCAAACCTGGCGCGATTCGAATCAGCGGAGCGTCCCACCGGTTCTTCTCCAACGGCATTTCAAACCGAGTCGAGATGGCTTCGACCCTACTCATCAATTCAGTCTAAATGCAGTAACTCGTCAACAGAATCATCAATGGGACATACATGTCTTGAGGAAACTTGTCGCCGTCGCGGTCGCAGTTGCGCTGCTGTGACATCGCCACTGGCGTATCCACGTACACGACGCAGTGTGTCGTCGAGTTTTCCTTGGCCAAGCAGAACAGTTCATACCGACAGCCTTTGATGTAATTGAGCGAATCCAAAATAACTACGCACGATGAGCTTAAAAAGTGATTCACTCGGCTCTTCAGAACTCCTCGTGTCAGTTTCTCGGCTCGCGAATCTACGAAATGAGTCAGGTTCAGTTTGGTCGCTCGCGGTGTTTCACACACCAGCATAGGACAGACGCCGTTCAAGATGCTCGCTCTCTTCATTGACGAGGATAACATCTTTCCCAAGAGCGACGAAGTGGTCGCGCAGACGCGTCGCAAGCCAAGTCTTCCCCGCGCCGGGGATGCCGCACACAGTGACAAGCGGCATTGGCGTGGTGCAATGCAAACGCCGTTATTCGATTGGTGGAGAGAATGTCCGGATAATCCTCGAACTTGTCGGATAACGGTGACGTTTGGGCCACTCTGGAGAAAATCTTGGATCCTCGGCACCGAACAGTTAGAGACGCGCGGGCATGTTCATCTTCCTGAGCAAGAAGATAGCGATTCCGAATGGCGCTCAGTTATGCTGCTCGTCGTGGAACCCAGAGCAAGGTTGGATTGCATGTGGGGGGCAGAACGGGTTGCTGAAAGTACTGAAGCTCGAATCGGCGCCGACGAAAGACGGGAAAGGCCCTCGTGGGATTGCGGCGCAGAGCAACTTAACCATGAATCAGTCACTCGACGGCCATGCTGGGTCGGTCGTGTGCGCCACATGGAACGCCAACTACAAGAAACTCACGACATCCGACGAAAACGGACTTATCATCGTGTGGATGATGCATCGCGGTATGTGGTACGAAGAAATGATCAACAACCGCAACAAAAGCGTCGTCAAAGACATGAAGTGGAGCAGCGACGGGCAGAAAATTTGCATCGCGTACGAAGATGGCGCGGTGATCGTCGGTTCCGTGGACGGGAATCGGTTGTGGGGAAAGGAGATGAAGGTCGAATTGTGTTTTGTTGAGTGGTCTCCCGACGGCAAACATCTCGTGTTCGTCACCAAGGATGGCGACGTGAGCATCCACGACGGATCTGGCAATAAACTGAGCAACATGACGCTATACGCTGTCGACGAGAAAGACAAAAAGTACAAGATTATTGGGCTGCACTGGTATGATGGGTGTGAGGGGCATGTGAGCGATGACGCACCGACACTCGCGATTGCATTTGCCGATGGCAAGGTCCAGATCACCCGAGGACGATACGACGACAGCGCAGTCCTGATTGACACGGGGGTCGAGCTGTCGCAAGTTAAGTGGAACTGCGATGGCACTGTGCTGGCGCTTGCGGGGACGCAGACAAGCCGAGGATCGTCCGGAGAAAGCCGAGAGTTCAACATTGTTCAGTTCTACGATCCGTTTGGCCGGTACCTTCGATCGCTCAAAGTACCGGGTAGCAAGATCGAAGCGCTAGCGTGGGAAGGCACGGGACTGCGCATCTGCCTCGCCGTCGACTCGCACATTTACTTTGCCAACATCCGACCGGACTATAAGTGGGGGTACTACAGCTCCACGCTCGTCTACTCGTACAACCGACCCGACCAAGTTGAGAATTGCGTTGTATTCTGGGACACACGGTCCGACGAGCGCTACATCAAGTACGTCAAGTCGCTGGTCGCGATCAAGGCCGCGGGGGACAATGCCGTCCTCGTGTCCAGGATCATCAACGACCAGCACCAGCAATTGAGTGATGACGACGCGCCGCCTCTGCCAGCCAAACAGTTCTCCCTTGTGCTGTGCGACACGATTGGGAGCCCCGTGGAATCGAAGCTGATCGATTTTGAGGTGCTTTTCTTGACCATGACCCCTCGCCACATTATCGCCGCTTCGACCGACGCTATCTACGTGTGGCAGTATCGAACGACCGTGTCAAAACTGTCGAGCGACAACGGCAGCACCAGTAGCACCCTTCCTACCACGCGGGGCGGTCGCGAACGAATCTTCTACGTGGATGAATCGCAAGGCAACGATGTCGAGTCGTTTCGGTACGTGGAGCGGCAACTGGACGACCCGATTTGCGCGATTTGTGCCTCCGAGTCGTGGCTAGTGGTGGGGCGTGCCAGCGGTATGGTCCACTGCTTTACTCTTCCGCACATTTCCCTCGAGATGAAGTACATCGTCCCATGTCGACCGCAAATTCTCTCGTTGAACTCCAACTCGTCGCAGATGGCAATTGTCGACATCAATGGCGTTCTGACTATCATGGAGCTTGGACCATCCACGGGCAACCAGAACCCCGTCGACGCCAAGATGTTGGCGTTTGAGAAGAAGGACGTGTGGGATGTCATGTGGGCTGACGACAACCCAGAGCTGTTTGTCATGATGGAGAAGGCGCGCATGTACGTATATCGAGGGCTGGAGCCCGAGGAGCCTGTGCTTTCGTCGGGGTACTTGTGCTCATATAAGGACCTACAAGTGAAAGCTGCCCTCTTGGACGATATCCTTGCCAGCCCGGAACAAACTGACAAGAGTTTGGTCCTCGACTACGAGACGCGTTCCCTTCGCGATGCCCGCGAGCTGCTGGAAAATGTTAGCCTCGCCGATGCATGCGACTACATCCAGGGTCCGTTCACTGCACAAATGTTCGTGGGCTACCGTTAGCTCCAACTGACCTTCGTAGATCACTCGCACCCCCGTTTGTGGCGATTGCTGGCTGATGCAGCGCTCGAGCAATTGGATTTTCCGATGGCCGAGCGCGGGTTTGTCAAGTGCGGCGACTACAACGGCATTCAATACGTCAAGCGCCTCCAGGTCCTCAACGACCGTGTCAAGCAAAAAGCCGAAGTCGCGGCGTACTTTCAACGGTTTGACGACGCTGAAGCACTGTACCGAAAAATTGACCGAAAGGACCTCGCGATCGAACTGCGCAAGCGACTCGGCGACTGGTTCCGCGTCGTCCAGCTTGTTCAATCGGGTTCGTACTGCGCTGTTCTCTACAAGTAGGATTTTACTGGATGCCGTGCAGGCGGAGGCGACGACATCTTGCTCAATCATGCGTGGAACATGATCGGCGAATACTATGCCGACCGACACAAGTGGGAAAAGGCGATCAAGTACTACGCGCAAGCCAACAACGTCCCGGCGCTCGTGCAGTGCTACTACACGTTGGGCGATTTCACAACGCTGGACACACTCGTAAACGATCTGCCCGAGGGGTCGCCACTACTAGAGGAAATGGCTCGCAAGTTTACGCGAGCAGGTCTGTGCAACAGCGCTGTGAATGCATATTTGAAAATGGGCGACATCAAGTCCGCTATCGACAGCTGCGTCGTCTTGAACGAGTGGGAGCGTGCCGTGACCTTGGCGGAAACCCACCACTTTCCCCAAATCGAGAGCGTTCTGGCCAAGTATGGCACGCACTGGATGCGAAATGGCAAAACGGCGCAAGCCATCGAGCTCTTTCGCCGGGCCAACAAGAGCATGGACGCTGCCAAACTCCTTGGAAAACTCGCCAAGGACGTGAGCAAGAACCCGCTTCGAGCGAAAAAGCTGCAGGTACCATTCTCTGTCACAACGGTAGGACGCGTCATCGTCGACTCTTGGCAGGTCTTGGCGGCGTTGGAAGTGGAGCGATTCCGTCGCAAAATGCTGGACACATCCATGATGACAACAAAGGCAGGCAGCACGGTCGGCGGCGCCACCACGGCGGCCCAAGTAACCGCACAGACGCTAGAGAGTTTAGTGGCTCATGATGCAGCGACAAGTGAGAGTCGATCGCTGGACAATGCTTGGCGAGGTAAATTTCAATTGTACACTTGACCGAGAGCACGAATAACTTTGAGATCAGGTGCTGAAGCGTATCACTTGTGTCTGTTGGCCCATCGCCAGCTCTATCGCGGACAGCCCGAACGCGCGCTGCGCACGAGCTTAAAACTGGCCAGCTATGATGACATTGTGGACGAGCGTGAAGTGTACTCGCTCATCGGGGTGGCTGCGTACTACACCAAACACTTTGAGCAGTGCAGTCGCGCATGCAACCACCTGGAAACGGTGCTCGTGGAAAAGGACAAGGCCGCGTTGGATGCGCTGACCCTCCAAATCTTTTCAACGACGCGGCCGTTCGACCCGCCGAGTCGCCCATACGACTGCCCAAGCTGCAAGCACCCTGTCAAGGAGTGGGCGACCAAGTGCGACAGCTGCGGCCGCGCGTTCCAAACTTGCATGATGAGCGGGGCCACAATCTTGGACCACCGCACGTACATGTGCAAAACATGTCGCCATTCGTGCATCGAGCACGAAATCCGCGACGTCGCCAACTGCCCCCTTTGCCACACTCCGCTGAAATAGCACTCGCAACGACGGGATTTATTAACTGTATAAAGTTTGTTCACTTTGATATGGGCTGGGAAAGCAGCGATTTAGTTGTCCTTCTCCTCCATCTCCTGGGTCTTTACGACGTGCAACGCCGCGCGATACCCGCCGTAGCATGCGAGCGCGAGCCCCACGACGATCACTGCCCACTCTGTATACGATATCACGCCGCCGTCGACGCGGTTTGACGCTTCTTCATCCGCTGTGTTGACGGCTTGATGGCGAATGCTTCGGCTGGGCAAATTCATGGATGCGGGGTCTAAAGGAATGTAACAAGTGTTGCCTTCGTAACCAGCATCGCAATGGCATCGGCCGTTGATGCAGTTGCCACGGTGGCTGCACTGTGCTCGATTCACACATAGCACGGACGGATCCCACTTGGCAGTGTCATGGTTGATGTCGGTCGTGGCATCGTCGACCCCGAATGACATCAAGTATGCGTAGAATGCATGGTCCGCCGCCGACAACCCGCCGTCGATGAATTCTGCGTATTCGCCTTTTGTGGTCGGGAACGCCAAGTGGAAGCGGCTTCGTCTCGAATACTCGGTCGCTGACGCATACAACGCGGTGGCCACGGGCGGGGCAAACCACCCAGGACATCGCCAGCACGTCATGTCCCATACGCGCATGCGATCGTCGCATTTCGTGGCACAGTGCGCAGGACTGGCCTGCACAAATATCATCATGACGTCATCGTTGTGGGGAAGTAGATGGACTTGCCTGAACGACAAGTTGTTCGGGGGTCTTGTCCCGCGGGGCTTGAACGCCCAAGAGTCGCACCATGTCGTTGGCCAGACTCGCGAAGAAGCCTTCAGTGGACCCAGAGCCAAACTCGTGCGGCTCGAGCGAAGGGTGCGCGTTGACGCCGACGACCCATGGCTTTCCAGTGTCTTCGATTTCCATATCAAATCGAAACAAATGGAAAAAGTTTTGTGGCGGTAGATTCGCTTGTCGAGCTTGCTTGATCCAGTGACTTCGACACGACGCAATAATTTTCACAACATTGCCGTGCATGTCTTTCTGAAACTTGGCGACATCGACACCGGCGTGGTCAAGTTGTTGGAGGAGCACCTTGAGGTGGCTCGTGCCTTCCGATTGCGACGACGGCAGCTCCTTGTAATGGTCTCGAAGATCGTCAACCTCCCATGGAGGCAGCCAGTCGGCGGCTCTGTCGGATACTTGGAACGATGCACGGGGGGATGACGTCTCGAGCACCGTGGGGTACTTCAGCCGACTGATGCGCAATAGAACGTTGTGGAAAATGTAAATGCGAAGAGGGTCCAGGGACGTCACGACCACGAACACCCCAACGTGTGCTTTGTGACCAGAAAACAACATGGGCTCGACGACGTGGACGACGCGGAGCTGCTGGTCTTGCTGAGCCTCGAGCTGCCTTAGATCGATGAGAATGTTAAAACTTTTCGATGGAGCTTGGTCTGTGGGTGTCTTGGTGACAAGCCACCGGCGCTTGTAGTATGCATCAACCTTCAGGCGGTCGCTAAAGCGAGCGATGGTCCGCATGGCATCAAACGCCTTGACAAAGGCATCTTTGTGTCGCGGAAGGTAGAATTCGGGGGGCATAAAGCCGAAGTCATACGGGCCGTGGTGTTTCTGGAGCAACATGTACCGGGCATTCCACTGGGTAGCTGTTGTCAATATATCATGCCCAGGCAACTGGTTCACTTTGTGTCGCGGACTCAGTTTTCCGAGTTGAGCAAACTGAAGCGGGGATAATGACCAAACCAAGTCGAAATCATCGGCGTGTGCCGCAACTGCATCCCACGAAAATGTGTCAATACCTTCGACTTGCAGCGGAGACAGGGCCGAGCGAGCAAATGCGGCGACGAGCAACTTCACGGACGAAGTATTTTCTTGGGGAATCACGTATACCCCCTTTGATCGAAGGCTCTTCGACTCATCTCCCATGACGCCAAGCGCTAACCACACCGCGCCATAGACTACCACCACAGCACAAGTCATGTCGGTCGGCCACTTGCCTTTCTTGGATCTTCAAAAATCCGGATGTTTTAACCGGATATATCGCAAATGTCATGGACAAAAGCAAACTCGCGATCGAGTCGGCTGCTCCATGAGTCGTGGTGCCGCTTCAATCCGGCCAGGAGCACCAGCTCATTCAAACATCGCCTTCACTGTTACACTTGTTCTGACGGGCGAGAAACTTGGAATATCGAAGCACCTGAAAGGTCAAACGTTCGGTTTTTGATGTAATCCCTTCCAGTCTGCACTGTGGATCTTGCGTGAACGACGCACTCATTGACCATGCACGTTCATGGATCTATGTGGTGGCTGGCAGTTGCGGCATTGTCGTGGTGTGTCCAGGCGAGTCGTACGTCCAAGGTGTTCCTATTGCCTGAAGAGGCACGCGACCACTTGGAGCCGCTCCTTACGGCAATGCACGACCTTGGTGTGACAGAGTTCGACGCGCCGAATGCAAATTCATGGGATGCCGCAGAGTACACTGGCGAATTTGACGTGGTTTGGAGCTACGAGTTTCCCGAGCTTGACAAGCTCGGGCCACTCTCCCCCCACATCAAAGTGAACCACTTGCCGGGAAACTACGCTCTGGTCACAAAAGGTTACGTGTACTCGAACCAAGTTCGCCTGCAGCACTTGCACGGCAACGAACACTTCGACTTCATCCCACGGCAGTTCCGGCTCCCCGACGAGCGGGATGACTTCGTGGCATCCTTCCAAGCTACCCAGCGCGGTGGCAATGACACGGCATTTCTCCACGCGGACGACCCGTCGTATGGCCAACGATGGCTCATCAAGAACCAAAACCACCGCGGCGTGCATTTCTTCAGCGGACTCGATCACTTGGACAAGTACATGTCGACCAACGACATGGTAGCCCAATGCATTGAGCCGATGCTCGTGTCCGGCCACAAATTTGATATTGGTCTGTACGTCGCGGTCTCGTCAATCGACCCTCTTCGGGTATACATCTACCACAATGCCCTCTTGCGTATGTGCAAGCTCAAGTACCCCAAGAACCTGGACGATACAGCGGACCTTGAATCGTACGTCGTGGACGACTACTTGCCGCCTTGGGAGATGCCCGACCTCCGCGACTTCTACAAGACGATGCCAACAGCGGAAAATGAAGGAACGAGCCATTTTCATGTCCTCAAGCAGTACCTTGACTCGATCGGCATCGACTCGAGTGAGTTTGAGCACGAAATCTACGGCGCCGTGGTCAAGCTCATCGCCGGCAATCGCGGCCACTTTCAACGGATGGAAGCGCAATTTCGCCGCGAACAGGGCCAACACGACGGCCGAGGCAATTTCTTTGAAATGTACCGGTTTGACTTTCTCGTGGACGACAAAGGCAAACCGTGGCTCATGGAGGTGAACCAGTCGCCGAATTTGGCCCCCAAGTACTTTGAATCGGGCACTGACGCCAAAATGAAAGCGACCCTCGTCCACGACCTTCTAGTGCTGGTGGGGGTGCAGTCTCCCCATGAAGCGTCCCAGCCGAATACGATCTTTCAGGTGCGGCTCTCGAGTGCGTGCATTGGCGTGTGAAGTGTCAGTCACCGAGTTGGAGTAGGTGCACGACAAGTACTGCACCCCCAAATGCCAAGACACAACGCATGTCATCGACATGTCGTGCTGGCGCTGCCCTGGCTGGTTCACTCCACAGGAAGCGACCATTCTCCACCAGTCGGCCACGGAATTTCTCCGGCGTGGGGGCTACCAGCTCGTGTTTCCGTCGGCGGACAATGAGTACGCTCGTTTTTTGGACGGTGGCCCTACACCACACGATCACGCATTTGCAAGATACGTGCAGTCATACGCGAAAGAAAAGGCACATGCTGACGACGAACCGGGTATCGTGTGCACGGGGCGAAATCAATGCAGCATGCACGGTGACTGTGTGAATGGGCGTTGCGTGTGCGACGATGGTTATGAAGGCTTGGCGTGCACAGATTTCCAAGATATAGACTTAATGAAGTCACTGGAGCGAGTCAAGTTTGCAAACGAGCTCAAGCAACTGCACTCTATGAACCTGCGTGTTGTTGGCGCCGCATCCCGCCCGCAAGCTCAAGAGTCGTCCGAGTCAGCGCTCCTAATTTTAGTGCTTGGCAATGCTGTCGGACTGGCCGTCGTCTACTTTTTGGCCAAGTGTGTGTACAAGAAGAAAGCTCTTGCAAAGGAACATTAACAATGAATACACAAGATGTCCACACACATGCCATGAAAGACCCAAAGTAAATGCGCTGGGTCAAGACGTGTGAATCATGTCTATCATGTTGAAAATGCAGCTCGAAGTGCTGCTTAGGGTGCGGATATAAACTAGCGCTTCGCCTTGCATTGCTAGTACAAGTACCCCCGAATGCTGGACCAACTCGAGTTTGGCACACCCGCCGAATGTACGATTCTGGTGAATTGGCTGTTGTGTAAGTGCCAAGTTACTTGAGAACAAACTCCATAGAGAGATATCCAACAAGTCTCTGAGCGAGTCGATGGCATGTCAGTGCTGCTGTTGCACACACAGAGCTCGCTGCGAGCGTCGTTGCCTCGCGCCGAGTTGAGCTCTCCACAAGGGGCATTTCAAATTGGTGAAAGAATTCCAAACTGTAATCCGGATATAAATCATCCGGATACTACTGGATTGACCAGCTCAACAGCTCGATGCCGGCGCGCCCTCGAACGTGCGTCCCGCTACCTGCCGGGCTGTTGAAACTGCATGACAATTCGTTCTTGACTACCGCATATGGCGGCGACAAGAATCCATTGGCGTTGATCGTCATCAACGGCATAGGGCTTATCTCGTGTTTCGACCACTTGTGGGAGAAAGCACGGTTCACATTGTGTGCCGACGGCGGCGCCAACAAACTCTACGACTACATCAAGAGAGACAGTGTTGCATCAGCGAAGAACTTCGTCCCTCAGTACATCAAGGGAGACTTGGACTCCATTCGTCCAGAAGTTGCGTCGTACTTTCAGCTCCACGGCGCACAAGTGATCCAGGACCCGGACCAAGAATCAAACGATTTGGACAAGTGCTTGACGTTGCTGCAGGCCCTCCAAGGGGACCTTGCCTCGAACGACCAAGGAGAACCCATTAAATTGAACGTTCTTGTTGTCGGTGCGATGGGGGGACGCTTCGACCAAGAAATGCAGAACGTGAACGCGCTCTTTCAATGGCAACGATTCCGTCCACAAAGATTCGCCAAATCTAATCCTTTGTTTATGGCTAGGTCGTCCATCTTCCATCGCATGACATTAGTTTCAGACAGCACTTCTGCAGTGCTTTTAGCCCCAGGAAAGCACTGCATTCGCCCGAATTTTGACGTGGAAGGCCGCAAGTGTGGTTTGATCCCGATCGGTAACGGACTGTTTATCTTGTGCTGTTCAAGTTGCGATTATATAAATCGATGGGGGTAGGCGGGTCATGCGAACGACTGACAACACACGGCCTCAAGTGGAACCTGACAAACCACAGCACTGTCTTTGGTGGCCTCGTCAGCACATCGAACCATGTCTTGGATCACGAGGTGCATGTTGAGACGTCCGACCCGCTCATTTGGACCACCGAACTCGTCTCATAAGCGACTGTGCTGGCGTTCAAAGCCATGCCCCCCTCCAGTTGCTGGTGAAGCGCTGGTGTCAAGTTTTCGTAGTAGAATAAAAATCTCCAAGAAAAATGACGCCAATTCTACGACAATTGTTCGTTTTTTCCCAATAATTCGTATATTATAGGAAAATTCACGAATAATGCATATCATTTCGCGAAAACGAACAAATCTGGCCAAATATCACGATATTGTTATCCGGAAAACATAAAATATCGCAAGGGCGAGATTGTTGCACAATCCTCGTCGAAAGTAAAACACCGATGGGAACCTGGATGCTCAAGTTCGTCACTGGGATCGCGGGGCTGTTTGCGACGGCCAATGCACATGACCATGGAGGAATGAATGCCAACGCACCACTGAATGACGAGTCTACGCACTGCCCCATCTGCAATATGGACGTGGTAAAGGACTGGTATCTTCAAATGGCGCACGGACAGCGGATCTATTCGTGCAGCATGTCGGACGGGTCGCAGTTCAAGATGGGAGCCCGAGGGTTTTCCCATGCATCCCTGGTTGGCGCCACTATGGTAACGAGAACGTTGTGCAGGATGTTGCCGTTGCTCATCCTGTCCATTAGAAAGACATTTCGTCCAATCTGTCCTGCGGCGACACTTGCCCAGACTGTGCCGCTGGAACCGTAATCGACCCTATTTCCGGCGATGTTGTGCCCACCGTGAACTTCAAATATCTTTGCTTGAACCGAGGGCAAAAGCTGTACTTTTCCTCCGACACGACGAAAGAGCAGTTTGTTCAAGGCATGGCGACCAAGCCGGTAGGTTCTCCCACGTCTCGACGTATGCAATTGAACACGTCCCGGGCAGTATTTTGCGGTGGAGAAAGCAATATGCGGTGGCCAACCATGTGCCGACAGCTTCCAACTGCCGGTTCCGATCCAGGATGAACCAACGCCGCAAGCGCCACCGTTTTGCACGGGGTCATCCGTAATGTTTTCTGGTTTCCAGACCACCGTGGACGGCACCTGCATCAAGCTCTTCTTCCAGTCGTGGGTACTGGACACCCCGCTTAAGTACTGTTTGGGGGTTTTCGCGGTGTTTGTCCTGCCTTTGGTCAACGAGCGTCTTATCGTGTTCCGAGAAGATCTCCGCATGCACTACATCAAGACCAAGTTGCCCAGGTCTCCGTCCTTTCAGTATTCATGATCCATATTCACACGATTCTTCCACGTAGTCGGTACCAAGGCGGGTGGACGAAGCACACCCGCAAGCTCGCGTTGACGGGACTCTACATGATCCAGATGACGTTGGCCTACCTTGCAATGCTCGTCGTGATGGTGTACGATTCGGTGCTGTTCCTCGCGCTCATCGCTGGTTTTGGCTTTGCGTTTGCCATCTTCAAGAGCGAGCGCAGCCTGGGCCTGAAGTCAACGGCCATGATGCGAGCGACTTGGCGCTTTGACGAGTCGGACTTCTTGACCGTGCTCAGCGTCGAAGGCATGATGTGCATGCAAAACTGCGGCAGCACCGTGCAGTCGGCTCTGGAAAAAGTGCCTGGCGTCAAGCAAGTGTATGTGGGATTTAGCGAAAAGTGCGCATATGTGTCGGGGTCAGCTCCGACCGTCGCCCTCGTGGATGCTGTCGAGGCTGTTGGGTTTGAAGCGCGCGTGTTGCGCCGACCACGTGCCGAGTCGGATGGAGCCCCTGCTTATGGGAGTAACTCGCATTTGGCATGAAGTTAACAGCTTCGATACGATATCTTGCTTCGAAGGACTAGCCCACACGTTTGTTGCCCTGTTCACCGGTGGCAGGCGATCATGTCACGAGAAGGATTGTTTACATCACTTGGCACGGATGGCCACAACTTTTGTCTGGCACGCCAATTGCCCATGGCATTGGCTGTGCTGAACGTGTGATGCGCAAACACAAAGAGGCGACATCACGCTCCATGGTAACATGCTCCTTGCTCACTTTTCTGTCCAACCACGAAGCTATCGATCGCGATCGCAGACCTGCGGCGGCGAGTGGGGTGGCACGGGTGACGTTGTGGAAGCTGAAAACATCCACATGAAGGTGTAGTCGAGTATTTCGCTGGAGAAGATGGCACAATGTCAGACGGGGCAGCGGTCAGGATGATGCCGACCAACGGTCGACATGGTGTCTCGTATTTACGTGCGTCAACGCAGTTTCGCACCACGTCTGTTCGTTCAAGCGTTGTGCGGTGGCCTAGTTGGTCCTGTCGCGCGGCGCCTCCACGTCGACTGCAGGACGATTCCGCGTTGTGCGCGACCAGCTTGCCAAGGGCATCCCCGTGAATGTGTCGAACATGCGACCGGTAGACTCTGGGGCGCCATGGTGGACCCACGCCGCCATGACGTTCGTCCACTCCCATGTCCCCATGACCCACGCTGCTTCGTTTACAACTCCGTCGTCGACGGGATTGTTGAGGTCCAACATTTGTTGAGAAATATGTATCTTGCCCATCTTCCACACGCTGGCGAGCCTCCTCAACTCAGGCGACCAACTTCAGCGAGTCGACGCGGCGCTCAGAGCCATTGATGGGTACGCTACGATTCGAGTACGTTCGCCAACTGACGTCTCCACTCGCCGCAAGGTTGAGGTGAATGGCTTGCTGCGTGGACCCATGTTTGGTGATGTGTGATGGGGTGAAGCTGTCCCAAGCCATCCGCCTCGTGTGGGTATCAAGGGTACATGGAAGCAAGTCTGATTGAGTCTTAAGTGGCGACGATGTGGCGCACAAAGTGGGACTTGACCTCGACGATGATCCTGATGGGTCTTCACAGGCTTGGCCACTCGTATCCACTGCAAGTGGCGCAGGTGTGACCGCCAGCGTAACTGGTGCCGTGCGAGACAAGAGATTTTGCATGGCGTGTAAAGAACGTAGCGGAAGTGCCGGCGCCGTGCAGCGGTCCTCCACATTGCCAGCCTTCCGCCACATGCATGCATGTAGCCGTTCGCATGGCAGGACGAAGGAAAACGGGATGGCCTGCATATTTGTCGATTGATTTGAACCACGCACTGAAACATTCGATATTCGAAGGACCACACTTGGTCGCCCTCCTTCCGTTGAATGTGTTTACAACCATTCGGCACAACCGCTTCATCGTGCCGTTGGCCGCAAGCTGTTTGTAGTTGGCGCACAGCACCACAAGACGAGCGATGTGGCGGCACCTGCTTCTCCCCCTCGTCGCAGTCGTCGGTGGCGACTTGCACTATGGGTTTAGCCAATGCGTTAACAACCAGCGAACCCTCTACTTCTATGCTCCGACCCGTCAATCGTGTGAATCGAATTCGTCGCTTGTGGCGCTGCCTCGTACGACCTACTCGTGTCCACCAGTGTTGCTGACGTTGGGGCGTAGCTGTGAAAGATCTGTCTTGCGCTGTGCCTTGTCCACGTGGGACGTTCCTTGGGGCAGAGTATGTTGATCGGACTCCTTCGCGGCACTTGTTGACGAGTTGTGGCTAGCTTTTCCGGCCCCACGCCCGTGTCAGGATGTGAGAAGTGCCCACCAGGAACGTATTCCCTCGGCGGGGGCATGTTGTACTCTGGTATGACAAACGCGTGGTCCCGGGCGCTTCCTCCTGCGTTCGACACCGAATGCGCGTCGCGTGATGCGAACACTGGGGCATGGGTCAACAACTGCATGCCATGGACGTCGGACGTGGATGGTGGCTACGTCATGTCTGGGAACAATTCGAACATCGCGTCCACGTACAACGCGGACCGGTTGTACGCGATCTTGCGGCTCACAGCCACGTTTGTCCGCCCCGGCAACGTCACGTTTCAATTCAAAGTCGACGCGGAGGCCCCGTATGACGGCCTCACGTTCATGGTGGACGGCATTGTCGAGATGAAGATGGTGTCGACCACGAATGGATGGGCAGATGCCACGTTCGGCGTGTCAACGGGGTCGCACGTGTTGGTGTGGAAGTACTCAAAGAACAGTGGTGGGGACTGGGGTTTGGACCTCGCCGCGCTTCGAGTCGTTGAGATCACAGGAACGAGGTAGGACATACCCCCATACCTCATTCGACTCCATTTCTGTCGTAGCTTTGCCGACACGTTCTGCTTGCCTTGCGGCGGTGACATGACCCGAGGGAGTCGCCGCCAGTGCCTTCTCTGCGACGCAAATCAGTACGCTGGGCTCGACGCGAACCGGTACCCTTTCCCCACAATGGACCTGTGAAGACTGACTTGCCCGTCCAGGGCGTTTGCTTGCTTTCCATGCCCTGCCAATTCATTTTCCCCTTCAGGCTCCCTCAGCATCGACTCGTGCGTGCCGAGTCGCCCGTGCGACGTCACAGACATCGCGGTGTACTACACGCCATGTGCAAACAACAAGCGCAACGTGTCACGGCTATGGGCCAAGCCGATGACGTGCAACGTGAGCTTGCCGTCGTCGACACCGTTGCCAGTGAACGAGGTCAACGTGGAATGTGGAGACTGCACCGACGGCTACTACCCCGACTCGAGTACGCATGGCCCGCCATTTTCGTTTGGTTGATCTCGTGGTTGTGGTCAGATGGCGTGTGCCAAACGTGTGGGTATGGCGAAGTCGTCGACATTTACGGCAATTACTCGGTCTCAATGAATTCGACATCGTCCGAGAACGCAACAAACACTGTGGACATCAAGGGACCGTCCAACGTCATTTCGCTCTGCTCCAAATGCCCCAAAGGAACGGTCAGCGTCCGGTCGCAGCTCTATGGCATCATCACACGACGGGGGTGGAGCTTGTGGCCTTCGATCGTGAACAACTTTACGGCCATACGAAGCGGGTGGAAGCTGACTGAGCAAGGCGTGACACGAGAATCGGCGCAGATCCTTCAATGGCTTCCCGTGGCCCCACTCCTCTTCAACGTAATTCTTTTTGTGCCTGAAATGTGCTACTTCATATGGAACGACAGACCACCCACATAACCCGTGGGGTCCTCGAGATCAACTACACCCTGTCCGGCATCCCGACCGTGGCCGCCGACAAGGCATGGCTGGAACTGTACGTGAATGAGGTCCGAGTCCCGATCGCGAATCCATCCAGCAACGGCACGTTCTTCCATCAGTCCGTTCTGAGCCCTCGCATCGACGGCAACTCGACCCTGGCGGTGTTACTTGTGTGGCGCACGTCTAGCGTGGTCGCCGACACGGCCGCGAACGTACTCATTCGGTCCGTGAAAGTCACGGGCACAACGGATGGGGGCACGAGTGGATGTGGCAACTGCCCAACGGGGTACCAACCCACGCCAAACCAAACGACGTGCTCCATGTGCCCCGCAGGCACGGCCGCCGCCAGGCTGAGTAAGTGCATGCTGGTGGAGTGTTTCATTCCTTAGCTGGACCCAGGTACCGGCGGCATCGGATGCACAGAGTGCCCGACTGATACGTTTTCCTTTGCCGGCGCGGGCATTTGCACGCCATGTGGCACCAACACGTACAGGTCAAGAAGATGACGTTCTCCACAAATGTGCGCTGATTCTAAACCTACACAGTGTGCCAGGATCTACAATTTGCAGCGCCAAGCAGCTCCTCATGGACAACGAAGCGGGACTCATGTACAACTTGACGGCTCTGCAGGCGTTGGTCGATCCACTGGTGGACCTCGACGTGGCTTCCGGGTTCCTTCCTGTGTCGCCATTTGCCTCGACGTCACCAATTGTGCTGAACGCGACGCTGGCAACCATGCTCGGAGTCTTCCGCCCCATCGTGCCCAAGGTCCCCCCGCAATACGTCGTAGCGTCGTCGTCCCTCGTCAACACTGGGGCCGTCGTGGTGGGATCCCCACAGAGTTATGTTGTTGGCTTGGCCATGTCGAACGCGCGAGATGCTGGCAGCAGCTTTCTCTACAACGCCGACCGGTTTGGTCTCGTGCAGTGCACTGTCCCGCCGGTGTGTTCGAGAGCCCATAATCCTTGACGTCACTTGTCGTCGACTGGCTTGCGTAGCAATTCAACCTGTTCAATGTCGGCGGCAAGCTCGACATTGTGCCCATGGCTGGTGGACGGGGCATTCGAGCCACGTATGCTCTCGGCTCGCTCTGTAGTACACTTGGTGATGCCAACAACTATGGCTACGCCAGCACAACAGTCGAGTTCGTTTGCGACCCTAGTGTTGGTGCGTCCAGTCCTTATGAACGTGCTGCATCCGACGTCGGACTTCGATTTTAGTCACTCCGTCTCAGCCCGTCCTCGTGCCATCGACTGAGTGCAAGTACAAACTCTCATGGACCACGGCCGCTGCGTGCCCGTTGTGCGACATCCCTCTCTTCACGTACGTCGGGTGAAATCGTCCAGGCCATTCTACTTATCGGTTCGTAGCCCGACCAAGTCGGCGTGCTCGTTGATGGGGAACCAGACCGTCACGTATGCGCCGTCCGTGCCATGCGTTGGCGGTCGGCAGCCTCCTACTCTCGTCAGCGTGCAAACTTGTGCCAGTATTACGCTGGACACGGAAACGGCTGGCATTGCGGCCGGCATCGTGGTCTTAATCCTCGTGCTCATCGTCGGTCTTGTCGCGGGCCTCGTCATTGTGTATCGAAAGTACAAAGCGGTACAACGGGACTGACACCCATTGCATTCCCTCTATCTTACGTGGGTTGGATCGGTAGACGTTGGTCGAGTTTATGTACTTGAAAGGCCAAGTGACCAACCACGAACTCCTCGAGACTGGCAGCACGAGATCCGCGGATGGCGCGTACGAGTTCAACCCAAACGCACACACGTTGTCGCCGGAAGCTTCCGTGGCCTCGGCGGACGCCGACGAAGAGGAAGAAGTGAACATCAAGCCAAAGGCAAATGTAGTCATGTAGTCCCCCCTTGCAACTAATCGTGCAAAAACCTCTCGGGTCCGATGACTTGTCGAGATCAGATCGACGTAGTTTCATCGTGGAAACCGCCACTTGGACCAGGCGTTGGCCAACATCCCACCGTTGACCGCCATGATGGATGAGGCGACGGAGGAAGGCGCAAGTCGGGCATTTCTTCTGACGGCGCGCGCGAAGCGCTCATGGAATTCAGTTATCCTGTCCTGCCTCTCACAGCGGCCCCCAACGACAGCACCATGAGCGACGAACTGAACCGGTTTTGGGACAATTCATTGAAGCCATATCGCAACGTTCGGGGCCCGTTTGATGAAAGCCCCCAGGTCCCGTTCCTGGCAAACCTCTCGACAGACACCAAAGCGACCGTGTCGAGCTACAAACATGCATTCGACATGGAGTCCCTGTTGTCGACGCAGTTTTCAAAGGAATCGTTGGAGCCCATGGCATTCCACCCGCACAATATGCACCACGTCCTCAACCATTTCCCCGAACTCAATCCCATGGACGGATCGTTCCTTCGCAGCGCCTTTGAAAACATAGACGTTCTTCCCAACACGCTGACCCCGCAAAACCTGCCCTCACAACACCACTATTCGCCCCCCACGGCCCTCTCTACCATGACGGGTGCTGCGTTGTTGGGGCAGACATCCCCACAGTTGAAAGGCCACAATAGCCCCGACGTTCCCCAAGGATTGACCGGTAAGCAAGGGATTTGTCAAGTCCCCGATTGCGGTCGGCGCGTCCGGTCCAAGGGATTCTGCAAAGCTCACGGCGGCGGGCGCAAATGTACCCTCCAAGGGTGCAACAAATCTGCTCAAAACGGAGAGTTCTGCATTGGGCACGGAGGCGGGAAGCAGTGCACGCACCCTGGGTGCCCAAAAGCCGCACAGTCCCATGGATTATGCAAGGCCCACGGTGGCGGTGCTCGGTGCAAGCACCCGGATTGCATGAAGAGCAGTCAGGGCGGAGGGTACTGCCGAGCACACGGCGGGGGAAAGCGATGCCAAGCCGAGAACTGCACGAAAGGAGCCCAACGGGGCAACTTTTGCGCAACCCACGGCGGGTTTCGCAACTGCCAAATCGACGGCTGCGTGCGCACAGACAGGGGCGGTGGGTACTGCGAAGTCCACCGTCGCGACAAACTGTGCACCGTCAATGGTTGCAAGAAGCTGTCGAAAAACAACGGCTTGTGCACTGTGCACTTGCGTCGGTCCGATAAGGACACGAAAAAGCAAGTCAAGGGCCTCACGACGGCAGTCCCTGGGGATTATTCATTGCCGGGGGGGATGCTTGTAATTTAAAACCATCTTGCATTGCATTTCCTCCGCACCTTGGTCATGTCAAGCTAAACCAACTAGACGACCATTGAAGTCCCATCTCGACGGCAACGTTGTACTCTTTTGTGCAGAGGAAGATGCCCTTGCGGCCATGGCCATGTGCTCCACCTGGCTGGACGCTTTCGTCGCTCGCGAGGACAACGTCGTCTGCGCTGCTGACTGCGCCGGTCCACGGTTCGATGCCTTTTGACACCTGTCTTCTTGGACAGCGCATAGAATGTCACCTTGGCGAAGTTGACCAAAAGAACGAATGGGAAAGAACTTGGAATATTCCCCGTGAGCATTGACGTGGGCGCCTTCACGAAGCCATCGATGAATCTGGCTACGGCCAAGCTATGCGCCAAAGACGTTGGCAAGCCATGGTCAACACGGATGCTACCTCAAGCTTGTAGCAAGCTTTTGCGTTGAGGTCGTCCCATGAGTGCGCGTACAATCGAGTCATGCTGGCACGGTCGTCATTTGCATAGACAGATAGCAGTATGCTCTTTGGTCCCCGTGACGTTTCTGTCGCAGCGTCAGTTGGCTGAGCCCACGTTCTTTGCTTGACACTCAAAGGAGTTTGGTGGTATTTGACCAAGTACTGAGGAGTCCTTGGAGGTGAAGGCAGTAGCTCCAGAGGTGGGTGTTGTCTCTAAATTGCAGTCCATTATCTCCTGGCAACCAAATCGACGCCCACCGTTGCAACTGTTTTCAATCGAGCGTTGACGCATTTGTCCAGCCTGGTTTGTTCTTCCTACGACAACTCGTTGGGATGGCGCTAAAGTCATTCCCATCAACTCACGTGACGGTACAAGCGTGCAACGCGATGCCGGTCGGCATGTACTTGTAGCCTGGTCCGTTCAAAGCAGTCCCACATTGCTCGACGCTCATGCCACCTGCGACTGGCCGCTTGACGGCTTCTTTTCTTTCTTGACTTTGTTTCAGCAGGACGTAGAGACTGTGGCGCGGTCACCATCGAGCTCGAGTTGCTTGTTGTACTGGTTGTGCTCGCGGTGTCCGCTGATTCATCGCCTGCATCTCCTTCTGCGTTGTCTTTGTCGTTCTGCATGTCCTTCCTGAGGAGTTGCCCAAGTAGCATCTCAACCTCTTGCAGTTCGTCAAGTGCGCTAACTTGCGGCTGTTTTGACTCAGCGTTAAGTGCAGCACCAATTGCGTCGAGGCACTCGTGAGCTAGCTCGTGGACTTGTGCAAATGTAACGTCGTCGTCGTTTTCCTCCAGTGGCGTTGGCAGGACGGAATAATCGTCTTCGGCATCGAGCAGTGCTTCTTCGACAGAGAGAATACTGGCCTCTACGTCCGCGAGAAGTGCCAACAAGCTCGTCGACGCCATGCGCCTCGTGCGAATGCCTCGACCCCCACACGAAACGGTTCATGTCAAACCGGATACATTTTTGTGTTATCCGGATATCCGTTACGTTTCTCGAGAACGTGGAGCGCGGCGATCGCGGCCCGTGGGTTTCAACCATCATTTGCGCTTTTCCACTCAACCCCTCAGCTAGCAACGATGCCGTGCACGTGTGTGGGACTACTGAGCCTCATCATGTCGGCGGTGGCCGTCGTGTTCTCCGGAACCGCAGCAGGGCTTCCTCTGTGGTCCATGCTGGGTATGTCACCAAAGGGCGACTTCGCCGCTGCGAGTTTCACCGCCGGCGTGTGGGGGTACTGTACGGACATTTCGTACTCGAGCACAGGCACATCGACGTCGACGTCGCTGCAAACAATGGGCCCACTCTCCGGTACCCATGGCCAATGCTACTTGTACTATACCACCAACTCGAAGGTCCGCGTGAATCTAAACAACGACCCGAACAACACGGTGGTGCTCCCGAACCAAGGCATCTGCGCCACGTTCAACCAAGACAATGGAAGCAGTGCCGCACGCTTGTTTTCAACGGTCGAAGGCATCAGCCAAGCCACGTTGGATGAATTTCTGGCCAAAACGTGCGGCTCCCAAGGCAAGATCACGCTGGCGTTCTCGATGATGAGCCCAGTGTTCGGCGTCGTAGGATCATTCATGATCGCGTTGGGTGTGTGCTGCTCCAAAAATCGGTCGTGCTTAGTGTCGTTTGCGCTCTTTATGACGTTGCTTGCGGGAGTGTGGTCCCTCGTTGTGTGCATCGTGTGGAGCCAGCAACAGCCCAGCAGCACCGGCCTGAAATTTGGTCTGTCGTACTACCTGGAAATCGCTGCGTTGGTGTCGTACGCGACTGCCGTGTTCTTTGTGGGCGTGCACATGACCCAAGGCACGTCGCACGAAAAGGCCAAAGCGTCCAAGGGCGGCTCGGCGAAGCTACAGGAAGCGCTGGAGAAGCACAAGAAGATCGCTGCCGGTGGCAAACAGCCCACTCGCTTGGTATAAATATCGTGGCCGCAACCACCAGTCGACCAATTTATTCACATCAGTTCATTCTCATACCCCTCATCGCATTGACACAATGAAACAGATCGACATGTTCCGTTCAACTACGAACTTCGAAAGCTCAACGAGACTTCCAAATGTGGGAAAGATAAAGTTGACGCTCAGGGGTTGCGACGCGGGACTGAATTGAAGCGCAACGGGCTTCTTGTTGAGGAGAGGCGGCCTGGTGACATGGGCCAGCTCGTGTTGCAGTTTCAATAGCGTGTTTGAACCACGACATGATAAACAAGTCGTGGCGGACCAACTGGAGCTCAACTTCGATTTTAAATTCGACCTGCATAAACGAAAGATACGATGACACTCGGTCTAAGTATACTTCAAGGAAGAGGGCGGTCAGATGTATGTCTTTTGGCAGGTTGTGCCCTTGAATGACTGCAGCACCGAGATTTGAAATCACCACTGCCGTCGCCGTCACCTTCGCGCGCCGCCGCGATGTTCCTGTCGTCGGTGGTTGGGCTTTTGTTGGAAGCCCTCGTCTTCTGTCTCTATGGAATTGCACCCTTTGTTGCGAATCGTGCAAGCATCTTCGAGCGCGACTGGACAAATGCACTGGATTTCAGGCAAAGCATTGCATGTGTCATCTGGCTGGCTGGGCTCCGTGCCCTCCTCTTTGCCTACGTCATTTGCGTGACCAAGAGTTCATTGTACAAGACAACGCGGTGCTTTGTCTTTTTGATCGTATGCAGCCAACTTTGCGTCCTCACGGTGCTGAGTTTGATTGTGTACATCTTCCAGAATGACACAGATGCGTTCTCGATGTATCGGTCCGACGCGTGGATGAAAGGGTACTGGTGGAGTGTCATGTTGGCGTCCATGGTGGCAACTACCTTCCAAGCGCTTTGTGTCATTTGCCGCAACCGCGAGCGCGAAATCCCTGGTAACAACGAGGAAGAGCACATCGAGCAACTGCTTCAAGAGAAAAAAGGCATCTATGGACCCGACGCCAACTCCATCGCCATTGACGATGCGCTCTTTTCCACCAAGAAGATGAAGCTTGAGCGGTGGCGTGACAAGTGGGAGAAGCTTGTGTCTTCGTTTCGTAGCACGACCGACCCGACCTTCAATGCCGTGTTGCGGATTTACGCGCACAAGGACGACGCCGCCATGCGTCTGGAGCACTTGTACGACGCTGACCCAAAAGAATTCGAGTTTTACATCCCGCAGCTTTGCAGCTTCTTGCTCCTTGGCGCTTTCCAACAAAGTTCCGAGGGCAAGCTCAGCTTGATCTTGCTCCGCGTTTGCAAAGAGTAAGTCCACAAGTCGTTTCTTGCTAGGTTGTCTAAGGGGCGCTCACGCGTTTGGGACGTGTTGCAGGTCGCATGTGTTTGCCCAAAAGATGCGATGGTACTTGGAGTCGTACTGCGTTGGGAGCCCGGCGTACTCGTCCGAGGAAAGCCGGATGCGGGTGCAGATGCTGATCGATGAGATTTCGGTCCGCGGACTTGACCCTTCCAAGAAGCTGTTGACGCATCAAGCGATGGGCGAAAAATCGTCGATTGTAGTGCCCGACATTCTCGCGGCGCCCGAATCGGAAATCCTCCTCAAGGAGTCCGAATCGTCGTCTCACTATCAAACGTTTCAACCGATCCACGAAATCGGGGCCGTGAACCCGTTTACGTGGAACCACAGGTTCGTGTCGGAGCTGGTCGAGCTGTCGTCGGCTCTGCGCGTGATTCCCCGTGACGAACGCAACATGCACCTGCGCCAGGTGCTCACAGACATCCACACGACGTTTCTCCCGAGTTTGTCGCTTTTTGTTCCCGTGGGGAATCCATTCCACCGTATCAAGAAGATTCACGTGAACGAGTGCTTTACATTCTCGACGAGGGAACGCGTGCCGTACTTGCTGTGTCTCGAGGTCGTCGACTTCTTCACTTACGAAAAGAAACCGATGGATCGCTTTGCGCAGCTCAAGAACAGGTTCCGGCTGTCCATGGCGGGTAAGGCCGACTCGAGCAAACCGTCGACACCGATCGTTCGCCCTGGCGACTTGGAAGTCGGTACCACGCCAGTTCGACACTTGAACGATCCGGACAACTTGGGCTTTTGGAGCGAGCCCAAAGCCCAAGAGACAACGCTTCTCGATGGACTCCTGGGATCGCTCAAGCCGAAAGCACTCACGCCGTTGAGTGGCCTGTCGCAATCGTCGCGTGGACTGAGCTCGAAGGAAGAGTCGTTGTTGCATGGAGCCCACCAAGCTCAACACCCTGTGTCACCTCCTCTAGTTGGCGCGTCCAGTTATGATTATCCCTATCCTGCCCATCTGTCCCCGAAGAGCCTGCGCCCCCTGCCGATCCACATCCCGCCGCACGACCACGAGCATGTCGTGTCCCCCACTGCGTTGGACGGGACATTCTCGCCGTCCGATGCCCGTCTCCGTCGCGCGGACAGTACCGATGAATTTCTTGCGTCATCACGCTTTGTCGATGACGCTGATACGAACGGAGGATATCTCCACCATGCTGCCACGCCTGCCTCGAGCTCAGACTTGCCGTGCGTGATCTTCAAAGAACGATGGGCCGACAAGGAAGACCGTTTGCGTGCGTCGAGTCCGTGGGGCCACCTCCCGTCGTGGCGTCTCTTGCCTGTCATCGTCAAGAGCAATGACGATCTGCGGCAAGAGCAATTTGCGTCGCAGTTGATTCGCCAATTCGCCAATGTGTTTTCTGACGCCAAGTTGCCTGTGTTTTTACGCCCGTACGACGTCCTGGCGACGTCCCCGATAGCTGGACTTGTCGAAGCTATTGCGGATACGATATCTCTCGACTCGCTCAAGAAGAACGACCCAGAGTTCGTGTCGCTGCAAGACTTTTACTCGCGCCGGTTCGGGGACCCGTCCTCGTCGACGGGGCTGGCAGCGCAGAAGGCGTTTGTCGAGTCCATGGCAGCGTATTCAATTGTGTGCTACTTGCTTCAGATCAAGGACCGACATAACGGCAACATTCTCGTCGATGCAGACGGCCACGTGATCCACATTGATTTTGGCTTCATGTTGAGCAACTCGCCGGGCAACGCTGCGTTCGAATCGGCACCGTTCAAGCTCACGACGGACTTTGTCGACGTCATGGGTGGTCCGCGGTCGGCTGCGTTCCGTCGGTTCCGTTCGCTCTGTGTCCGATCGTTCCTGGTTGCCCGCAAGTACCGCTACCGCATCACGCTGTTGGTGGAAATGATGGTAGCCGGCAACGAAGACCTGCCGTGCTTCCAAGGAGATCCACGCGGGACGGTCGACCGGCTGGCCGACCGCTTCCGACCCGATTTGTCGGTGCACGAGTGCGAAGACTTTGTCCACCAACTTATCGACGCGTCCCTCGACAACTGGCGAACACGGTGGTACGACAAGTACCAGCGCTGGTTCGTCGGCGTGTTTTAGAAATTTGTAGATGCTTCCCCTGTCGCAGGACTGTCTTGTAGCTCCAACCCATTCTAATACAACACACTTCAGCACGGATCGACGGCGTCGTGCAATTTTGGCGTGCATGGGTGTAACCGAGTGAAACCGTTCTAGAGTCGCGCAAGAGAAGATTGTGCCAAGGTTTGCGACGCGCCACGTCGATGGCTGGGAAACCAGTCAAGAAGCAGCCGCCGACATCGGAGCCCCCGACTCGAAAGAGGAAAAAGGGGGTCCACCCACTGAAGCGGGGTCGACTCGAATGGGGCCGTCACATGACGACGAAGAAACAGCACTTTGCCGCGACCATGATCCAGCGCAAGTTCCGCGCATATCGATACCACATGGACCACCTTGCCACTCGGGCAAACGTGCGGTCGACGATGCAACGCGTCAAGCTCCATCGAATCTTCTTTGATCGAGAGTTCTGGGAAGGCGTCAACTTGCGAGACCTGAAACGGACCGAGTTGGAAGACCTTGCGTTCCGTCTCGAGCTGCCAGTCGCTGTGGGCAAGAAGGAGAAAATGATCCGCACGATCCAGCACTGGATCGACCTGCGCATGCATGTGCAGGACGTGGCGATTCAAGCAGCAATGCGCGCGACTGAAAAGAAGTTGCAAGGTAGTTGATGGTTCTCTCGCCCCATGGTCAAAGCTTGAGATACTGCCGTGTAGCTCAAGGAAGCGTGTACGTCTTGCCGGCGTTGCCAAAGGCAGAGCCGCGGATGATTCGACCACTAAGTGGCCGAAACATTGCATCCGTCGCCGCGGTACGCTTGTCCGTCACCAGCCACGAGAAAGACTCTAACGTGGCATGCATGGCAAGGGCTACGAGTCTGAAGCTCTGTACGCCATCGACTCGGCCAAAGGGACTGTCTGGCTTTGCAAAACGTCGGGCCAGTCGGCTCAAGTGGGGTTTTGCAGCACGTTAGTAAACCAAGACGTGTTCGAGTTGCCATATCAGTCGACGTGGTTGGCGAACCCCATGCCTATGCAAACTCTGCGCATCGGACACATCCAAGACATTCAAGTAACCCACTCACATGCGATGGCGTTAGCAAGAGCAGGCGAAGTCTACAGTTGGGGCAGCAATGCGCATGGTCAACTTGGCGCGGACAACGCCGCCAAGCACCACCAGCTCCCTGTGGTAGTCGGCGCCATTGAGAGCTTTGTGACAGTGTCCATTGGAGTCGGCGCCCAACATTCGATGGCCGTGTGCAACGACGTCAAGGGTCGTGATGGGGTGGTTTTCGCGTGGGGAAGCAACGCCCACTCGCAACTGGGCGTCGAAAACCAAGGTGGCGTCAACAAGTCGAATGGAAGTTGCTGGAAAAGTGTTCGATGGCTAGGCACTGTATTTAGCCCCGTAGAAGTCCATGCGTTGCGGGGGATTCGCGTGCGCAAGGTGGCGTGTGGGACGTTGCACAGCGCCGTCGTGACGGATCATGGCGATATGTACACGTGGGGGTGCAACGATGGGGGTACGATTTGCACTCGCCCATCTCGTGGTGACATTTATGTGCCGCTCCAGGTCGTCTTGCTCAACCGACTGATGAGAACATTGTACCGCTGCCTCGTAAGGTCACTGGCGTCCATGCGCCGTACGATAAAGCCATCGACATTGCCTGTGGACCGTGGCACACCGCCGCCCTGTTGGTCGAACGTCTCGGTCAAACCAGTGGTGTGGTACGTACCACCGACTCCAAACGCTCACAACCACCCATGTATTCATGCACTAAGTTGCGTCGTAGGTGTTTACGTGGGGCAATGGAATCTGTGGTCAAGTACGCAGCTTTAACAAAACGCATGTAGTCGGGAATTGATTGCCGGGTTGACGGTAGCTTGGACAAGGCAAAGTTGTCCACGCGACGTCGCCGCACATGGTGATCTTGCCGCCCATGAAGCGCGCCAGTGAGCCACTCGAACTGGTCAAGCAAATGGCGTGTGGAATGCACCACACAGCTGCACTCACCGAGAACGGATCGTTGTACACGTGGGGTAGCCACCACGCGTTCAGCCCGCTGCCGCACAAACTGCTGTCGTTGAAAGGGTCTCGCGGACGCATTGCCTCGAGTACGTTGGAGCTGCGCGTGTACGACAACGACGTCTGATGGGCGGTGAACGTAGTTGCGTGTGGAAGTTCGTTCACGGCGTTTTGTATTTTGGCCATGGACGAGCAGTTGTACGAAGCAAACCATCGACACTTGCTGTGGCACACTCGAACCACCGACGTGCCCAAGTTGGACTTGACTGTGATTCCTCCACCGCCGCTGCGGTCGGCACATAATTGTATTCCTCGGTTTGACTTCACCAAACTCCACTGCCTCGTCTGACATCTCTTTAGGTTGCGCCCCAGGGCCGAAACCCAGGCGGAAGAGCGTCTCAAAAAGGACGAGGCTGATTCCCTTGATGGCATTGATTTGCATGAGATGCTGCATCCACGGTAGACCAGCCAACCCCTTATTCCGCTGGCTTCCACTCAACGCACACGGGTATGTGCAGGTGTCGTCTGTGCTGGCGGTGTCCAGGTTTTGAGTCCAATTTGAACTACCTTACGATGTGTCGTATTTGCAAACACAAGCGGGAACATCATGGTAGGCTCGGTCGATTCTCGTTGCTCTCGACAAAACGTGATGGGGCGTAGGCAAGCGCAAAGGCCCGATGGGTGAGTACGAGGCAGTACGAAAGCTCCAGGGCAAGTTTCGTCAGCGACAGGGCGTCCACTTCCTCCACCAAACGTTCTTGGAGCGCATCCAGCGGGTTTTTTCGATTCGCCACGGCGCGTTTTTTTATTATAATAAGTGCAACCGCGCCAAGTCGTGGAACCGACCCCGTCTCCTACCACCCGAGTTGGAGTGCCCCATTCGAGACCCCGACGACGAAGCGATCGTGAAGCCCCCGTACACCGTCGACGACGCGGCCCGAGTCATTCAGAGCCTCTTCCGGTCACGAAAAGCCAGGAAGCTCGTCCAAACGATCTTGCACAGCCGATACGAAACGTGCATCAGCAAAACGGACGGCCGCATCTACTACCGAGACCGCCGCACAAACGCAGTGCGATGGAACACTCCCTTCCACGACGTCCCCAAGCCCGTACGGCGGCAAAAACGCATGACGGAAGCGGAGGCGGTTGCGACAGTGCAGCGCTGTCTGCGCGGCGCGAAAGCTCGAAAGAACCTGCGGCGCATGATGCAGAAACGATTCAAAGCACTCGTCGACGCGTCAAGTGGCGCGACGTACTATTACGACTCGAAAACAAAAGAAGTGTCGTGGACGAAGCCCAGGTAGAATTCGGTCGGCAACGACGGTATTTGTGGAGCTCAGACGAGTGGTGCAGATTCTTCAGCGAGACGCCGGTGGTCGAAGCCACGAAACACCTGCCCAAATACACCAAACACACGGCTGCGTCGACGCTGCAGCGCCTGTATCATGGCCGCAAAGCGCGGCGCAACCTCGTCTTGCTCCTGCACGCGCGGTTCCAGCAAGCATGGGACCCCCAGACGCAACAGCACTATTTTGTCGATACGGTGACAAACTCGACAACGTGGTCCAAGCCCGTTCTGCTAAAGCACGTCGACCTGTCACCAGTGAAAGCGACGCCAGTGGACAAGCACCACAAGCGGAAGAAAAAGAAAGCTTACAACATGACCGATGTCGACGCTGCGATTCGACTGCAAGCTGTGCTCCGTTCCAAGATTACTCGCAAACGAGCTCAAACGGACCTGCATCGACAGGTACACCCCAGGTGCCCCTCCTGATGAACGTGAAATGCGTCGCCATGCTAGTACGAACGCGTATGGGATGCGAACGCAAAGGCCCACTTCTACCACAACATCAGGACAGATGTCGTGACGTGGACTCCCCCGCCGTTATGGAATGACGCGGTGCGATGGGAGGTCGCATCAGCGCCATTTGGTTGACGTGTTTCGCAGGTGTATGAGAAAATCGAGATGGAAAGGATCAACGAAAAGAATGTCGCGATGGAGGCAACGATGTCAGGTGCACCGCTTTCGTTGCGAGTCATGTGGAATGCTTACGTCGTCCAGCAGCACCAGTGGACAGCGCTGTGTCGAAAGGTACACGGACAAGAAGTGAATGCCACGAACGAAAGTGGATATGACGTTGGCTGCGGTGTAGGCATCACGGAGGACAAAGTGCCTCCCGAGGCGGTACCCCTCACGTCGCAACGACGTCGGGCGTACACGATCACGGAGCCGGAGGAAGCGGCCAAGATTGTACAGCGGCACTATCGACGGCACAAAGCTCAAGTCGTATCGATTGAGTCGCTCATGTTACGATTCCAAAAGGTTTTTGACCCCAACACCCATCGGTACGTCGTGTCCAAGGGGGTCCCAGAAGCCGACCTGGCCGTCTGAACTCGTATTGAAGTAGATCGTTCTACTACGACAATGTGACGCAAACTTCGACGTGGACTGCGCCGTTGCTGCTGCAAAAGCACGCACGCAAGATGTGCCCAAGTCCTACCAAGTATACCACCCCCGACAGCGCTGCAGTTCGCATTCAAGGGATATTCCGCCTTCGAAAAGCACGCCAGGAAGCACTGCAGCTGGCCCAAGCGAGCTACGAAAAGGTGTACGACGAGACTGTGCAAGCGTACTACTATTTCAACGTGAAGACGGGCCAGAGCCAATGGACAAAACCCAAGTGCTTCCGACACAGCGACGTCCAGCACGTCGTCCAAGTCGACGGGTCTGGTAACGTCATCGACAGCACCACGGCACTTCCCTGACAAGCGGCGCCAGTGGCCGCTTACGGTCAGCACATTCGAATTTGGGTGGCCACTGATCTTGGACACATGAAAGACATGCGAGGGAATATTCTCACGTTGAATTTTGTTGGATTCGCCCGGCGCTCACACGTTTTGTTGTTTCCATCAACTTTCACATGAAGTGTTGTCGATGCGTCATCAGCTGGCCTCCCTCTAGCGACGGTACACGACTTTGTCGAGATGGGATCGACAGTCGTCCCGTCAGACTCCCCATGCGTCGGCACCTTTGTCCAACGACAAGGGACCATCGGCGAGAGTAAAGAGTTGAGACATCGCCATGACGCTTCACTCCACCACGAGGCAACCGCCGTATGGCTACCCCAACGAGCATGACGACGCGCCGTCCCTGTGAAGGTCTAGCAGGGCCCACCAGCCCATTCGTTGGTGCTGGCGTTTATTCGCATGCCGTCGCCGAACGCGACGTCCATTTGAATTGGTTGGATCACCGTTGTGGACTCATCGGCCGTTCCAACTCCCCAACGATGATGTTGGCAAACTCACCCGACGCTGTGGCAATGCGCCCTCGACGTTATGCGCGATGTTTATTTTGCACGAACAACCTTGACACTTTCTCCATCGTTCACAGAGTACCAGACCAAGGGTATGGCTGGCATGAATTGTTGAATTGTGCATGGAGTCGGTGGCATCGTCGCTCGAAAGAGCGCAATGTGATCGTCATCGGACCACTGGCTCCGTCGACTCACGCACGTGAACCTGGTGCGTTGTAAGTCAAATTTAACGCCCTGCTCGATTACGCCCCACGAATCGAGCGATGGGAATCCGTGTTGTTAAAACTTACATTTGTTCTGGGACATGCGATTCACTCCTTGCAAGGCTTTCGGATGTACATATCCAGCGATTCGTGTTGCGCCACGTCGTGCCAGTGGCATTCAGCGCAATCGTGTTGAGGGATTCTGTGGGGCATCGGGAGCGTTCAGCAAAACATGAATGCGGATTGCCTGTGACTTGGGTAGACGCCCACTGGCTCATATCCCGCACGGTATCACGGTGCAGTTTGCGCCTTGGAGCATTTTTCTCGTCCATCGACGCATTGGCAACTTCCATGACAGGACACCGCATGACTTGGATATTTTGAATGCAAGCGCGTCGAACTTGGCTCGTTCGATGTCCTCGATCGAATTGCTTGAGCAAAGACAACTCCGCCTGTTCTTCTTGCGGTACGCAACTTGCTACGCCTCGTTCTCCTCGTTGTGGACGCTTCCAGTCAAGGTGGCCAGGTCGATCTGTGTCTTGTTGAAATCGATCCCAGGGCTTGGCATCGCTGCAAGCGAGGTTTTTCACGCTGTGAATGATAGCATCCTCCAGATTGGCTTGATTCATGCATAAAAATCAACTCGACCGATGACGCGACTGTTTTGGGCTGAATGCGCGGTAGTTCAAACGGGATCGAGACCTAGGTCCTCCAGGAGTGGAAGGAACCGCTCGAGAATTCATTCCTCGATCACAGCAGCGTTGTATCCACACGAATATGATACTTCACAAAACATTCATGAACGCGCTCGCGACGAGCGATGACGGTTGGACCTCAGGGGCAGGCATTCATGTACCTAGTGCTCTTTGTCCGCTACAGCTCGAAGCAGCGATAATCTTTCTGGTTGATATAGGAAGCCAGCCCACATTCTGCCGGCCAGCATAATGGAGGGGTTCGTCGAGCTTGGCGACCGTCGAGCCATTGGGACCTTCACCGTCCGCCACGACAAGCATTTTGCTTGCAAAGAATGACGGTCTTCTTGAAAAGCACTGGAACATTCGTGGAATTTGTTGCAATGATTGTTTTAAACACATTGACAAACCATGTTTTAAACTTTGCTCGCATAACTTCCTGAACACACTGGGATTTCCACCCGTCCTTCGTCACCAATGGCGCGAGGACAACGAGCAAGTTCCGCGTCGCATGCGTGTGTCGTGTGCTGTCTGAGCATTGACAACAAGACGAGGTTCCAAACAGTCGGCTCCTGCAACCACGTGGGGTGCTGCAGCATCTGTGCGCTGCGAATGCGTCAGCTCCTCAAGTCAAAGCAATGCGTGATGTGCAAAACCGAGATGGATCGTGTGATTTGTATTACAGACGACACGATGACGTTCGAGAGCTTTCAGGACTGGGGAGACAACATTGGTCCTACCCACATCTTTGACGAAGGGTCGGGGATGTATTTTCTGAAGGAAAACTACAGCGCCGTCCAGGGGCTGCGCAGCCTCACGTGTTCTGCGCGCAACTGCCCCGACAAACACAGCTTCCCGAATATCAAAGCGCTCAAGCAACATTTGAATACGAAGCACGCGCTGTCTTTCTGTGATTTTTGCCTAGACCACAAGAATGCCTTTCTCCAAGAACAAGTCTTGTACACTGCTGGCGCATTGAAGAAGCACAAGTCCCAGGGAAACCCCGAGGAAGGGTTCAATGGCCACCCCAAGTGTGACTTTTGCTCGTCGAGTTACTACGGCAACAATGAACTCCACGAACACTTGCGGAAGCACCACTACGAGTGTGAAATCTGCCTGCACGCGTATGGCATCGAGAACCGATACTACAAGGACTACAACGACATGGAAAATCACTTCCGGTCCGATCATTTCTTGTGCGAAGAACCGTCCTGCCTTGCCGCGAAATTTGTTGTGTTCAAGAACCACATAGAGTTTCAAGCGCACATGACCAAGAACCATCCCCACATTCCTGTGAGTAAGCGCATCGACGTGAACTTTTCGGTGCGTCGAGCCGACCGCGAGGGCCGCGACGAGTACAAGCCCCGCGATGATTACACACCGATTCAAGCGCCGGACGCTGCCAACATCACAGTCGCAGACTTCCCCGCGCTGGTCGGCAACGAACAACAGGTTAACTTCACACCGTGGCAGAGTCAGAACATTCGCATGCCCCGCCAAGAAGATTTTCCGCAACTAGTGGCGTCGTCCGCTCCATCGTCGGCGGCGCAGTACCGCAACGCCGTTGTCCCGCAGCCGACACTCGCCATGCGGGCTCACATGCACGGCAGTGACCCGTGGGAGTACCCTGAAATGCAGCAAGCAGCCGAAGTACTTGGCGCGAACAATCCGTTCTTGCGACTGGTAAAACCGAGCAAGAAGAAAAAGAACAAAGGGAATGCCGCCAGCCAGCCGTCGCCGTCCCCGCCACCGACGCCCACTCCGAGCGCTGCACCACCCGTCGACGAAGAAGAAGAGAAGCCACCTGCGGCCGACCAGTCCGAATCCGTAATCGACAGCATCCAAGCTGCGCTCGGCAGCGAGGCCAAGTATGTTCAATTCCGCGAAGTGTGCAAGAAGTTTCGACAAAAGGAGATCCCGGCCGTGTCGTTCTATAGCTTGGCCCGCGCCATGTTTCGACCGGACGACTTGCACGAGCTCTTTCCCAAACTCATGAGCTTGCTACCGGACGAGAGCCAGGTCACAGAAGTGCTCGTGCTGCATAACAAATCCAAACCTGTCGGATTCAACGACGCCAAGCTGAGGAAGCGACCGTCAAAATCCAAAACAGAGACGCCCCCCGCGCCGGTTGCAGGGCCAGCACCAGCGCCGGTCGCCATTGTTGCTACTGCGGCTGTGATTCCGTCAGCTGCTACCGCAGTTGCTCGAAGTGCCCCGTCGCCCGCCAATTCTACCGCCGAAGATTGGCCTGCCCCGCAACCAGCTCCCAAACCTGCACAAGCTAACAACGCCAAGCCCAAAAAAGCCCGTCAAGTTCCGATACCTGCTGCCGTAGGATGGGGAAATGCCCTGAAAGAGGTCGGGGCCATGCCACAGAATTCAAAGAAAGGCCAACAACTGAACGTCGTGCTCAACAATACAGACCGCGAAGCGTTCAATGCCAGAGCGAGAAACAAAAAGTCTGCTCCGAACAACGTCGTGAGCTGGAGCTCTACAGCGAGCTGGAGCGAGCCCGTTTCCGCGCCGATTGTGTCCACTGGTTTGACCCCCGAGTCGTCCAAGATTCAAGTGGTATCGGTCGATTCGGTGCAAGGCAATCTTCAGGAATTACAGCTGCATGCTCAAGGAAAAGCCCCAAGCCGGAATCGAAGCGACTTTCCTGAGCTTCCCAAGGCAGGGCCTCCCGTAGGCATCCAACATGTTGTGTTGGACAAGAAGGGTCATGGGGGTGCCAATGCATGGGGAGAAGAGTCCAAGCCACAACCATCCACTCAGCAAACGTCCAAAAAGAAAAACAAGAAGGGCAAGCTGACATTGCAAGAGTTTGCCATGCTGTCAGGTTAAGGAACGTCGAATCCTAGTCATCGTGGGTTTGTTGGTGTGTTGGCGATCTGTACAAGGATGTCGATTTAGGACGCCGTATCGACGGGCGGGCCTTGGTCGAGGATGATTTTGTTGGTCTACAAGACAAGTGTGAAAGACAAACACGGGTGTTGGTCACAATTCACCGGTCGAAAGCGAAGATGAGTCCCATGAGTGCCCCTACGAGGCATAGGAACTTGGCAAGTGCCGTCGCCATGACGGAGAGCTAGGAAAATGTCCGTAAGGTGGAAGAAAACTGCAAGGGATGTGTGAGTACGAGGGACGGGGGGTCGACTGCGTCGGGAGCCTCGCAGGAGATGGTGTCGCAGATACTGGTTACCATCGACTCTACTCGAACGAATGGAGAGGGAAAGCTTTGAGTGATGGCACGTACCATAGAGTCGATTCGATTCGGGTTCTCCGCGTCGAAGCGTTGTCGTGTCGTACGAAGGCTCCACGTAGGGAAAACACGCTTGGAATAACGCCTGCCAGCCATCCATTTGAATCGTGTCGTAGAGCCAAACGCACCAGGCACTTTTGCTTGAGGCGCCGTGCATACGTGTGCGTACACTTGGCATGCCGGACTTGGGCGGTGTATGAGGGGCAGTTGAGAATATCGCAGAAGTCGGCCATGCAAAGTCCATCCGATCGGGTCTGTGGCAGGATGTCTGTCAAAATAGGAAACAAGCGAAGGGCATGACTGACGGGGGAATGCCTGCGGTCGAAATGGAGGTCGATGTACTCCTCGTTGCGGAACTGCTTCTTGCACAAGCCACACCGATACCGCCCGCTGCTCGTGCGTTCCTTTTGATGTTCCTACGGCAAACTACCAGTCACGCGTTGTCATCCGAAGCGAATCCGTCCAACATGGTCAAGGTACTGAATGTGCTCCGCCACGAGTGGACATTGGTCGGGTACGTGGAAACGCAGCGCCTGCGCGGGCATAAACACTTTCTTCAAACGCAGCGCATGAGCTCTGTGCACCACAACTGGCCATGAAGTTCTTACGTGGTGGATAATCTGCATGGCTTCTCGACTCATTTGGCGGGAACATGAGGACCTGTCTCGATGGTCAGGGGTTGGCTAGCGGCATGATCCATGCTGACACTTACGTGGACGGGATGGGAGCCGGAATGGCAGCACCGATTTGAGCGAAGAGCACAGCTAGTGTGCACAAGAGGACATGCCTGCGCAGATCCATGCAATGAGACTTAATCGCCGCTGTTTTGCTCGGTTGTGGAAAGTGAGGTGCATAGCATTGCTTATCCGGATGGCATGTAAACCTCAAAACCCCGGAAAGTCGTTGCGAAGGCACTTGAGTCACAGCACTCCTTTCCCTGCCGCGCCATGCACTGAGCCAGAGTTGGTCGTGGCGGATGCACGACAACGGAGGCGTACTAGCGATTCAACACAGTGTCGCGAACGAATCCTGTACGGAACTTACAAGGTGTGCGATTGCTTTGTAGGGCCCGTGGATGGAGGACCGATGTCAAAGATGCAAACGCATGATCGGCTTCAACTGATCAGGTTGAAGGTACCCTTCATGTGCCAGGCATCGCCAGCGACGAACAACCACGCCAGGCGCAGGGCACCCATGATCCCCCGCAATCCATGACGTATACATTTTGCGTGACATGAAATTACACCAATAACGGAGCGCAAGCTCGCGAAGTGGTCATTTTCCGGTTGCGCTCACCGCGACCAACATGTTGACCGTGTGCACGTACAACATTCGATTCATCCTGGATCGATGGCCCGAGCGCAAGCCCCTCGTGGAGCACGAGCTCCGACGCGCCAAAGCCGACCTGTACGCGCTCCAGGAAGTCAACATCGGTGGCCACAACTTCGGCCAACACATCCAGCTCCCAGCCACGGCGCTTCCCGCGAACGAGTCGTATGAAACGTTTGAGGCCCCTGCTGCTCGCCGATACTTCGAGACACTCCCGCTTCTGGGATGGCTCTTCACAACGTCGAACCCACTGGCTGCGTGGGCGTACGACTTTTGTGCGTGGTTCAACGAACGGTTCTTGGCGTCCATCTTGGGGGGGCACGTGCAGTGGCTTTACTACCACCCGATTTTGCAAATCGTCACGTTTCTCGGACTGGGCACGGCGTGGGTGTTTGGCACGACTGTCTACGCTCGAAAGTCGATCGCGTACGTCGTCTGCACCTCGTCCAAAGCTCTGACCTGTTGCGCATAGACCGAAACATCACACGCAGCTCCTGATCGGGGGGTGGAAGGTCGCTCAACGCGTCGTCGTGACAGTCGATGGCGTGGACATTCACGTGGTCAACGTGCACTTGGCGTCGGACCGGGACGAAGAGCGTTTCCGCGTCGAACAAGTGCGGACGATCGCAGACTGGATCGCAGCGACGACGTCGGGGACGAATGTGATCATCATGGGCGACTTCAATTGCGAGCCAAACAAAGCGTGCTACTTGTACTTGAAGCAGCGAGGGTTTACCAGTGCGCACATGCAAGTACACGGGGTCGAGCCCGACGTGACTTTCCATCAGGGGTTGGAAGCGCCGACGAAAGACGTTGGGACAGAAGTGTGCCTCGACTACATCTTTTACAAAGGCCAGGTACCATGGCGCGTGTGCGACCCCGAGTGAGCGGACCCGTTCGTGAGTAGATGACGCCCAAGACGATCGCGCTTGTCGGCACCAAACCCGATCCAAACGACTCGACGTTGTATCCGAGTGACCATTTCGGCCTCCTGGCGACATTTCAAGTGGGGCGTGCGAATTAACAGAGCTGTACACTCGATCCGTCGCGTTGGCTAGTGCGTGTACGTGTCGTTTGCGACTGCACGACGGAAGCGTTGGGAGTTGCATTAAATAGGCGGAAGGGTCGTGCGCGTCAGATCTAACTGCGAGGTAGCCGACCGAAACTGTGCATGTGGGGGAGCATCGCCGTCGTGGTGGCTGGCTTCGCTAGCACATGCACGATGGCGCAAGTATTGCCGGGCTTCGAGTCGCCTCTGTGCTTCGACTGTTGCAGCTGCTTGCAGGTCCTTCCGTCGTTGTATCTCGGTAGAGTTGGTGGGGGACGTCTCGCTTTTTTCAGCTTTCTACAACACCACGTCAGGGGGAATCCAAAGCAATAGAAACGTTTTTCGTACTCTGTTGCGCGCATTGCGTGTGATAGCTTTTTCTAGCCCATGCAATCGAAGCGTTGTGTTGGCTGGCAGGTTGCTCTTTCGTTTCCGCCTTTTTCGACCACCGCTTGCGCCATCAACGCTGCTTTCGGCGCTTTCATCGATGTCCATGATAGCACTGACGAGGAATCGTCGCCGTTCGATGGACACGTGAGTTTTGGCGTCCAACAGGCCTTGGCTCTGCTCCTATCCATCCACGCCGGGTCGATGGTGGTGCGACCAGCGATAGATGGTGTACCTTCATGCTCTTCTTGAGCCCTGCAAAAGATGTGTATCGGTTCAAGTCGTCTAAGCGCGCTTTGGCTCGGCCTTGTTGAGGCGTCAGCGCTTGGACAAACTCTTCAAAGTCGACGCACCCGCTACCATCGACGTCGATGGACTGAATGATCTTCATCGACTCGTCCGTGGTAAAGGCGAGGCCCAGAGTGAGAAGCACTTCCTGTAGCTCGTCGGTCGAGACCGTGCCGGATCCGTCTGCGTCCATCAAGTCAAACCACTCGCGCAAGATCCGCTTCTCTGCGATCGTAAACTCGTGCGGACGGGGTTTCTTGTGTTTTTTCATCCACTCTCGCTCTTCCGTTAGTGCCAGCTCCTTTTCGATTTGCTTGAAGCTAAACCCTGCATGCAGTTTGGTTGGGCGCACGGCTTCCGCGTCGACATGACGCCACCACAAGTCCCGCTCCTTCTCCAACATCAGCCTGGCCTGGGCGCGGTCCAAGGGTTTCAGAATCAACCCACACGCGTTGGCCCGGTCCTTGCAGAGGTCCTTCACATGGGATCGTGGGTCGTTGCCGCCCCTGCTCACCATGCCACACGCAACTGACCGTTGCGACATCGTTATCCGTTACAGACGTTACAGTCACGACCCACCGACGGTTTCGTCGCCAGGAATGGTTGCATTATTTCAGCTTACTGACACCGTCGCCGTCCCAAGCGTGGAGCGGCAGCATGTCTCCGTGGCCTTCGACCACAAACGGTGTTGCGGGGTTGTGTACATGCTTTGCAATCTCGCCCATGCGCTACCGTCGTCGACAGGACCGTCTGAGGTGACGACGGATGGACTTGGTGGACATACCTGCGGCAGCTGCATGCACAAATCATTCCGGTACATTTGGTACTCTTCATCGAGTCGAAGCCACGCTTCGTAGCGCGGGAACTGCGCAAGTGATGCCAGATCGACTTCGCCGTCCTCTTCAAACATCCTTTTGGCGTCGTCCAAGGTTGGAATCGTCACGTGGTCAGCCTCATCGTTGTCGCTTTCGCTGTCGCTCAACATGTCAATCGGAATGGCTTTGGTCGTGTCGATCAAGGATGGCGCGCATGGAGGGACGTCCCACAACGACGCTCGGAGATCATCTGGGCGGTCTCGCCACCCCACCCATGCTGTATGGAGCATGTACGGCATCTTAATGGCAAGCGAGATAGTCCCGGGGGTGTCTGCCATGACGTTTAAAGTCGTGCGGACGACGTGGCGGGCCCGCGGTCGTGGCTGGAGGAAGTACTCGGGGTCTGTCTCGAGAGGGTACTGGATCGGGGTGTACACCCGAAGCGTCGCGGGGGGAAAGATAAACACGGACGGGTCCACTTTGAACCGCCAGGCGAGGTCGACATGCGGCGTCAACGGAATCGGCTCGACTGGCATTATCGCGCGAGGAACGCGAAGGCCAGCTTCATGCTGAGCGCCAACTCGCAGGCCTCGAGACGCCTCCAATGGCAAATACTGTGGAATGGGGAGTGGCTGTTGGGGGCGGTAGCCCATCTACATACCCACGCGATCAACGCAGACAGGTTCGGTCATCGTGCGTACCAAGTCGGCTTCGAGAGGAACTTGGACCGGAAACAAGTCCAAGTCTTGCATGGAATGGGTGTCCGTGGGCACTGCTACAGGAAACCGTGTCCGGGACTCGGTCTCCACGTACAATGGATACGAATGGACCACGACAATCGAGCTCACGTCGGACGCGGATGCGGTTGGGGACGACAGCGACGTCAGCAAGAACGATTTGTCCTCAGTCTGCATCGAGTCGACGGTGGTCTTGACAGGCTTGGGCGGAGCGTTTGTGATCGACACTTGGGCAAACTTCCAATCCCTGTTACCTGCCACTGTCAGCTCCCTCGCCCCTTGTCATGGCGCGCACCGTTCGACCATCCTTCGCACTTCGACGCGCGTCGTGGCAGTCCCGATCCATGCTTGGAGCGATCTCAAGCGTCGCTCCGCACGAAGCCTCGTGATCAGCTTGGACACGACTTGCACGAATCTAGCCAACATCTACGACACATGAGGCTACAAACGTCCGAGCTGCTGGAATACGAACTCGTTTGCGCTTGGCCCACAAGTCGTTCTTGTACGGGTTGAAATCGGGCACGTGGGCGGGGGTGTAGAACGCCGGTAGGGCTGCGCGGACGGGCGGTGTCGATGACACGCTTCCGCCATGACTTACAAAAGTAGTTCGGAGGATCTCGCGACCTTTGCGCTCTCGTTCGAGTGCATGGAACGATCGAACGTCGTAAATGAACTGAATGTCGCTGGCAGCGAGCAGTGAGTCGCCCAAAAACTCGCGGTTGCTCTGAAACTCGAGCTCTCGTTCTATCTTGTCGATCTCTTGCAGCTCCTACGCAACACACGTCAGACCGTACTCGACGTAGCCACTCATGCGCTTCACCTGCAAAAACACGAGTTCTTTGAGCTGCCGCGTCGTCGGCTTGGTCGACACCGACTCTTCCATGAGCAACACGTCAAACGAGAGGCGGCCGCCCCCCGCGCTCCCCGTTTTCAAGCGCAGCGCTTCTTGCTCCGCCTTTTGTCGTTTCCGCAGCGCCCGGTTCTCATCAATGGCGCGTTTGAGGTCTTTTGGCTTGAGTTTTCCGGGCTGTTGGGTCAGCACGAAGTTGGTCGCGTTGACACCTTTCATCGACGTCGGAATTTTGATCCCGTCCTCCATGCCGACGTCATCCGTGATGACGGGCGGCTTCTTGATCTTTTTGGTCGTGCGTTTCGGCGGTGACGGGTCGCCTTTCCAACTCTCGATAGACCCCTCGGGTAACGCAACGATGGGATCGACTGTAGCATCAGTGGGCTGCTTCCGATCCGAGTCGATGGCGGGATTGTCTAAGTCAAGTCTTGAGCGCAATGTTTTCTGCGACAAGCTTTCAACTTGTACCTATAGTGGGTGGTGGCAGCTGGAGGCCTGGGGCGGACGCGCCCGAGATGACACACGTCATGGGCTGAAAGCCAAACTGCGACACAAGCAACTCGATCTCGCAGAACACGTTGGCCATCACAATGGGCTGAAATCCGATTGTAATTTCCGCGACGCCGTTGGCCGGGATCGTTCCTTGTAAAGGTTTGACAGTAATGGAGCTGTGGGCGCGCTTGATTTCGATGCGGTACTCGAACTCGATGGGGACACTGCACCCGATGGACACGGTGCGGGTTGAGAGAAGCCCCAGAGGTTGCGTCCCAAAGAATATCTGCGGTGGAAAGTTGACCTGCACACGTGTAGTCAACACAAACCATCCATAGTTGGCTCAAACGACAAGTTTGTACCTTGTTCACGACGGGGTATGCGTGCAAGGGGATGATAAAGTTGCCGTCCTCGCTGTGCACTTTGATGCAGTCGTAGTAGTATTTGAACTCTGTTCCGGTGAACATCACGACCAGGTCTTCGCTCATGCCAGGGTAAACCGTCCCACGTCGGTTGTTCTCAATGTGAAACGGGCTCTCTGTCGGCGTCACAATGTGCATGCGTGTGCTCGCCGACGACTTGTTCAGAATGCGCACCTTCTGGGTCAACGTCTGGTTCAAGCGAAAACCACCAAAGTGCACGACTTGCGGGATCGCCTCGAGCGCAGGATTGCCTCCTACATACGGGAACTTGTGCGACGCCAGCGGCTGCAGCAACCTGACGTCTTCCGACCTCTTCCGCTCCGCCACGAGCTCCATCGACGGCGTGACCCTTCAACCCGATGAGTATCCGGTCAACCAGTGTGCAGGACAGAAGTTTAATCGGATGAGTCAACTATCCGGATAGATCGAGTAGCGAGCGCGTGACATCGCGTGGAAAAGATGGCAACCGACTTTTGCACAAAGGCGGCGGCGATTGCCGTTGGCGCGGCCACCGCAGCGTACGTGGATAAGAAACTCTATCTATCCCACGACTTGATGAAGTACTGGGGGCACTCGCTCGCGTTGGTACAGACGAGGTACCTCATTGCCCGCAATACACGTGTGGCCGATTTGTGGGAAGAGCTCGTCGACGCCATGCCTTCCAAGGTCCTCGTGATGTTTGAGGGCAAGAAATACACGGCTGTCCAGCTGGAAATCCAGGCAAATCGAGTTGCGCACTGGGCCATGAGCGTGGGCTTGACTCCAGGGTCTATCGTGGCGCTCCTAATGGAAAACCGACCAGAGTTTCTCGCTACTTGGATCGGCCTGTCCAAAGTCGGCGTTGTCGCCGCTCTCATCAATACACATGTGGCCGAGGAGGGTCTGTTGCATTGCCTTCGAGTGTCGGACGCCTCCGTGATCATATTTGGAGCGGAGTGCACGGCACAAGTGGAGCACGTTCTCGACCGCTTGCCTCCACGCATCACACGCTTGGCCGTCTACCACGAAGGTACACCAGTCCACTTCAATCGTTTGTATACTACCTGTCTGCATGCTTCAGATGGCACCCAAGTGCCCCCGCCGTTGGCCTTTGCGCGCTCGTTGAACGAAGACGTAAAGCAGGTGTCGTCGCATCGCCCACTCTTGAGCCAGCGCAAATCCATTTTGTGCACCGACATGATGTTGCTCATCTTCACCAGCGGCACCACGGGCCTTCCCAAGGCAGCGCGGATAGAGCACCAGTCCCTGATAAGTCGTTCGATGGTGTTTGTTCGTTGTGCTCAAATCACTCGATTCGATCGATTCTACTGCTCGCTGCCCTTGTACCACACGGCAGGAGGCGTCGTGGCCGTGGGGATCATGCTGCTGTCAGGCTGCTCGATATCCCTCGCTCGTAAGTTCTCCACCACCCACTTCTGGTCGGATGTACGAGCAACAGAGGCCACCATCGTCCAATACATTGGGGAAATGTGTCGGTACCTCCTCCACGCGCCCCCATCCGACTTGGACCGCGCGAATGTGGTACGTTTCCCAGCGTTGTTTGCAATTCAACCACACATTTTAAAACCAGGTGCGCGTGGCGATTGGGAATGGTCTTCGTCCAGATATTTGGTCGGCGTTTCAAGATCGATTTGGCATTCCCGTCGTGTGCGAAGCAAGTCCCTGCACGTTCTGCCTGTTTTGTACGTGGGAGAATTGAGTTTGTGGTGTGTGTAGTTTTACGGCGCGACGGAAGGCGTCGGCGGGATGCTCAACGTGTGTCGAGAACGCAAAGATAGGGGCCACTTGGGGCAATATGGGTACTTGGCGACCGCGATTTCGGGCATGACGATCGTCGAATACGACGTGGATGCCGACGAATTACTAAGGTAAAGTGTCATCGTGTGGTCGAGCACGACTGCACACGCAGCATCCTAGAGACACCAACAACTTTTTGATTCCATGCGCGACGGGAAGAGTCGGCGAGCTACTGATCAAGGTCGGCGCGTCCTCGCCCTTGCACAAATTTCAAGGGTATTTTAAAGACGACGCTGCGTCCGCCAAAAAGTTGCTCGCCAACGCATTTACTAAGGCAAGCAACGGCGTTTGTAGAATCTTCGATTCAGAGCAGTGTTTTTTCGGCGCAGGGAGATTTGTACTTTCGAACGGGCGATTTATTTCGCATGGACACCGACCGGTGCTTTTACTTTATGGATCGCATTGGCGACACATTTCGGTGGAACGGCGAAAACGTCGCGACGAGCGAAGTGGCCGAGGCACTCTCAGCGTTTCCAGGCATTTCAGGTCTCCGTTTTTCTCAACCTGTGCGACGATTGACGGCTCTTGTTTTGGTGGTAGATATCTGTGTGTATGGAGTGGCGCTGCCTGGTCGAGACGGACGTGCAGGGATGGCGGCGATGGTGTTTAAAGACCTGGACATGGAAGCGTTTGCAAAGTTTTGCACTTCCAAACTCCCGTAAGTGGCTGAGAGCAAAGGGGGCGGGGGCTGATGGAGCTTCTCCCTGTGGTGGAAGGTAGCCTTTACGCCGTACCGAGGTTTCTTCGACAGTTGCGCGCCATGCATGTGACGGGAACGATGAAACACGAAAAGGCTAAGCTTCGGAAGCAAGGCATACAGCTCGACCAAGTCGGCCTCGATCGTCTGTACTTTTTGGATCGGTCGGACCCACTGCGACCCAAGTATTTGCCGCTGACGCCTTCCAACGTCCACGAGATCACAACTGCGTCACGTTTGTAACCACATGACCCCTTCTCGATGAGCAAGACTCGTCCAAGGGATGCGAATTAGGTTAGTAGAACGGAAATGTGTCCACGGACTGCAAAATCCAATCGCTCCCGTCGCGGAGTTTCCGAGGCAGGTATTCTTTCGTGAGATACTGAAAGCCAAACGTGCCTCGACAAGTCAGTTGCGAGTGGTGAACACGAGGCAAAACAAATGAATTTCCGTCTTTTCCTTCGACTGGACCATCGTCGAATCAAGCTCCTAAGATCACACCGAGTGCATGGATGCGGCGAATCTCGCGATGACACCTTGGACCAGAGGGGGGCGTATTTCATGAATTCTTCGTCGAGCAAGTCCATTCCTGCCTTAGTGTCCGAGTCCTTCATGGGAAGCCGGCACTGGTCGGGGATTTTGTACTTGGTTACGTCGGGCGGCCGCGCGCCGAGCCACTTCATGTCCCGACAGGTCAAACTCGCAAGGTCGTACGACAATTTCTTGGACCCGCTCATGTACACCGACAGGATCTTGAGCCGTACATGCCATGGCGATAGGAAAGACCTTGCATGATGCGAAGGAACCGCAAGGATCGCTGTCGACAAGGCCCGGCACAGGTAGTTTCAACTCGTACTGGATTTGCTTGAGAAACTTCGCGTCGCCACATCGGGTTGGCCCTTGGCTGTTCGGATGATGCATGGGTACTTGTTATAAAAGCGGTCTTCAGCCAGACGCATGAATGCCGCGTCTTTTTCCACGAGCAAGATGAACTTGGCATCGCTCCTGTCCATCCATTTATTCAAGCCCTTGGCAGCCACACGATCATATACGACAGGTTGGTGAGGCGGTCGATGTAGGGCGGGATCGCTTTGCCGCCCACTCCCATCGGCGTGCAGTCGATGTGATCCCTGTCGTCTCGAATAGTGATGCGGCCAACCTGAGAACAACTTGGCGTTGAGGAGGGGATGTTGGGCACTCACCACGACCCCCATCTCCGACGCTACAACATGCAAAGAGAATCGCGTGCACCCGACCATGCACACCACATCGTCTAGAACATTGTCGCTTTCGCCATAGTCTTTGAAGAGATTGACATCGGTGTAAAACAGGTCTCATTTCGTGCCTGTTGCGAGCAATTGGTGGACGAGCTCATCACACCCTGTCGTTCGCACCTGCGCCTTTCACATGAGGTACTTAAACTGGAAGAGGAAGTGTACCACCGACGTGTTAGAGAACTCGCGACCACTGAGTTTGTCGGACAAGATAATGCGACCCACGTCTCGGGGACGTGAATTTGCTTCAAAGAGGTTCGGGATGGCACGGAATAGCGCAGCCCGTCCCCCCGGAGAATCGACGGTACTGTATCCACTACCAGACGTTCAATCTCGATCGAAAAATTGTTTGGAACCATCTCCCGAACTTCCCGAGCCAAGAGCACCTTGAGCTCTCGCTGCAGTGTTGGAAGTATGCTGTACCATGTCGAGAGCACTTTTGGCAGTTGACGGACTTTCTTCGGCACAGGGTTTGAGAACTTCGACATTTTGACGGGAGCCATTGGAGCTTAAGGGGGTGGTGTCGTAGACGGAGGAACCGGTGCATTTGCTGCCACATTGGTGCTGGAGGTCGTGGGTTTTGGTAGTTTGCCACGAACTTCTTTGCCAGCGGTTCATCGTCGGACGACTCGTCCATGGTGTTCGCTTGCTTCAGATTCTTTGGTCGGTTCTTTCCAGCCATGCCTGCTGGGCGGCATGGCGTCGAGGAGACTTGCATCCTTGGCGGACCTGCATATTTGCGATCCCGTTGGCATGGAAACCTGCACTCTTCATTGGTATCCGGATGAGGTGTCGCGATGCCACCTAGCTTGTACGGATACGAGTTAAACGTTAAACTCATTGAGCTAAACGCGTTTTTAGTGTGCGGTGTTGCATACTGTACATTTGCCGTGCATTCTCTTTGTCACATTTGTAGGTGTTCAAGGGGATTTGCCGGAGCATCGACCGCCGCAATGTACATATACGCCGACAGAGCGGGGACCGAAGGGGCAGTATAACCGATGGGACGTCGCGTATGGTACGAGGAGTGGGGTGATTCATAGTGGACAGGAAATGCAGGATGGCCCCACGCAGGAGTGGTGTTTCCAACACTCCGATATTCCAGTGAATCGAATCGTCGTGGACAGAATGTGTGTGACTCCCTCTTTTGTGTTTGTCCAACCCGACAAGGAAAAAATTCTCCAGTGTCAAAAAATATTGCAGGTGAATTTTATTGAATCCATTCTGTTGACCCTACTCCAAACAATTCAGTTATATTTTGCATTTCCATGTCAATAAAAAAGTCCAGGTGTCGAGAAATGACCACCTACGGCGAAACACTCATCTTATGGAAGCGCTCCGAGGAGGAATCGACCCTACACTCTGAAATGCGTGTGCAGAAGGAAGTTGTGGGAGGCACGCTGCCCATGGTTCACGGCCACACACTCGGCATAAATGCAAACGATCTCCATGGCGAGGCAAACTCGCGACAGCCACCATCTTCCATCGAACCTACTCGAGTCGAATCTGAACACCCAACACAAATGTTCGTCATGTTCAACGAGTTCTAAATTTCTTGCTGAACTCCTCCCACGTAAAAACGCTCGATCCCACGACGGACCGAAGATTTCACGCCGATCATCGTTCAAGGTGACGCCCATCGCGCACGTTTCATCCGGTGGGCGACAAACCCCTCTCAGGCAGAGACCGATGCGCCACCAAACAAGCCCGACTCGGCTCCTGGATGTGCCGCTGAACGCTGAAGTCACGTCGGCCGAATTCAAAAAAAGTTGACCGGGTAGGCAGGGGGCATGACGCGACGACGTCCGCTGCACCACCCTCCTACTTTCCCTCTCAGCACTAAAATCTCGTGATCCAACCCATGCAGTCTCCCATCAGGGGGTGGATGGAAAGTCCATTGGGTGACACTACTTATGGAGAGACTTGACAACGAACGGTGTCCAACCCTCGTTTGAAGCTTCCAAGAGCTCCAAGTGCTTCAATACGGGTGTGAGAACCACGATGTGGCAACCAGGATGTTGAACCGCTCTGCATTTTATACTTGCTATTTTTATGTCATGTATACCGTCCTGTCCGGTCCTCTCGACACAACCGTACGCGTTTGTGATCGCATCGGATGTTGTGATCACTTCGTTGGTTGGTCAAAGCAGTCCCCATTCGCCGTTGCCTCGAACACATCGCCACTGCCCGCTCGGCGTGACCAATATGCACGTGAACAACATCTCTTTCCTTGTGCTCGTCCTCACGGTGCTGTCCTCCGTTTTCCACTCTGCGTCGGCCCGCCAGGACGGCTCGGTGACCTTGCCGACCCTTCTCGGCGAAAACGCCACAATACACCGATTCCAGGACGATCTCGTTGCCGTCAGCTGCGCGCCGGTTGAACACACCATGACTCCTCTTTGCGGAGATCGAGAACACCGACAGTACCACGCGTATGTGTGCGAGAAGCAATGCATCGATGCTGTCAAGCACCTCTTGCGGAAGCGACGAGACGACGAACTGCGCGATGCCCCACATGCACTTTGTCTCGCTGAGTGGAAGTCCATCGGACGTGTGCAAGCGAACGAATGCCCGACGGAGCTTCAATCGTTTCTTCCTGCATCTGCGTTCAGTGTGAGCACGATTGCGTCAGCGATCTTGAGCATCTTTGTGCTCTTTTCGTGCAGCTAATCAGCCGTGTATCGACGGACCCAAAAAGTGAAGCGAGATTAAGTGAGACGGTAGAGCTGAAGCAGCAGCAGTACGAGTATAGGTAGTTAGGTAGAATCCGCCAAGTGAACGTGGGAGCCCCTTAATATATACCACGTCCTTGAGGGTAAGATTCATCGTCGTGTGGCAAAACCATGACCCGAGAACATAGTCGCGGCCTGCTGCATCGGTCGGCTTCGAACCTCCACAGGGCGCCGTTGGATGGATGAACCTGGCCGCAAGAGAAAATCTCTTCCGAAGATGCCAAGGATGTAATTGTCGGTCCCACAGCCACGGGCACAAGGACCTGCACGAGACATGTGTGGGATCTCATCCACTAGAACGGCAACGATAGAACTCGCACTCAGATTATTTTTACTTGTTTACAACGACGACCTTGGGCTTGTTCGGATTGTTCTCGAGCAGCCACTTGCCGAGCCGAGTGATGGCCTGGAGCCCCATCGGTTTGTCATTGCAAAGCATAATGAGTCCCCGAGACAACACTTGGGTGAAATTTTCATTCCCAGCTTGGGCATTTGTCAGGTAGTGCTGAGCGGCGGTGGCTGTCGCAATTGCGGCGGGGGGTCGCATCCCCGGGAGGGACGAGTGCAGTTGGAGCTCGTTCACGCCTCCGATCGCGACAAAGTAAAGCGACTCGACCAGGTGAAAGTAGTCTGACGGGGTCTTGGTCAACTTCGCCGCTTTCAATTCCGCCGACGAAAACGCCCGCGTAAACTTGTTGGTCGTGGCCGAGTTCACTGCCATGCACACCACTCCACTCGGCTCGGTGTCATACAGCGTCACAACGTGGTCTTCCCCCCGGATGAGCAAGTTCGCGCGGAAGACCGGCCCGGGAAGCGTCATGCCGAGGAACGAAACGAGAGTTGGGCCGCGAAACCGTCGCGTTCTATTCTGGGCACAACATGAAACCGTCGACGGGAACGAGAGTGCTGTCAAGCGAGGAGCGATGAGCAGCGCGGACGGCGCTCACCATGGCCACCACGGTGGGTTTGATTGTTGCAGAATGCACCGACACGACGAGGTTGAGCGGTGTAGAGGCAAGGAAGGTCAAAACTACCCTCATCATCGAGGTCGCTCTCGACGACGGCGTGTTTGTCAACCCCACGTTTCGGTACAAATTCCTCGACGGTAGCAAGAAGGTGACCCCAGTACGTGAGAGACATCGTGCTTTGATTTGCGTGGGTCATTGCCGGGCGTAGCCTGTGGGGACAGCCGGCTCATGGGTACCCATCGCTGCGGACGGGACGGCGGGGGTCGCACCAGCACCCAACGCGCCAGCCTCCAATGCCAAAGCCCCGCCGTCGGCACGCCAAGGCCAGGGAACGGCAGACAATTCGTCCTCACCTGTAGACCTCGGTCCCAAGTACTTTCGCCACGAACAGCACATTCCTGACTTTGACATCACCGAAGCATTCGCCCTGAAACTCAACGACAACCCTATCGTAACGTTCTTTCTGGCGGACCAGACCCCTGGCCAAGCTGCGACGGCAGTGACCGAGCACAACCAGACGACGACGCCCACCGTCGGACGCAACTTTATCACGTTCTTTGAGGTCGACACAAGTCCGCTTCTAGCAGGGGACCTTGTCCTCGAGCAACAATGGGGCTGCGACGTCGCTGCCAAGGACATGCACTTACCCCTCGGTGCCCCATTCGTCAACGCTCACGGTACGAGGCGCGATGTCTCTGTTGCTAAACTGGTCCCCAGGGATCCATTCCGTGACGATTCGCATCAAAGTCGACCATCCCCTGTTGTCGCCAGCGCTAGTGCAGTCCTTGAACCCACTCACCGTTTGTATACGAAAAGCTACGAATCTCCCCGGCATCACCGTCCAGTCGAAGCCACTCTTGCAATACATCACACCCACGCCGCACACTGCCCTTCACAAGTGCTGTGTTCCAGCGTACGCGTCGCTGCGAATGCCTATGTGTCCCCAGCGCATTGTGCGGACGTCAGGAATTCTGCAGGTGGACCCTACGCCGCCCATTCCACCATCATGGGCTCACGACTTTTGTCCTTGGAACAGGACACCGACGTTGCGTGGGACCATAAAAGCACGTTCTTGTGTGGGCCGCTGGACTGGCCGTCGCTCGAAGAAAGCTTGCAGGCAGGTCATGTCGACGTCGAGCTTCACGACCGCGATATCCAACTCGACCGCGAATACGCCGAGCTCGTGAAAAAGTGGGAGAGTTACGTCGGTGGGCGCTTCCCAGACAGTTCGCACCCCCCTACCCACGACCACCATCCACCGAATGCGAAACTCGACGTCTTTCAAGTCGACGAAATTGCCAAGCAAGACATTCAGAGCCTCTACTTTGTCCGCGCAGGCGATTGCAATGCCCACGGTGTGGGCATGTACCGTTTCTACGAGCTCCTCCGCACGGTAGCCCTCTCAACGATCTTGTTTCACGACTCACCCTTGGCCCAAGACAAACCTCAAGAAGCAGGAAGCGGGCAAACCCTTCATGACGCTGAAACTCACGGCAGACATCGTACCGCACAAGCGCCGCATTCCTCCAAAGGAAGGGTCGGACGAAGACATCAACCTGTCTCAAGTACAATTTGCCCGGCATGTTATAAACTGTTTGATGGAGATGGCATTCCCGAACAAACTAGGTGGATAAGCTCGTTCGATTGCCCGGGTCGTACTTGAACTGCCTGACGGCATTGGCGGTGGAAGCGACGCTGCAGAACCCCCTTGGAAGCAACCCCCCGACCGGACCCCCGACGCCTTGCAAACACGGAGGAGGGGTGTTTACCCGCATGGTCGTCGTCATTCCGTACAACGACGTGGCAACGCTCCAGAACATGTCCAAAGCCATGGAAAGCATCAACTCGGCGGCGTTGCCGGGGGTCCCTCTCCGGTCGTACTTGCTCACGGCGGCCCAAAAGGAGGCTTGCGACAGCGGCGATTTGAACGTGATCACAGGATTCCAAGTCATCGATGCGCACTACCGCATGATATTTTTGGAAGGCATTGCAGAGACCGGGCTCGCGACTCTGCACAAGATGGTGCCTCGGACGGCGGCCAATTCACGCACTGGGTTTCGCATGTTCGCCAACCCAGACGTACGCTTCGTCAGTCGGCTCTACACGGCATTCGACGTTGACATGAAGCGGATCAAGCTGCGGGACCCTCTTCCTGACATCGTCAAACGCCCAGAACTGTACATGCGGTCCAAGGTGTCAGAAAACTGCTTCCAGGCGCTGAATCGACTCGGGGACGTCCGAAAGGTACTATGTGTGAATCACGCTGTGCATCCTGACGCTGTCTCGATCCATAGGCCGACCGCCTCATCGAGCTCAAGGACTTGAACTTGTTCCCGACCGTTCAAATGCTGCTGGAGGTAGAAAGCAAATACGGCGAAAGTATCACGCTAGAAGATATTCATGGCCATGGCCATGACCAAGTGAAGCAGCACGTTCTCAAGCAGCTGCAGGGAGGCGTGCAAGCCACGACGACTGACACCACGTCGTCTGCCAGCACACACACGGCGAGCGACAGCACACTCCAAACGACGTCCACTTCGTCGTCTACGACTGGCGACGTCACACAGAACTCGACGGCTGGAGGGGCACCAGTGCGGTACAAGGCGAAAACGGACGCTACCAACGACGCGTTTGAGCAGGCCAAGAAGAATTGGATGCCCAAGGATTACGTGGAAACGAGGCGGTATGATAGCAGCGCCCCATGCTGCACCTTCATCCTCGTGTGGCTAGACTTGAGCGGCAAATGGCTGACGAAGTGTACGCTCTTACCAAAGCTGCCAACTCGGCGGTGGACGACGGCCAGCCCGTGTATATGTACAGCGGCCAAAAATTGCGGGTAACCTCATGAAACAATGTCGCCATCCATGAGATTCCGTTTTGTAGACAAAAGACCTTGAGAAGGACGCGATGCGGCAGCGCTTGTCCAAGGACCGCCATGCCACGTACACGTACAGCAAGGATTTCAATTCGCTCACGATGAGCATGGTGGATGAAACGAAATTGGCTCTCCTGGCCGAAGCTGAGTCCCGCGCAAAGTTCACGACCCCCAGCGGCTTCGTGTACCCAGCGCCGCGCCAGCCGAGCGAGTTTTACAAACACAAAGACGCACCGAGCGCCGCCAGAGTCGAAGATTTGCACTCTCCGTGGATCGAGAACTTGTACAATCCGCAGCCCTTGTCTCGGGGCGGAGGCGGCGGCGGTGGCAACAAGTCAAGGCCATTTGACTGCCTTCCTTCCAAGGACATGGTGTTTGGAGGCACGAATGCTGACGGTAGCGTCAACCCCGAGTACTTCAAGTCAGTCCATCTCGTGGGCGACGGGCTGGCGAAAGAGATGGAGGAGGCCAAAGCCAAGGAACACAAAGAATGGCTAGATAAGCTCGTGGTCGATCGAGACAATCTCCGGTTCATCGCGCATGGCAACATTATGGGTCAAGGACGTGCAAAGCCGTCGCCCCTGGACAAGCCATGCGACATCCTGTCTGGCCCTGTTCGATCGAAACCCTTGCGCATCGTCCGCGCCGCAAAACTACCGAGCGGAAAGCCCGTCCCATTGCAAGCCATGCCTGTGAGCATCATGAACCAAGACGTCTACACAGGAGGCGCCATGAAAGTCATCATGCGCGAGAAGGACCCGGCGTTATTCACTGCCAAGAACGAGCGCGACGAGGGCAAAGACTTTCTGTTCCCATCGATCACGCAGATCCTCGTGCCAGACGTCAACAAGCACACGACCATCCTCAAGCCGCGGAAGCCACTCGCTGCCGCCGAGAAGACTGGGACGCGATGGAGCAATCCGAATCAAGATCTCAGGTCGTAGGACATTGGCAACAGAAATATCGGAAAACTATGGAGAATGTCTCACATATATATAGATGAGAATTGAATTCTTGCCACAGACACATACTACGTAGTACTAGTACGTCAAAGTAAATGATTCCTTTCCCTTAAATAAGTTCGAACAACAAGGCAACATTTCTTCAGTTTTCTTCGAACAACGCCAATATCCGGATACAATGTGAAGCTCCATTTGTCTGGCTGTACAGAGTGCGAATTTTGGTTGTTGGAGTATGGAAGAACAAGGGCAGGTGGTCCAGCTCACGCAGGAGGAGCATGCGGCACACTTGGCGCAGATGGAACAGCAGCTCAAGGTGTTCTGGGCAGGGCAACTGGCAGAGATGGAAAAGCTTGAAGTGGGCAGCGAACAAGGTAGGATTCCTGAGCTTGAGCAATTCCGTTGCGACGGCGACTACTGGATCTTGATGCGCTGGCCCACTAGATTTCAAGAACCACAACGACCTGCCACTCGCCCGAATCAAACGCATTATGAAGTCGGACGAAGATGTGCGGATGATCAGTGCAGAAGCTCCCGTTCTTTTTGCCAAGGCGTGTGAGATGTTCATTTTGGAGCTCACGCTGCGGTCGTGGGGGTACTCTGAAAAGAACAAGCGTCGCACATTGCAAAAGGAAGACATTCAAACTGCGATTCGGAATACCGACATCTTCGACTTCCTCGTCGATGTCATCAACTAAATGAGTTGTCTTGTCCGACCACGGCGTTGGCAATTCAGCCCCTATGCCACATGTCCCCTCTGTATGTCTTGATGATCCTCCCAAAGGGATTTCTGTGCAAGCTCTCAACCAACTGCGCTCACGGTTCTATTTGGCGCCTAAAATAATTTGATACCCCGTAATTCTTGCGCTTCTCGACGCTATCTCGTTGAACCTACCTACCTCTGGATAATTCTGTCACCTCCCTCCTTACATTCAATCCCCGTACCACCGAGTGGATTCGCGCATTCTCGAGGTCGATGTGGTAGTACAAAGTTGGGCACTCCAAAGTTGAGTGCCAAGGCTTAATCCAGCCAAGCTACGTCAGTCTTCTACTCCACCACGGCAGCACAAACTCACTCTCTCAGGCAACTTGCCACGCCACCGCCGACCACCGCCGAGAAGAGTCGAGAACGGCGTGCAGTGGCACCCTGCGCTGCTGTTGACGGCGGTCTCCGCCTTGTTGTCACGATTTACTCCGATGACGCAATCATTCCTGGTCGACAAACATTCCACTGTCCTGCCCAGCCATTTTCAGTTTTGCCGCGTCGACATGCCGTTCGACATCGGCGAGCACTGCAGCAAGCCAGGATGCAACCAGAAGGACTTCCTGCCGTTCGCTTGCGATTGCTGCTCGGGCGTCTTTTGCCTTGAGCACCGCACATACAGTGCCCACTCCTGCCCGAACGCAGGCAGCAAGGACTGCCGCGCCATCACGTGCCCCCTCTGTCGCGCGACAATCCCTTTGACCAACGACCAGGATGTGAACGCTGTGTTTGATCTTCATACTCGCGCGGGGAACTGCAATCCTGATCAGTACAACGAGAAGAAGAGGGCGAAAGTGCGATGCGGTGCGGAGGGCTGCCGCGATGTTTTGACAGCCTCCAACACCGTACAATGCACCACATGTCGAAAGAAAGTCTGTCTGCGGCATCGCTTCGAGTCCGATCACCAGTGCAAGCGGCAAAGCCATGTCCCTTCGTTTCGTCCGAATTCGTCTTCTCGTGAGCCATCGGCATCGACGGCATCATCATCATCGTCGTCGCAGCTCCGTCAACGTTTGACGGGTGTCGGATCTGCCATGTCCTCGACGGTCTCCCGTTTGGTGGATGGCGCCAAGGTAAAGATGCATACGACGCTCTCAATGTAGTTTGTCTCAACAAAATCATGCAGAATGCGCTGCCAGTGGCTACTGCCGCTCCTACTTCCGTCACCGCATCGACCGAAGCATGCCCAATCTGCCAGCAGACGTTTCGGTACACGTCGCAGCTGATCGCACACGTGAACAATGCTCATCCTGATGTGCCTGGAAGCCGCGTATGTGATCAATCGTTTGGCCCCCTTCTTGCTCATCTCATCGACCGTAGAGTTCACGAAGCACTCCTGCAGCTGCAACCGCGCCCCCTCCGGCTCCATCGAATGAAAGTTTGGAAGCATGCCCTTATTGTCGCGCCACATTTTCAGAGGTCACGCAGCTTGTAGCACATGTGCAAAGGGACCACGGCAATGAGCCTAAGAAGTCTGAATGCACTTCGATGTAACACGAGGAATTGTCTGATCTCCTGGTGTGCAGTCGTCCTTCAGATAAGATGCGAGAATAAGACCATTTTGTACACACGCAATTCCTTGTATTAGATTATCTTTATGGGCCTCGTTAACATCCCAACAACTCGAATCATTTCGTCGATGCGAGGCGCGACATGCGTTGAATGTCACCAAGGGCGCAGGTCTTTCTATCCCGACTTGAAGAGCAAGATCGCGACCTGACCGAGATAAAAGTAGATGAAGTGCTTGGTTTCGTGCGTCACATACGACCCAAAGTTGCGACCGACAATACAATGCCAAGTTGGGTTGTACTTCTTGTCGAATTCTTTCTTGATGAACGCCGCTATGTCCTTCTCAATGTTGTACTTCTCCAACGCTTGAGACGCGCAGTCCACTGCGTCTTGCTGCATGTCTTCATGCATGTCTGCGTTCTTGATCACGGCCTTTCGCTCCGACATCGCTCCTCTTCTCTGTAGCTCGTCGCTGGCCCCGCAAAACTCGAAATACCAACCCCTCTATGTTTCCATACTTTTCAAATCCGCCCTTCCAGAAGATTGCAGACCCATACAAATCTCCAGATAAACCGTTTCTCCTTTTAAACTTGATTGCCACTGCGAATCCATTGAGGAAGATCTACATGTTATTGAAATATTGATACAAATATCAAGATTACAACGAATAAAAATACATAGACGTTTCCGCGCCGGTTCGCTTGACCAGGTAACGGCCATGAGCGAAACCACCAGGTCGCTCCATCGATTCTTCCAGAGGGGCTTCCAGTGCAGTAAAACACTGCGGGAACGCATCTTGTTGAGCGACCTCAAAGTCCACGTCATCGTAATGTGATCCGGCGCAAGGGGCATTGTAACAAGTGTTGTTGGGATTTGGCATGACCACTGTGCTTCCCACACAGTGTGCCATCTTGTGTGGGCTCTGGTCATTATGGGCATCCGTCAGTAGTTTTACACGATGACTTTGTTCATATTGCAATGCCACTCAAACTTCATCGGTTGGTCATGCGAGATTTTGAGTGTTTGAGCATTGAATCACAGGGTTGCCCATGAACTGGTGACGAGGAATCGGTTAAACCCTTCTATTTTGATAAATTTATTTCCAAATGCACTTGGCGAATGGACTTCACGATAAAACGATGGTGTCAGGGATATGCCCTTCGTCAACCTTAGTGAACGATGCACAAACAGGATGCGAAAGATGTCTCGACCGGCTGCAACGTTTGCGGGGCTCAGGAACAGAACAGAATGTGAAGAGGAAGTGGTTATCCGGATAAACCTTTTGATAATTTATATCGCTGTGACGGACGACTTCATGCCCGATTGCTCCATTTTGGCACCACAAGCTCGTCTCAAGCGATGCAGGTGCTGACGTTTGGCCTCGTGGGGGCCATCCTGTGCTTATGGTTCACATTCGACGCCGGAACGTCTATATTCATCATGCTCGTCATGTTCCTGCTCGTATCTTACGTGGCAAACCGCGTCCTGTTGGAGTCATCACCAGCCCACTTTCACGACTGCGGGTTTACAAACGACGAAGACGTCGCATTCGACGACGAATACGAAGAAGACTCTGTACAGACCACACCCACAAGAACGAATCCCCAAGAAAAGCAGCCGTGGAATGTCCCAGGTCTCAGGATTCGTGAACTCATCATGCCGTCGTCGTCGCAGCACCGAAAAGACACAATGCAGGCGGGCCAGGAGCTATGGCCCAACTCGGACACTCCCGTTGAGATCGAAAACGAGTATTTCAGTGGTCGCATCCTGTTCTTGCTCAAAACAGAGCCACGTAGCCCGACGTGGGGCCAACTTTTTGTCGGTCGCCGCCGGTTGTTTTGGATCCAGTTGCAAGGCAAATTCAAAAAGCAGCCGCAAGGGACTGTGTACGTGGGTGGCGAAATCCCCAACAAGATGAAGCTGGGCTTTTTCACGAAAGGGTTGTGCCGTGTGCTCCTTTCGGTCATCAACTGCCTTGTCGTGGGGTTGCACAACAGCTTCGGTCGGTTGTATCCCGGTGACGTGGCGTTACAGGACGACGAAGAACTGCCTCACCTGGCGTTCCCATTGCACTCTTCCGTGGACGAGTTTATTTGCACGCCGGCAGGGGAGGAGCCCCCAGCGTTGGGCTCGGACGGGTTCCTCGAAACGCGCGAAGAGCGAGCAAAACGGAGGTCGGGCAAGTACCCGTACGAGTTCAACACGGCCGACACGTACTCGTTCTCATTCTTCAACTTTTACCTGGACTTTGAAAACTGGAAGGTTGTGAATGCTCCTGGGGTTCCGGATATCAATCTGTCCCAGTTTTGGGGCAGTATGCCGATGCGCATCGTGTCGTACAGTTTGGCGCAGCCCGGCTCCCAGCGCCACACGCGCGGCCTGAAGCTGTACAACTTTTGTTTTGAGCTGACACCGCCGACATGTGACGAGAACGCGTCTCCGATACAGCGTTCGTCCTCGGCGACGGACATGGCAGCCGTTGACGTGGAAGCAGAAGAGCTGGAGTTCCTCCGCGACGAGCAAAAGGCGCACACGCAGCTCGCCAACGAATTAAGCTGCTTTGTCTTTACCATCCCTGCCTGGCTCGAGTACTTCAGCACCCACGACCATACGAAAGGTCCCGGGCAACGCCGTGTTGCGTATGCATTTGACATCCTTGAGTACACCGACACGAGCCGGAGCCGGCTCAAGCGACATCACATCGCCATCCACGGTGCGTCGCAAGCGCACATGCCACTAACACTCGCGAACGACCATCCCACCAGCGAAGCGTTTGGGACACAGTTCGAATTCACGGTCGAATCCAAGTCGGTCGGTGGTAGCGCGATTGAAAAGGAACGCATTGAAGTGGAGGCCCGCTTGATTGACATTTCGCGCGATCGGGTCATGGCGACGCTGGTCGAAAAAGACCACAAAGGCCTGTCCATTGCGCACTTGATTGCAGCCAAAAATCAGCTCAAGCGACTGCTCACGTCACCAAGCACGGTGCTGCCATACGCGCCGTTCTTCGCCGCTCGAGGGCTTGTGGCCAACGCGACCCAGTGTCAGGTGGTCCGAATGGTGTGGGACTCGCACTGGCGCAACGAATGGATGATCCTAGACACGGGCAAGTCCAAAGCCCTTCGCTTCTTTCGCATGTCGTCGTCCACGCCGTGCGTGACGATTCACCTGGCCGACATCTTGGCGCTGTCGCCGATCTCTGGCACGACGTTCAACCTCCCGGCGACGGCGAACTGCAACGGAATGCACTGGATCCAAATTGAAACGCTGGCACGAGTTCACGTTCTTGCAGTGGCCAGTTACCAAGAGTATGAGTTCTGGATGAAGATGCTGGCAGTCGAGGTGGAAAAGATTGTCGTGGAGGGAAAGGATGTACTCGCGCGATCCGTGTTGGGCCAACCATTTCGGTCGATTGCCGGCCTTTTGGGCAAAGGGCGCCACCCGAAAGACCTGTTCATGCCCACACGGGGGGACGATGGCCGTGTTGTGCTGAACGACCGCCGAATCGCCACGCGCTTTGGGTTGTCTCTGCCAGCGTCAGCGCAGTCCGCCTCGACGGAACACAAGCTCTTCCTCGAAATGTGCGAAGTGGCAGAGAAGGCGCTGCGCATGGTGCTCGTACTCACAAAACACCCCACAGCGTGCCTGACCGGTGAAGTGCTCACATTTCTTGACCAAGTGTCCATCTTGAAGAGGTTCGTCCCGGCGCTGTCGTCCAAGGCGCTGGCCACTGTGTCCACAGCCCACCGCACGGCGTTTTTCTTGAACGTGTACCACATCCTGGTGCTGCATGGTTCGTTTTTCGAGCTGCTGCCGACCGTCAAGCCCAAATTGACGTGGAGTTCGTTTTACAACATCGTATCGTACGACATTGCTGGGATGTCCCTCACCCCTGCCGAAATCGAGCACGCCATTATCCGCGCGTCGCTGTGTCCGCTAAAGCCGCCGTTTCCCGCATTCGTCGTGCCTCGATTCGCCGACGATGACCCAAGACGAGTGCTGAAGGTCCCGACCGCGGATTACCGCGTGGACTTTGCTGTGAATTGCCTCACCAAGTCGTGTGTCCAAGTGGTAGCAGTCTTTCGCGGGGATGATCTCGATCGCCAATTGAACTACATCTGTCGCGTCGTGCTCAGCACGCTCATGTCGACTGACTCGAAGCGCCACGTGATCTACTTGCCCCGGATATGCGAATGGTACCACGCCGACTTTCCAGGCGACGACACAGTGCTGTCAAAAGTCACAACGTTGGCGACCCATCTGGACGGCGACATCAAGCGCGCCGTCGATCTTCTCCTCGGTCACCCCACCAAGCTCTCGATCAAGTATTTAAAGTACGACTACGGCTTCCACAGCACGATCTTCCTCGCCGGGGATGCGCCGTAGAGCCACCCACCGTACTAGCTTTGTAATGTCGCCTGTAACATCGTCTGTGCGTACCTTGGCCAGCTTTGTCCCCTTCATCTTGCCAGCCTGTGGTCGTGCATACGTGGCAAGACGGGGTGCCAGCGGAACGCAGGTGAAGATTCATCGCCTTTGGCTGTGATTGGCTCAATTTTTTGAGAAAACGTAAAATTGTGGCGGAATAATATTATTTCCATCAATATACAAACACACCGTGGAGATTAAATTTGGAATATTCGGATGTCGAGTTTACTTGTTGACACGCAATCCTCTCTCGTCTTCAACCCACATTTACCGTTTCGTGACGATGGGCCACCGCGTCCCTCTTCCTGCGGCGCCCAGAGCTTCACTTCACCCGTGGAACGCCCCGTCCTTGAGTGTCCACGAGACTAGTGTGCCGTCCAAAGTCAAGCACCCATCAGCCCCGCTTCAAAAGGGCAAAGTGATTGTTCCCAACTCGGACCACCCGATTCGGTTTGAGAACGACCTGTTCAGCGGCCAGATTTTGTTCCTCCTCCGGACGGACCCAATGCCGTCCAAATGGTCACATTTGTTCTCAGGACGCCGGCGATCGTTCTGGATTCAGCTGCAAGGACGGTTCAAGAAACAGCCCCACGGGCAAGTCTACATTGGGGGCGAGGTGCCGAGGAAGATGCAGCTCGGAATCATCACGCGGTCGTTTTGCAGCATCTTGCTCCGTGTCCTGAACTTGCTCGTCGTGGGACTGCATTACAGCCTTGGGCTGACGTCGCCCGACGACGTGAACCATCCTTCTGAAGAAGAACTCGGCCACATTTGCTTTCCATTGCATTCGTCGGTGGACGAATTTGTGTGCACGCCGGCAGGACAATCGCCACCCACGTTGGGAGTAGACAGCTTTGGTGAATCGGCGGCCGCACGAGCCGAGCGCAAGGCAGCCAAAGACCTGTACAAGTACAACACTGACGACACGTACACGTTTTCGTTCTTCAGCTTCTACATCGACTTTGTCGCGTGGAAACTTGTGCATGTTCCTGGCCTTCCCACCATCAATTTAGAGCGATTCTGGGACACCATGCCTTTGCGCATTGTGTCGTACAGTGTCGCGGCAGAAGTGGGGACAGAGGAACACCACAAGAAACCAACCCATACACAATCGGACAAGGAATATTACATGAGTATTGAGCTCGACCCAGCGGCCATCTTGGCGTTGCGTCGCTAAGTATAAGCTATTCTAAATCTTACTATCTATGTCGCGTGCTCGCCTTCATCGATGGACGGGACCACGCAGCACAAGATCATGACATAGCGGTGAACTCAAATGGGTCGGTGCAGCGAGTGAATTGCATCTGTCGTGCCATCCACTATCGACCCATTCATTCCGACAACAACGAGAAAGCGACCAGCACTTGCATCCACTGTGTCGCGGTGGCACTTGTTGTGCATGCATAGATGGAAATGTCCTGCTTCACACAGACAGCTGCAGTCTGGCTGGGGTCTCACGATATTAGTTTGCAATGGCTTTTACACTTGCCAAAGGAGAAGCACAGTCGTGTTCATAACACTCCTCGTGGCTCAAAGAGTGCATCCTGACGACGCAGAGGGAGCGTGGGGATAAGATGCTTGCTGCAAAACGAGAGGCGACTGCGACCCGTGTTGGTAGTGCATCGGGTGGTGCTGCGACGGTTGTGGGTGTTGAGGGAATTGGTAGTGTTGCTGAGTGGGGTGCGAATGCGCTTGATGTTCCAATGCGACGCAGGGGGGTACAGTCGGTCGCATGGCTTGCTTACTGTCAGGAGGGGGTAGGAATGTGGGGTCGTCTTTCAGGTTGAGTGCGGTCAAGATCGTTTCGAGAACCATGGGCGCGTCTAGGGTAGGAAGCGCCAGGACTTTAACGATGGCGGCATCCGCCTCTTCCTTTGTAAACGCCATTTGCGTTCTGCTGGGGGGTTTCTTGTTGCCGTGGCTTGAGATCGCCACGATGGCTGAAGCAACACGGGCCAACAAGTCCGTCGACGCATTCGGCGGGATCACCGCATCTTCAAGAGCTGTCATGAACACATCTTCTTCGTCGGGGGTGATCGTGACGCTGCAGTCGTAAATGATGAACTCGGTGTCATTTGTGTCGTCGTCCGTTTCTGCACGCGCGGTGATTGCCCGCTAGAGGCCATCCGACAATAGACTTACCTCTGGGATCATTCGGAGCTGACGGGTGCTTCAGTTGCATCGTCACGTGATGCCCGCTTTCAATCAGGGCCAAATCAAACATGAGCTTTTGGTATCGCTCCCGCACACTCTTGGCGGATTTGTTGGTGAATTTCGTCGCAATGATATCCCACGGGTAGTATGCGCAGTTGGTGTAATGGGCGAGCACCTCTTCAAACAATTTATCGTCGGCGGCAGTCCACCGACTATCGACCAGCTGCATGGCGTGCATCTCTTTTCGCTTTTGCGTGTTCACCATTTGAAGCTGCAAAAAGTACCGATTCGCGTGCAGCTTGACGTCTTTGAACGTGCGTGTGCCGACGTAATCTGCGATCATGGTCCACACGGCACTGCTCGGCGTGCAGTGGCCGCACTTCTCCAACGCTTCCAGGAACCGGCAGTGCTCTTCATGGGTCCAGAAATGCGGTGATATCGGGTTGCACACCTTCTTCCCCATGTTGGCACGCGAACTTGGTGAAATGGCGCACTGAAAGGTCAGACGACAAACAGCCACCCCCGAAAGGTCACAGCCAAAATGGACGGAGTGCTTTAAAATGACGTGAATGAAGTTTATTTAATAACGTGAGTTTCAGCTACAAAATGTATACTCGAATAAAGTTAAGAATAAATTTGAAGATTTACGTATTTTATGAACAGGCACACACATCCGGACGAGACATTTTTGAATTGCGCGCGTACAGCGGTGGCTGCGGCATGGGCGTGTCCTTCGACGCGGAATGGATCTTCTCCGTCGCTGACGATGAACGAGTTGCATTCATGTCGAGTGCATGCTCCAAGCACAGACGACCCTTTGTGAACCAAGTTTTTCGCCCCTTCCTGTCGTATTCGTTGCAGCATCCAAACACGACAGCAATCCCGTTGCTGTTGCGGCGAGTACGCGTCCTGCATGATCGGCGTCGCCACAAGTAACTGTGTATGCCTAGTTCCTGGATGAAGTTGATTCAGACATGCGATGCAGCTTGGTTCGAATTGGTTTGGACGACCTCGAACAAGTTTTAGTGGTGTCGCGCGACGACAGCACAGGTATCGCGAGATTGATATTGTACAAGTCGTGTTCACTGGAGTGCACTAGCTTGTTTCTGTGCGCTGGAGACCTTTCTTGCAACTTGTCCCATGGATGTGACGGTGATGGGTACATTTATTGAGCGGTTGACGTCAATCGATTTCTCCAAGAACGTTCGAAAGCAGCTTCTTCATCGTAAGGTCTAAGTCATATCCATGGATATGTGACGAATTCTTCCAAGTTGTCTATCGCAGCGACTTGTGTGAGGCTGCAAAACAGGAGTATTTCATTCATGCAGTGCAGATGGAGCCCACGAGGTATAAATCACATCAAATGTGCTCTTCGACTCTCGCACGACTTCAGTCACCACCGCGAGCAAGCGTTGATGTATTTGCAAAAGACGAATTTCGGAAACCCTGCCGCGTTGCACGTCATCGTAAAACAATTGCGCGACAAAGCGAAACGAGTTCAGTTCATGATAGAGTCACCCAAGCTTGAACTACTTGTAGGTTCACATGGCGGCATTCGAAATCATCACAACGGTGCAAACATCATACCTATCCAACTAACCACTTGAAATTCTCACGCTATCTTCCGTTTCAGATGGATCCGGTGGTAAAATCTCTCGACCATTTTGACGTTGTTCAGTGCGCACTACAGGCGCTGCTACACCATCTCGGTGCGGACACGATGGCTCAGTGTCTGGGAGTGCTCGCTCACCTTGCCAACGCTCGCGACGAATCTCATCACGCCGCCATTGGTCGTATGCGTACGTGTTTCATGTGCACCTGTTTATTAATGCATGGCACCGTAAATCTATTGATGATTAGTCGTGGTCTACGCGACGCATCCATCGCACACCTTGGAAAGGACATGCGACCGATTGACTCTGCTGGACAAGTACCACACGGACTCCCTGGACGCGTTGGTGCGGGAAAAGATCGACCAATTAGTCTTGCCGTCGTTCTTCCAGTCGCTATAACAAGATCACACCCTTGGCCTTGAAGTACCGAATGCCAATGTAAATCATAAGCGCGGCGCATGTGGTGGAAACGCCAAGGACGGCCCAGAACAGATGCGGTTGCGTCTCGTAGCCTGAAACGAGGTTCATTCCAAATGCGCTCGAGACAAACATGGCCATGTTCATAGCCAGCATGACCATCCCAAATATTGTGTCGATGGACAATAGGGCGTTGCGCACCGAATCCAGTTTCAGCATCACGATGTTTTCCGTGTTTACCATGCGGGTTTGGAGGAGCCCGACCTTGGTTCGCATTGCGTGGATGTCCTATAACGAATCAGCCATGGAATTCACAGGCAAGACCTCGTACGAGCAAATACGCCTCAATCAACGCTTCCGCTTCTTCGACATCCAGTCCCATCGAGTCAGGGGACACAACCGTTGCATTGCGATGTAACTACGCGCAACGTGAGGCGGCGACATCGTGGCATACGCTCACCTTTGACAAGTAGAGCAGCCGCATGTCTTGGTCGTTGTCGAGCAACTCCATAAGAATTCGACGCGTGTCCAAGATCTGCAAGTACATGACGCATCATGCAATGTTGTCCATGGGCACACCTGACTCACCTGCGATTCGAACTCGTGCACTTTGTTCTTGAGAATGGTCAGCGTCTCCAGCTCCCCTGATGAAAGTGCGGCACTCGACAATCGGGTTAACGCAAGCGACACCTTTTCCACCAACTTTTCGCAGTCGCTACTGAGGAGTCTACGTAGTGATGAGCAATGTGCCGGAGGAAACGACGAACGTTGTACTTGCACAGGGTGAAGAATATAGCTTCGAGGGCCCTGCAAGGAAATCAAGTGGTGAGTGGGTGGGAAAGGGAATGAGGCCGCGCGCCGCACCGGAATTCGAACGCAATGTCGTCGTCCTCTGCACAGCACTGAGCTACCTTGTTCCGCAAGATTTGGATCAAAGTGTCAGCTCCCGTTGGAACAAACATGAGCAATGCATTGCGCAACACGACGCAGCGCAATGGTCCTAGCCCCATCGTCAGGACGCAACATCGAGATGCACACGATTCTTGTGCCTTGCCCCATACCGCAATGAACAAGAATCACGTGTCGCCGAATCGTAATTGACGTGAAATTGTCGATGCTGTCATCGAGGTTACGAAGGTCGCGCATGTGCAACGACTACATGATTGTAAACATACAAACCCATGCGTTCATTGGACAAACCTGGACATCGCTCGTGTTCGTCAGTTGACCGAAGCTGGCGCGCCGCCGCAGCCGTTGGGTTGCCAAACGTGGTGTTGTAGCTATCGGAGTGAGTGATGCACTCCCATGCGGTGTGGATTTTAGATGTGATGGGTCTTTGCATGGCTGGGCAGCTTCTTGCACGATTTTCAACACGTCTGACCGAGCCATCTCGAGGTATTCCATTTCGCCTTTGACGTCAAACTTGAGGACCTAATTCGTTTTATAGTCGCGGCTTCTCGATTCCTATGCACACAATACCATTCTCTTTGAAGTTAGAGCATTGAATCCCAACAACAATCCTTGCTCATGGCTCGTGCAGAAGTCGTGCTCGATCAAGTGCTTCGTCGGGGTTCCAACCTTCCCAAACACCCAACTCGGTGGCTACGTCCATAGCCCACAGTCATGACGCCATTGCACAGCGGCATGTTGTACCTCAGCCGTGTTGAATGACCCGTACTTGACCGCACCGGTGGCCTGCAGTCGGGCCTTCGCCATCGCGTTTGTGTTGGCAGAAACCAGAACAAGCCTCGCGTGTGTCAGTCGGGTATTTTATTTGCACTTGAAGAAAGTGCGAGAAGACATGAATTTTAATTCTGACCAATCACAAGTGACGCAAGAGATCTTTTTTTTCTACATCGTTTTTGCCTAGTCGCATCTAGTAAACGTCGACGGCAAAGCCAGAAAGAATGGCGTGGTTTGCGTCGGGAACGACTAACGACGAGCTGGCAATGGCCCTGAAGGGTGAGCGTGAGACCTTATTCTTCATACGACGGGGCTCTTCCTTGACTGAGACTGTGCAGGTCACGATATCATCAAAACCAAGAAAGTGCTTGACGCGTTCCGCAGTGTCGATCGCGCCTTGTTTGTTCCACAGACCATGCTCACCAGAGCGTACAAAGACTATCCCATTCGTGAAGGCACCTTACACTTGAGGCATGTGTCGCCCTCGTGAACGAACGACATGAGCTCATCGAGTTAGTGTAGCGCACCGCACATCTACGCACAGGTGATGGAAGCGCTGGAACTCCATCCTGGTGCGTCGTTTTTGAATATCGGGTCTGGGAGCGGGTACTTGTCCTGCTTGGTTGGAACTATCACGGGCAAGGTACGCATTGACGGAGGAAAGCTCTCATGTATGACATGATTTTAACAGGATGCTATAAACCATGGCCTCGAAATCGACGCCGGCGTTGTGGAAGCTTGTCGGGCTTCGTTGATGGCCTATACGTCCGTCAAGCGTCGCCGCGGTCTTGTTCCTGCTCGCAGCAACCAAGACTATGATTCGGACGGCGGTGATGATACAAGCGATGTGCCGGATGAGGACATGCTGAACGAAGTGCCTCAGGAAGAAGTAGATGCCAAGGAAGAACAGGCTGCAACAGAAAACTTCAGCGTGTGTAGCATCGTGTGCGGCGACGTCTTTCGCATGGATGTGGCCAAGAACATGAAATACGACCGGTGGGTGACACTGCCCTGGCCTACTGGACGTTGGATTTGTAGGATTTACGTTGGTGCACGCGCCCCGGACCGCCTGCTCGCCATGGCGAAAGAGCTGCTCAACCCGTTTGGAATCGTTGTCGTACGGTCGTAACTTTGCCAGCCCAGTATGATGGTGAGATAGGGTCCATTTGGCGACAAGTTGATGAAGATTCGACGCCGCGAAGGCAACCAGTTCTCCGAGCTTGTCCTGGGCAACGTAACGTTTGCTCCCATGCGAGAAGTCCATCACATCAACAACAACATGTTCTCGCCCGACGATACGATTTGCTTCTTTCCACCCCAAGGTACTTGCATGATGATGGCCCGTGGGCATCCCAAAGTGACTCGTACAATCAGTGTGGACCCCGCAGCGCCACAAGGCGTACCCGCGTCGATTCAAGGAGGCTGTCAACGTTCTCTTGACAGCTAATAGCGGCGTGCCGTCGAATATTTGGCTGCGTGTGTTTGAGTACGCCAGTGTCGCGCAGCACGCGTGACATCAAATGCCACTGGTTTTGTAGATATTGCGCGTTTGAATGGTTCCAAGAAGAACTGAGGGCCGAGGCCAAGCTCCGTGCTCTGCTTGAGAGTACGTAAGTTTTTCGTGCAGCATGGCGGTGATATGTGCCACGTTTAGTTGAGACAAATGCGCGAGAGGACGCCGAGAAGCGCGCGCTCAAGGCCGAAAACGAACGCGACAAGTTTCGCTTGCTCTTGTGGCGCCAGCAAAACCAGATCCAGCACCTCATGGCGAGGTCCTCTTGATGCCGGAATATGCATTCACTCCAACACAAGTATGAACGAACTTTGGTAGATTGAGCCGAGGAGGAGGCCATCCTGGAGAGCCCCACAACTTGGACGACGAAGACGACGAAAGCGATGTGGTGGCAAGCGACGTTTTCGTGTCGAGCGACGACGACATGTCTAGCGAAGAAAGCCTCTAGCGGACGAAAGCCACGGCTGTGTATGTATTTGTTCGGATTGATTGCATTCGAGACAGTCTTGAATTAAATGATAACCCCTCGTTTGCGAAAGAACGCAATGCCGACGTAGACGCAGATGACAGCGAACACGACCGTGACGACGAGAACCGTGACGAACGCGCCAGGGGTTTGCTCGAGCCCAGACGTAAGGTTCATTCCGAACGCCGCAGTGACGAACATGCCGAACGTCATACACACCATAATCAGCGTGAAGAGCATGTCGGCCGTGAGAAGGTAGTTTCGAACGGCGTCCATCTTGAGCATCACGACACTCTCCGTGTTGTGAATGCGGTGCAGCATGAGCGCCACCTTGGTTTTGGTGTTGTGGATGTCCTGCAAGTACACCTCGAGCAGCGACTCGGCCTCCTCTGCATCAAAGCTCCATAGTTCGTTCATCATGATCGGGTTGGCATGTAGCTGAACAAGACATCACATCGTGAGGCACACCAGCAAAAAACAGCGAAGTGGACACCTGCGTGAGGTAGAGCAGATGCAAGTCCACCTCGTTGTCCAGGATTTCCATGAGCACGCGTCGCAGTCCGTTCACCTGCAAACCGTGAACTTAACGTAGCAGTTTTTGTGTCGACAGCTGAACCTGGGATTCGAACTCGTTGGTAGCGTTTTTCAGCGTGCGTAGCGTTTCCAGCTCCCCCGACGACATTTGGGCACTCGCGAGACGTTCGAGCGACGTGTTGACGATCGGAGCCATCCGTTCAAAGTCGTTTGCGAGGAATCTACAGCCGTTGTGAGCCACACAAGCTCTTGTCACCGTGGGATTCCGCCAGTACCTGCACACAGTGGACAGAATAGCCTCGAGAGCCCTGTGATCCATTCATTTAGAACAAAGGAGGGGAAGAATTCTACCGGAATTCAAACGCCATTTCGCCTGCTTCACTTGAGTCGGCTTGATTGTCCTGGAAGTTCTCCTTGAGCAAGTCCACCAGAACGTGGTTTGTGTCTGGTACGAACATCAAGCAGCAGTCGCGCATGATCACGGACCGAATCGGGTCTGGAGCATGCAAACGGTGAGATCAATTGAAAACCGAAATGTGAAAGGACCTGCATTGATCAAGATGGCCTGCTTCCGCACAACAATCGACGGTTCGTACGATTCGACGAAAGCGTAGTCGAGTTTCCGCAGATCCCGCATGTGTACCATCTAGTCCAGACGACTGAGGAAACCGCAGTAAGATTATGCTTTTGCATACCTGCGCATCGGACACAGACACACCAACGGGGTGTCCAGGTCGTCCGGTGCCAGGTTGTGATGGGGTTCCGTCCACGGAAGATGTCGTTGCACGAGGTGATCCTCCGAGCGGGGCGGCCGCTTGCTGTGTCATCTTCAAAACATCAGCTCGGCGCATACGCATCATGGTAGCGTTTCCATGTGTGTCGAAGTGCAGGACCTGTGCGTATTCGTGTCAGAACCAAACAAGTGCCGTTTGACTTCGTACATCCTGAAGACCGGTCTTCAAGAACGAATCCTGGGAGTCGCGCGCAAGTGGGTTCGGTCGAACAGGCAACATGTCGACTGTGACAACATCAGGGAGCGCATTTCGATGAACTTGGACCCATGGAGTTGCTTCCGTGGACGACTTCAGCGGCGACGGCGGCAAAGGCGACGACATAGTTCTGGTTCAATTCGACTTAAGCAATCTTCCAATTTCACTTACAATTGTAGAAGATACAAAATTTATCCGGATTGCTTCGGTTATCTGACTCGTTCATTGGCTACGGGGCAACTTCGACATGGGAATGTTGGTAAACCGTGGCGTCGCAGCTCAAGCGAGCACCAACCGCAAGGCAGTCGTTGCTCATGAGCACTTCGTGGCAACTGCAGCCGAGAGCGCTCCCTTTGGATAGCTTGCAATGTGTCGAGAGTGGATAATGCGCCTATTCGGCGATTTGCCTTAGTTCCTGAGCACCATCCTCAGAATCAATATCGCCAATCTGAGCATTGGTCACTATGAGCACTGCACCACCCGAAAGGGTCTTTGGTGGTGGTCGCACACATGGCATCGAAGGCAATGGTGCGTGGGTGTCCTTCACGATACATTTCATCTACCTACAGAGACAGATTTAAATGAGCCATGTCCCCGTCCATTTCCATGGAAACGCGAGGAAAACTTGGCAGCACACGGCAATCATGCCAGAGATTGTGTGGTCTATGTTGCGGCAAAGTTACGATAATTTTTGGGGATCAACGTAATGGACGCGACGAATGGCTTGTTCTCGCGAGGCGCAGAAGAGCATGAAAGCGGCTCCCGGTCCCACCACAACAGATTGAGCAGCAAACAGCAAGAGCGACGTGACGGTCGAAGCGAAGGTTTGTTGTTCAGTGGCCACAATCAGGGCGTTTGTCGCAGTCAACGAAATACCGTCCAGCAAGAGAAACCACGTGGGCAGTGCGCGTGATTCTTGGGGGAGTTTCTTGAGGAAGGCCCAAAGCGTCGCGAGATTGCTGAGCGGCGTCGTGTCAGGCGTAAATATCAACGGAACGACGAAACCAACCCAGTGGTGCAGTGAAAACAGCACAGCAAACGCATAGTAGATTTGGGTGGCAGTGACGGAGGACGTCACGGCGTCCTTGACAGATGAAGGGGTGGTCGACCGGAAGAGTGGCCAGAGCCACGGCGACGCGATGGGCAAAAATTGAAAGACGAAGAACGCAATCGAGTAGCTCGACGAATCTGGTGCGAACCCCAAGTACAGAAGCATGGCACCGACAACAACATTTGCAAGAGCAATGAACACGAGGAGGCGGGGCTGGGCAATGCTGATGGCAGCCGGCCGAGAGACAGGAGCCTGGTGCGCCAATGGAGTTGCGTGGGAGTAGAGGAACGACGGGAACCACACGGCAGGGATGATGACAGAAATGCCAATGTACTGCATGAGGAAAGCTGTAAGACTGGCCGACGCTGCAGCGCCTCGAGAGTCCGATCGCGTGGCTTCGAACCCGACAAAGACTGTGTTACTCAATGCCGTGCCAAAAAGAAGAGCGTTGGCGATCGTGGCCACCAGGGGAGACGGGAAGTCTCGGCAGTCTTTGAAAAACTGCGTCAAGACACACACCTGGTTGTCAAGCGACGGAACGCCAAGGCGGAGAAACGGATCGGGGGCGCCGTCGGGAGATGGAAGCGGTGGTCCTTCGACGCCAACGAAGTCCCGGCATTGCAGGGACGGTTTCCACTTCGTGAAGACAGGGCTAACGAGGCTTAACGTCCCAATGCCAATCAAAAGACCCACGCTTAGACCCAGGAACCGCATCACGGCGTCTCAACCCAGCGCCAACTCGAATTCTGACTGTTCCGAGGCACGATAGGATGTATTCGGCTTTCGGGTGAACGAGTCACCCTAAATAGGTGAATAAGCGTTGAAATTAGGAATAAATGCACTTGATCGGGACAGGTGCACCATTCCTTGGACGATGTTTGCTGATATTTTGTCGGAGGTACGTGTTCCAGAAGGTTCGTCGCCGTGAATAATCGAATTCCCCCTGTCAACATGAGCATCTTTTCATCCGAATCACGTCGGACCTGTGATCCAGGTACTGTAGCAGTACACACAACATTGGATGTGGTGCATGGGTGTCGAGGTGTCGGTTGACGGCACAATGATGCCAACCCTGCTTTGCGCCTTGGACAATATATCCATGATCAATGAGCATGGTGAGCATTTTTGTTGTCTTCATTGCTGGTGATTTATTTTGTTGTGTGATTTTCGCTTGCCTGAGCGCATGGAGTGAATTTTGACATGAGCAGATAAGGCATTTGATTGCGGACGCTGGAGAATTCACAGGTCGACAGCGCAGCTCTCTTCAACGGCACAGTCAATAGATGGCATTTAGACAAGGGTATAGCGCTACGAAGGCTGAAATTGAAGCGCAGTGGAATCATGACTTTGTGTTTGATTATGCCAGCGGCAGGAACGAGGCCGCGTCAAAGACAGCCCCTTGCACATACTTCTTGTACAATTCGTGGGACACCGCGAGTGAATCACCACGGGGTGTGATCGGGTACGACTTGGTTTCGCGGTTCCACGCAAGCTCGAATGCTTCCGTCACCTGTCGTACCCCCACTTCATCAACAGGTCGGTGCTCTTTGAATGCCGCGACGACATCTTTGAGCCACACCTGCCACCGTGGCAAGTAGTACGACGCCACGAGGCCAGACCATTGCTTCGTTGCGTAATCGCCCAGCACGTTGCCATTCGAATCGCCCCAACGCGTCACTTGATTGCGAGCTTCGTATTCGTAGTACAAACTCAGCTCCGAACTGTCGTGGCCTCCTGCCAACGCTTTGGCATCGAAGAGCCACTTGCCAAGCAAAAAATCTTCGTGTGTGCCAAGGACACGATCGATGTCTTGAATGAGCGTCAGGATCGCATGGGCGCGCCCTTCGATCTACAACCGAGTTGTCAGAGACGGCAGGCCAAGCATGGTCCAACACACCCGACTCAACGGGGTGTGGGTGTCGTGAAACTCGGTTTCAAGAGCTTCGTAGTGCTTGTACACGAGATCGGTCAGCACTTGGCGAGTCAAGTCCACCACATCATGACGGTACGTGTCGGTGTCCTTCAATTCTGGTGACGACGAACTAGCAGCTAACAAACTCCGCCACGCGATGGCCACTTGTTTCGGATCGTAGGCGATTTTGGTCGGCATGAATCCGTCTTGAATCATTTTCCAGTGCGGTCGGATGGTCACGAGGCTCTTGGTCACGCCTCCATACGCTTTCGTCACGTTGTAGACAGAATGCAAGAGTGTGGTCCATGTTTGGTTGGCGTTGGCATCGCTGACGTGGTACCGGCTGTGCACAAAGTCTGGGACCCACGAGTGGACATCGACGGGCTTGGACTCCCACGCCATTTGGAGCGTCAAGTCGTACACGATGTAGTTCTGGAAAATTCCTTCCATGGTGAGACCGACTCCAATCATTGTCCCGTTGGACGCAAGCCGCGACGCCACGGGATCCGTCCCGATGGTTGGCAAGTCCCCCCGCAGCCCCATATTGCCGCCAAAATTGTGCAGCACGCAGTAAATCCACGACTTGCCAAAGTAGTTATGGCTCTTTTTCCAAATCGGAACCACTTCACTACAATTCCGCATGACCGCATGTTGAATCCATGAAGAAAATACCTGTAAAGGTCCAAAATGATGAGTTTGTCGTCTGGAACTCCGCCCACATACGCTTGAATACGCTCGTTGGTCCAGTAGCCACTCAAGAAGAGCCATCCCTGCATGAGCCAAACTGCATTTGGATCAGCTAGCGTCATGCTGTCGATGACTGCCTTGGATGCCTTCGACAAGTACACCGGGTCAGGCTGCGTCGGGTCCATTTCGTTATACGTGTCGGCTTGATACAATGACGATGTATATCCATAGAGACGGCGCTGCTCGGCAACAAACGTGCGCCCAATTTCCGTGTACAGCGGGTCCGTTGGGTCCAACATGTACACGCAGCAGAACTCATCGGGGAAGTTGCCCCAGTTGGGTGATCGCGCAATGGTTGCGTTCTTGTAAATGGTGGTGATTTCCTCGGGGATATGGCCAGCAAACCCCGGTAGCGCCGGGATCATCCCGAATTCCCGCATACGGCCGAGGATCTTGACCTGCAAGTCGAACTGGTCGTCGATGAATTGCTGGGGAAGAGGACCCTTGACCCAACTCCCGCGGAGGTTGCCCATTCGTCCCCACGCCAAGAACGCTGACCCGGCAAAGAACTTGTGGAGCCCAGAATTGCTCACGTTGAACTTGTTGAACGTAGACTGCCACACCTTCTCTTGGCCTGTGAACGCCAGTGGCATGTTGATCCCTAGAAAGTCATAAGTGGACGGGTCTTGTCGAGCCCGGCGTACCGTTGAGAGCCATCCAATCGATGTGCTTTGCCCACTTGGCCCATCCCCACGTCCATTGGGAATAGCTTACGGTGCACACGTTCTCGTAGTACGAGTACTTGGAGCTGCGTTCTACACGCACGGTGGAGCTGATGCGCGGAAGCGTCTTGGGAAGGTGGATCTCGTGATCTTCCCAGTCGGTTTGGGTGTGCACAACATGTTTCAAGTACCTACGTTAATCGTATATGGGGCAATGACGCCTTCGCGCGAGGTAGGTACCAGTGGAGGGCATAGCCGAGGGCAGTGCCACTCGACCCGCTGATCGCAACTTTGTCGCCGTTCGTCCCAATTTCCCACACATCGCGTCCATCGGTAGTGGCAGGAATAACATTCAGCGAGAACTACCAAATGACACACTCAAATTCGCGTATGATGCGACAGGACATAACCATACTTGATCGAGGTACACCTTTCCCAAGCAGCGTTCAATCAGCCCTTGAGTTGCCTTGACGGGGTCATGCGCCGGAGGGGTCAAGCTCACGCTGCCAAGAACTGCAATCGCAGCCAACGCTACCGTGGCCGCGAGATAAAGAAGGTGCTGCATGGCGATCTCCCACGTCACAATCTGCCGATCTTGGTGGATGGATCCACGCTTCTTCAAGTATGTATCCGAATAGGAATAGTGCCTCCATATGAAAATTTTAAATATACTCTCACTTTATCTATGTAAATTTCTCCAATGAATTAAATTTTCGCAGTCAATCCACAAATCTTCCGGATACGGGAAGATCGCTTGTTCTTTGGACGTCTACAAGGACGTCACTTGTGAGTCTTGAGGACTGCGGCGAAGCATGCTGAGGCAAACGATGTGGCAGATGCTTGGAGCAATGTGCACGCTGTCGCTGGTGGCGCATGCCATGTTGGACGTGCCTTCCCATGACGCAGTCGCTGCAGTGAAAGGGCTCGTTGCTCGTCGTTTGGGAGAGAAATACCTTGACCAGGTAAGCGTGATGTGGTGTCGACATTCCATACACTCGAGTTCGTAGATGTCCTTCGAAGTGATCCCAGCAATCGACGATGGAAAAGACGTGTTGGAGATTGGTAATGATGGAGGGAAGGTGCAAATTCGAGGATCCAGCGGCACAGCGTTGGCGTACGCTGTGCAATGGTACTTGAAGCAAGAGGTCCACACCCAAACAAACTGGGACGACCACGTCCTTCAGCTTCCCGACACTTTGCCTCAACCATCGTCTACCGTGCGCGTCGAAAAGGTGTCCAAGTATACGTACTACCAAAACGTGTGCACCGTGAGCTACTCCATGTGGACGTGGGGCTGGGACAAGTGGGAAAAGCATATCGACTGGATGGCGCTCAATGGTCAGTACTCCATTCACAGCGTAGGCGCGCATGCCTCTCACTGGTTTTCGACAGGCATTAACATGCCTTTGGCGTTCACGGGCCAAGAGAAGGTGTGGCAAGCCACCTATCAGAAGTTTAACGTGAGTACGGTTGGCCTGAACAAGTTCTTTGCTGGGGCGTCATTCCTGGCGTGGGGACGCATGGGCAACGTCCGCGGGAGCTGGGTCAAGGGTCCTTTGGCCCAAGAGTTTATTGACGGGCAATTCGAGTTGCAGGTCAAGATCCTCACCCGCATGCGAGATTTCGGCATGATTCCGGCGCTTCCTGCTTTTGCCGGACACATCCCCGAGGAAATCACAAAGCTGTATCCTCACGCCAAAACGTTCCGGTCGCCGAAATGGGGCAACTTCCCAGATGCGTACACGAACGTGTACATGCTCGACTCGTCCGATCCGCTGTACATTGAGATCGGGCGCACCTTCATCGAAGAGCAGACTCGCCTCCACGGCGGGTTCACGTCGTCGCTGTACCAAGCCGACACGTACAATGAGATGGATCCATCTCGTGGAGACCACGAGTTCCTCCACCAGGCGTCGAAGGCCGTGATCGACTCGATGACGAAGGCAGACCCGAAGGCCGTGTGGCTCATTCAAGCATGGACATTCAATCGGGGGTTTTGGGGCCACGACCAAATTCAGTCGTACTTGAGTGGCGTCCCCAACGACAAGATGATCTTGCTCGACCTGTACAGGTAGTAGTCGTAGTGCTTGGACCATGGTGCACCTGACGTCGACGTGGCGGGTGTAGTGAAACCATTCCGATCTGGCCGCGGTCGGCCAACTTTTTCGGCAAGTCGTGGATTTACTGCTTGCTCCACAACTTTGGCGGGAACACTGGTCTCCGCGGGAACTTGCCCCAGTACGCCCAGGAACCGATCCACGCGCGTGGGCAAAGCAACGGGACGATGGTCGGCATTGGACTGACCATGGAAGGAATTTTCCAGAACTACATCGTGTACGACTTGACGCTTCAAATGGCGTGGGAGTCCAAGCCGGTGGACTTGGCCAAGTGGCTCCCGGCATTTGTTCGCAATCGATATCACATTGAAAACACCAACGCGGCGCAGGCATGGCACATGTTGCTCCAGTCGGTGTACAATGTCGGCGACGGCGGCGGCGTGACAAAGAGCATCGTGGCTGTCCGTCCAGGATGGGACATTCTCCACCTCACGTTCCAACCCACAGATATCCCGTACGACCCGCGGCTTGTCGTGACCGCGTGGTCGCATCTGTTGGCCGCCGCGGACGCTGTGCCACACACCGACGCGTTCCTCCATGACGTGGTGGACGTCACGCGCCAGGTGCTGTGCGACCTCTTCCTCGCAAACTTCAAAGAGATCAAGCGCGCATTCATCGGCCACAACATAACGACTGAAGAGGTAAGCACGTTGTGTTGGGGGAGCCATAGAATGCCTCGTTGCTGACGGAATGTCCAGTTTGCTGACAGGACCCGGTGCATGCTGCAGCTGCTGTGGGACTTGGACGTCATCCTGGGCTCCCACGTCGACTTTTTGCTCGGCCGTTGGATCGACCAAGCGCGAGCGCTGGCTGGGAATAACACGAACGTGGCGGAATATCTCGAGTATGAAGCGCGCAACCAGATCACGCGATGGGGAGACTCGAATGGGAATTACTTGTCCGACTATGCCGCAAAAGACTGGGCTGGACTCATGTCGTCGTATTACTATCCTCGCTGGCGCATCTGGCTCACGGAAGTGACGGCTGCCTATGAAAGTCATCGCGACATCCACACGAAGGCAGTCAACGATGCACTTGAAGCGTTTGAGTTGGGATGGCAGTTGGAAACGGTGTCGTTTCCCACTACAGCCCATGGCGACCCCGTCCAAATTGCTCGTCGCCTTCAATCGAGGCACGCTGATCGACTGGCCCGAGTTCATGTCGACGTCCCCCTCCATCGCGTCCAGCGCCACGAGCCAGTGTTTGGGCAACATTTTATGCTGGATCAACGCCGCAGCAAGACGCATCGTGACATGGACGACTGCGGACTGGACTGTGTCGCCTAGTTGCTGCTCCTCTCGAGAGGTCATAAAGTCCCTTCGCCGCGTGGCTGGGCATTTCTCTATAAACTGTGCAATGTCGACGGTGGGGGACCTCTATCCATTGCGTGCATCAGCACACGATCGCGGGTGACATTCTCCACCACCAGCCACGACTGCTTGTGATTCAGATGTACTTCCCACAGTGCGAGTAAAGTCTTCTGTCGTTCTTCGACACATTGCATCTTCCTGGCGTTCATCGGCATCCCTCCCACGTCTTGTTGAACGTCCCCAACCTGCTGCCGCCTACTCCGACGCCGTGTTGACGTGGTGGGCCCTCGAACAAACCAACACACGAAATGGACTGCAACTACTTCCATACACGGACCACGCTTGTCTAGGTCATTTCATTCCAATCTTGTACCCCGTGTGCCCTCGCTTGAAGGAATTGTCGGACGATCGACTGTATACGACGCGGCACCGCGGCTCACTTCCGCTCCACGCACCGTTCTTGCACGTCCGAGAGGACGACCCGGTCATGGTGTAGTGAGTCTGGCACGAGTACAGTGCCGTCGCCCCTGCAGCCGATCCAGAGATTTCAACGCGCCCGTTTGGGATGCTGTGGAGGGCTGGACATGTCGATTGGTGGGCGGCTATCGGTCATTTGTGTCATGTGTCCGCCGTTCCATCATGAGCGACACACCTGACGAGGCCCACGCAACACAGCAAACGGCAGAGAGCGTCAAGAACACGATGCTGATGTACTTCATGAGGGCCACCATGGAGGGAGGATGCGAAGTCTGGGAGACCGACTCTCCATTCCTTATGTAAAAATAGCCCGAGCTCAACCGACGAGTCGAAAAAGAGCGACAACTCCCACTGCAGAACGCAGAGTCGATGGAAAAACTGTGGTAGAGTCGATGGAAAAACTGTGGTGCGATTGAGGAATACATGGGCCTCGAATGGCTATGTTGGCGCCTATTGCTTGGCTTCGCCGCCGTGCTGCGCCACTTCTCCATCGCCGTGGTACTTCAAAGTCTTGACCCAGTGGCTGTGGCCACCCGTGGGATGCTTGAAAAGAACGCTCGACTTCTTCCCGTACTTCTTCAGGTGGTTCTCCACGTCCAGTGGCAAAAAGTTGTGAGAGTACGCAATCTTGCCATCAAAGTCCTCTTCCTCCTTCGGATCAAACACTTCCACGGTCCATCCTTGGCGATGGGCAAACGAGATCGCATCTTCCTTCTTGTTGAACTTGGCCACCAAGTCCGCCACGGGGTCGTTCCCAGCGTTCCACCCCATCAGAGGGTTTTGCCAGTTCGCACGCGTGCCAAAGCGAATCTCCCAATGGTGGGTGAACGCACGGGTGCTTTGCATTTGGTTACGGGTAGGCTTGTACAAGATAACCTTGCGGCCTTTCGTCCATTCGCCCACACCGCTCACAAGTGCACATTCCTCGGGGTGCAACATGGGTTCCACGAAGCTCGGGTTTTGGTCGTCCGTCGCATGAGGAGGCAATACATTGTGGCGACGCGCCAGCATTTCCTCCTTGATTTGCTGCATAAGGGCAGTGTCATCTTCAGGCTGAGCGGGAGCCGAGAAGCTTCTGCACAACTTGCCAGTATTAGGGCGGGTTCGGGCCACGGCACGGATCATCGTCCTTCGTCAGTCGATTTCAGTGGCTCGGCACTGCCACAGGACGTACCCGGATAAATATCCGTACATGTCTGTCGAACTTCGTAGGTCAAGATTTTCTTGTTTGAGTGAAGTACGTCGCATCCTTACTATCGTTTGGGCTTTCGCAATTAGTGAGCGCCATGGAACCCAAGATCCTTTGTCCTGTGAGCAGCACTCTAATGATGCGTTGCGTAGGAATTGTCGTCCACGTTGCTGAGCCGCTACACTTGTACTGCACTCCTGCTACTTAGTACTACTAGAAAACTCTACATAACTTTTATTTATACTACGTAGTACTTCACCAAGAGTAGTAAACAAATCGAATTTCGAATATATTGGTCGGATAGCTTGTGGATTTTATCCGAAATCAATTCCACGACATGTTTGCAAATCCAGAAGCGATAAAGCTCAACATGGAGATTGACGCGATGGAGGTGCTTTTCGTGAGCGGTCAGTTGAAGGAGTCGCTTGTTGCCAGTCGAGAATGGCTCGTGAACCAACTAAATCTCAATGTCGACGTGATCGCTGCCAAGACGAACCTGCCCTTACTTGGGAAAGGGGTGCATGTGGCCGTGGATGACTCAGCCTCTGTTCTCGACGACGAGACGGAGCGTGCAATTGCGGTCTACATGCAGTCCACATTTGAGCTCAACGAGCCCGACGAAATCCTCTTGCTGGCAGATGCTCTGCGCATACTCTCCCCGGTTCCTTACCACGTCGGACTGCACTGGGGATCATTTCTTGCAGCTATGGGTTACAAAACTGAATCTCAAGAACTCTTCACGCGCACCCTGGCGGCCCTCGAGGTGGATGCCGCACACGACGCTACCATCGCATATCGGAAGTACGAGGAAATGCTAATTGCGCTGGTGACGAAAGTTTGGCTCGGCGAAGAAATGACCATCTCCACCAACAAACAGACGTTGCTCGATTTCATTCAACGTAACACAACCTTGACAGACAATTCCAAGTCCAAAGTCGTCGACCTCGTGGAGCAGCACATTCTCAAGCGTCCATCACACTCGGCACAGGCAGTCACGGACATTCCTTCGCCACAGACCACTGATATTCCCGCGCCAAGGTCGCCTCGGTCCATCACGCCCCACAACATTTCCTCCTCTGGCGGTGCCTCCTCGACGTCATTTCTAGCCGATCCAACTACCCCCTTGATCATTGGTGCTGCAGCTGTCGCAGCCGTGTGTGCGATCAAGTACCGTTCACAACTGCACACGTCGCTGGGTGAAGTCATGACAACGCTCCAAGAAGCCAAGGGGTTGTTGTTTGGGTAAAGATGGACCCAAAAAGAAGTAAAATATCAAACCCGACGTCGCTACATTGCGACGTCGTTTCTCGTGGGGGTTGCGTTGAGGCGTGGGATCATGCTTTGCCTCGATTTGGGCAATGCACTCGCGACAGGATGCACCGCACTGCGAAGTTGCTGGTTGCTGGCAATGCTAATCCGTCGAGGCCCGTTCTGAAGCATCTTCAACCTGCGATTCTCCGCCTCGAGCTCGTTGACACGTGACTGAAGCTCTCGCTTCTCTCGCGTCAGTTGATCGATCGTACGCTACACATCCGCACCTGAGTCTCTGAATGCATTCGGTCGACGTTCAAGGAACCTGAAATGCAGTGGACACATGATGTTTTGCCCGCTTCGCGTCAGCATCCAACTCAAGGCCGTTTAACATGTTGTCGTCGATGCTTTTGCGCTTGACGCCGCCCCGAGCTTCTTGCAGGGCTTGTCGCAATGCCGCGTTCTCTTGTTCGAGTCGATCGGCGCGTTGGATGTGTGTCATTTCAGCGGTCACGACGTGTTTCTTTGGTCGAATTCGGATGTTCTTGGCGCGATTGGCGTACCTACGCCACAATGAGTCCTCGCACGACTGTGAAACGATTGTACTTGAGTGTGTTGTGGGTCTCTTCGAAGCATGCATGTGATGGGTTGATGTTGGCGATCATGACGAGCCGACAGTCACCTTCCAACGAGCTCTACAAGTGGACATGACACTCCAATTCCACAAAATGGTCGCCAGGAGAACGCTTGATACCTTGAGTAAGTGAGTGAGCTTGCTGTCGCGGTACTTGGTCCGCGGCGCTGGTTTTTCTCGCATGCGTAATGTCACAGAGGAGTCTGACCGTCGCCGCTCCTTCATTGACGACGACAACGCATTGATGCAGTTGGCCAATGCTAGGAGACTCTGCACACGATGAGCATCCTCGCAGGTTTCCAAATGTCGCGGTTACCGCACCTTGTTGATGTTGGCGCCTTCCGTCAAGCGAAGGCCCGTGTTCTGCGTGTTGGATGCTCGCTCGGACCCCGCCAAATCAATGAGCGACAGGACGCCTTCCGTGGTGGCTTCGTGAGGATTGTTTTGACGGAGCATCGTCGTCGTCGTGTGCTTGACTGTGACTTGCAGCACAGCATGAGACCGAGATGAGACCTGGTTTGCCGCCGTAGACTCTGTCCGGCGGTTCCGATTACCCCTGCCAAGACATGCCACGATTGAATTAGTACTGGACTGCATGATACCATCCCAACGTACATGCGGAGCAATTGCAACACTTGCGTCGACGACTCGACGACGACGTGGTGTAGTCCTGCGACATGGACCACGCCCTTGACTGCGTGAACGAAGCATGTCATGTGAGATGGAAGGCGGCACATGAAGACCAGGTGCGTCTACCTGGGTCCTCACGCAATGCCAGCGGACGGTTCGACGGGTGCAGGAGGTCGCGAATTTGCTCGTTGTACACTTCGAGGTATGTCACGACAACGGTCCAATTGAAGCCAAGACCTTCCGCCACCGCGGCTTCCGCTTCTTCCTCGCGTGCTCGTGAAATTAACCGGAAGATGTCTGTGAGAGAGTGTGGAATGATGCCATCCACATGGGGAACATCGTCGTCGTCGTCGTGATGATCCAGTTGGTTGTCGTCGCTGCCATCTCGCTCGGAGCCCATCATGGTGTGCGTTTTACCTGCTCCCGTCGCGCCATACCTACAAGTGTGTAAGCTGGATATTGGCAGAATGCAACGGCGTACGCAAAGATTGTTGCGTTGAAGCCTTTCAAAATTGTCGGAATGATGTTGCGCACGGTTTTCGAGTACACCTCGTCTTGGGTTGCCTGTGAAGGAAGGACGGAAGGTCATTTCTCCAGCGTCTGTGGCCTGTATGGACGTACGTAGTCGGGAAACGCCATGTCGTAAGCATACTCGTTGGTGAACCCTCGCTGACTCTTCAGGTGCCGCAACGGTATGCCATGCTTTTCGATGACGACAGTCTAAGAGTTTAAGCGACGCAATAACATGAGTTTTCCGAGGCAATATGGCCCTAGTTCGAGCACCTGGTCGCCAGCCACGCGGCAGCAGCTTCGATGTCCATTCAGTTGCTCAGTCTGCGAGATTGGTCGAACACGCACGGCGACCTGCAATGCCAAGGAATAAGGGCGTAAGTCATTCGTGTGAGTGGGGCAGAATCGCTGCGTATCTCACAAGCATGTTTGGGATATCCTCATGATAGTCTTCGAAATCGTCCGTCACCGGCATCGGTCGATGCTGAAGATATCCGAGACGAGAATGAGTTTTGCAGAATCATTTGTCCAACAATTATTTTCCCACACGATAGAATTGTGCGAATTGTTTTTCGAGGATGATTTCGACATCCACACACAAACATCAAGATATCAGTGCTGTACATGAGAATTTTTATAGATTCAGGTCGAAATAATATTTCGCCATGTGGGGGTTCAAAATTTCAAACGTCGTCCGAACAAGCACCGATCGCCGCCGTGGATACGTTTGTAGGGTGCCAACTCAACTGTGCACCTCACGAACAAGTCATTCTCGCCTCGCTCCGGACTACGATGGACTTGCTGGGCTATGTACGGATTGTGAACACCCCACAACAGTGAAGGATCGACAAAGATGCGACTGCATGAGAATTTATTTACAAGTCTTGGAGACTGGCGTCGGTGTCGCGAACCTCGAGCAGTTCCACGCGATACATGTTGCCGTACTTGGCGTACAATGTCGTCGCGATTTCGATGGAGTTGCCAACGGGGTCAGTGGGAAACGCATCCGTTTGGGTCTGCCACTTCAGTTCGAAGTCGTTCAATTGATTGTCGATCTTGTCATCGTCCGTGGGCTTTCCAGCTTCTCTTGCGTCGCACACAGCCATCAACCAAATGCGCCAACGTGTGCCGTAATATTGCGCCACCAAGCCGGCCCACTGTTTGTTAGCGTAGTCGTTCAACGCTCCGACGCCCCACCGAGTCAGCTGGTTACGAGCTTGGTACTCAAAGTAGCCAGCAGTTGCGGGTGTGCCTCGTGCTTTGGCATCTCGAATCCATCGGCCCAATAGAAACGCCGAGTTGGTCGCCAGAATCGCGTCCATGTCTTCAAGCAGGACCATGATATGATTTGCTGCCGAGCATACGACTGCCGCCTCCACATTCGGGCTATTGTACAGCTTGACGAGGGTCACGTACTGCTCAACCATGATGTTGTTGAGTGCTTGTCGTGTCACATCCACAAGATCGTGCTGGAAGGCGTCGACGTCGGCCAACTGGCCATCAGCTGCGGCCAAAATCAACTCTCTCCATGCCGAATGCACAGCGCTCGATGTGAGTCGTTTGGGCAACATCAAGTTGCCGTCCGAGTCGGTGTCGTTCACGGCCAGGTGCCATCGAGGGCGAGTCGTCGCTAGAGACCCTACCAGTCCTTCGTCGCGATACACGGACGACATCAAGAATGCCCACCCCTTGAGTGCATGTTCGTTCACGACATGGTATCTACATGCAGGCAGTTAAACCCTGGCCGCAGGGAAATCAACGATACCGTTGGTGAACATACGACTGAATCCATGCATCTAACTGCATGGGATGGCTGCGCCACGCCATCTCCAGCGCGAGGTCGTACACGATGTAGTTTTGAAAAATGCCCTCCATGGTGAGCCCGAGGCCAATCATTTGGCCATTGCTTGCCGCCAAGGACGTGATCGGGTCCGACGCTAGCTTGGGGAGGTTCCCATGAAGCCCCAAGTTGCCGCCAAACGTATGTAGCAGACAGTAAATCCATGGCTTGCCAAAGTAGTTGGACGTCCGACTCCACACTGGAAACGATTCGGTCCACAGATCCAACATGATGAGGCGGTCGTTGGCGACGCCACCAAGATACGCTTCAATCTTGTCGTTGGTCCAGAAGTCCTTCATGAAGTAGAAGAGCCATCCTTGCATGATCCACACGGCATTCCGGTCTGCTGCCAACATACTGTCGATCACAGCTTTCGACGACGCACGAAGGTAGGCCAGGTCTGAAGTATGGGGCACCAGCTCGTTGTACGTGTCAGTTTGGTACACTGAAGATGTATACCCGCCGTAGAGTTGGGTTTGCACTTGGATAAAGGTCCGCCCAATGTCGAGGAAAAGTTGGTCCGTTGGATCGAGCATGTGCACACACGTAAACTTCTCTGGAAATCCAGCCCACTGCGATGACTGCCGCACATTTGCGTGAGGGTATAACTCGACGAGTTCGGCGGGGACATGGCCGGCAAACGCGGGAAGGGCCGGAAGCATGCCGAATTCCTTCATGCGATCCAGGATACGCAGCTGAAGGCGGTACTGATCCTCGATAAAGTCCAACGGAATCGGACCGAACGGACCCCAGCTGTCGCGGATGTTGCCCATCCGACCCCAAGCTTGGAACGCCGCGCCGGCAAAAAAGTGCTGCATACCACCGGTCGACACGTTGTACCGCTTGAACGTCTCGAGCCAGATCTTTTCCTGCCCGGTGAACGCCAGCGGCAAGTTGATCCCTTGGAGTGCCATCCAGTCGATGTGTTTTTCCCACTGCGGCCAATCCCACGTCCACAACGAGTAGCTCGTCGTGACCACGTTGAGATAATACGTGAACTTGGTATTCTTTGCGATGGAGACGGGAGCGGTGGGAAGAGGGAGGGTGTGTGGGACGACCAAGGCGTGATTATCCCAGTCGGCTTGTGTGTGAACAACGTCCTTGAGGTACTTATGCAAGGCAAACCCCATCGCTGTGGCACTCGAGCCCATCACACGGAGACGGCCATTGTGTCCGTCAAACGACGATATATCATGGCCACGCACATCTTTCTCGGTCACTTTCAATTCAATCTACAAGACTCATGAGGTGCTGCGTTTGCGCAACAATGAAGGACACAAGAACTGTACTTGGTCAAGGTAATGCGGCCCCAACGCTCGCGAGATCAACCCGTGGATCGCTGGGATCGGGTCGTGCTCTGGCAGACGCATGTGTGGATGAGCATTGGCGCATCGCACTGCGACGAGGCACAGAGCGATCGGAACTATGCAACGGATACCTGCAGACATCCAATCTTCGCCACGAGCGGCACGGGGGAGTACAAATCCGAAGTGGCTTCTCCAAGATCCACCATGTCAGACAAGCTTGGATCATTTCATTGGTGGATTATTAGCCAATCCAGACATCTCAATTCAACTTTTTGGGGGAAAACTTGACGAAAATTGGCAAATTACGGAGAGACAACGACTTGAAACGTGGGGAATAATCAGCTTCAACATGTAGCCTACTCAACATTCATGTACTGTTTGCCTGCTTCATACGTCGAAATCATGACAGCACATGCCGGGGCGACTTTTGCCACGCGTGCACTGAGCCCGGTGAAGAGCCCCCCTAAGCGACGCGCATCCATCAGTTCATGTTTTCTCGTGAGGAAGGAGTGACGTACCCACACCTTCGGACTGAACAATCTCCCGCATCAGGCGCCACACTTTTGGCGGTTTGGTTGGTTCTGTCATCGACGAAAATGTTTCGATCTGCTGCTTTGTCTTGACTACGTCAAACGGTTGAGTGACGACGGACGCGAGCGCGCCAGAACATGCCCCTGACACAAACGCTATCCCAAGCTGAGTTTGCGACGAGTTCTCCCTCGCCTGCAACGCAGGCAACGCCGTCAAGTGCGTCTTCACCATTTCGAATAAGCCCCAGTACATGGCTGAAAATGGGACGTCGCGAGCTAGGGTGGGCACGAGGCCTCTCCACAGCGTGAAGATTCCACTGGCAACACTTCGTCGGATGACTGCCACGAAGGAGCCGGCATTGGCCGTTGCTTGCATTCGAATTCGAATGAGCTCGAGTGGTGACACGACTGTGGCGGCGACACATCGGGCAAGGCTGCCGGCGACAAAAGGAACAAGTGTAGCATGGTCTGGGTACTGTCGCTTGGCAGCGGCATGCAGCAGGTCGTACGACGTGAAGTAAAAGACCGTGGAAGGGACAGCGATGAGCAACGTAGGTGGCAGGCCAGCATACAAAGCGCTGACGCCTTCAGTCCGAACGATGTGGCTGAGCGCGTGCAGCGTGCCTCGCAGTTGCACCGGAGCTGGAGCATTATGAACTGGACACGCGAATGGGAAAGTCTTGGTCGTGGCATCGGCAAAAAGGCGACTATTTTGTTTCGAGATCATGTGGTCCATGAGCCCATTGGAGAACTGGAAGTGCGTGCAATGGCAGTAGTTGACCTACGAGAACTTCTGGATGAAGAGAACTGACGCACCATCCTCGCAGTACCGTCGATGTATTGGCAGTGACAATAGTTGAAGCTGGCCCTTGTGCTTGAAGCCGTGTCTTCGCGACTTCAAGCGCTACATCAGCAGGGTGAGCACAAATGCCGCTGTAGGACGTGTGCATCGTTTTCGCAACGTACGCGTGACCTACGAAAATCAACAACATAAGGAGGAAGCAGGACAAAGTCACTCGGTGCCTACAAGGAGCGAGGTCAGCAGAGCGCCAACTGAAGCGACACCCGACTTCTTGACGGACAGCTCCAGTGTCCGGAAGTGCTGTCCCCTCCCTTCGTCGGGGTTCGGTGCCGTCGCCACCATTTCTTGCTGTGTCAACAAAATCTTCTAATTACTTTTTGATTGGCCAAAATCTCCCACGATACGATTAAGTTTTCTTCATGGAAGGACTTAGTCGTCTCCATGGGTCGACCTATGCTTCAGGGGCTGTCAGGGCATCGTGCATTGCCTGGAGATGATGGCCCAGTTGAGTATGTCCATTTGCCGATGCAAACATCATGGGTGTGAACCCCTCGTCGTCAGGTTGCATGTGCCGTCGGTGGAGGCCACCACCACCTTCGGACACAGGTCGCACGAGCCACATGCACATGTCATCGTGGCCTTTCAGAGCTGCTTTGTGCAGTGCACTGTGTCCGTTGCGGTTCAGAACGGAACAATCCAGCCCTTTTTCAACGAGGAAGCGCAGAATGTCAACATTGCCGGTCATGGCACACCACTGGGAGGCGTTGCAACCAAACACGTTCAGGCAGTGGATGTCACACCCTATGTCGCTACACCAGCGATCTCAGTCGTATTCGCAATTGCATGCACATCAAATCTTCTGTACGTACACGAGCCATTGCACGATGTCCAAATGCTGGCCATACACTGCATAGTGCAGTGGAGTTGTCCCGTCCAACGTTGCGCAGTCGACGTCAATCTTCACTTCATTGATTAACCATTCACAAATGCGACGGAAACCGTTTCGTGCTGCCCAATGTAGCGCATTTCGACCAAGCTTTCCTTGTAATGCAGCCGCATCTAACCCCACTTGTTCATGGAGGAATCTGCACATGCCCAAGTGTCCTTCGATCGCGGCCCACAGCATGGCATCGTTACCGTGCACATCGCGCGTGCTTTTGGCATCCCAACCTTGATGCAGGAGCGCTTGAAGAGCTGGAATGTCGCCTCGTCGGGCTGCATCCAGGCCAGGTTCCAGGTCTCGACGTCTGCGCTCTGCTGCCTTGGCCGATTCAGTCCACTGGTGCAACATCGTCCGAGGAGCCGTATACGCAATAATCTGGACATTGCTCGCGGCTACGGCATCATCGCGAGCTTGGACGTACGAGTGATTGTGCTGAATTTCCCGGTGCACTCGCAGCCCCTTTGTGCCATTGAAGTACAGGCCACACAGCGAGCACGGGAATCGTCCCATGACCGTGTGCCATTCCAAGTGCATCTTCGTCGTGATTTTTATCATCCCTCGATTGTCATGGCGAATGTCAGCCACGAGGGGTTGCATTGCTTCGGACATGTGTTCGACAAGGGCGGCGGCAAGGGTGGAGGTAGTTGCGTATTCCTCATGTTTCACGAGACCGTACGGCGTTTTAACAATGACTCGCAGCGGAGTGTCGCTGGGCTGGTTTGTTTCGTGCATTGCACGAATGTGGTGTTTGAACACTTGGTTGGCAAAAAACACTTCCAGGTCGGCTCCCCTCTCTCGTCCTCGAGCTAGCAAACTACGAGTTAGCTGACTACTCCTACAGCAAAGCGCAATAAAGTGGGAACCTGGGCATACTTGGTTGCGGCTGCTGTAGTATTGGCTCACGTAATCTTCGCCGAGATGGTGCCGCACCGCCTCCGCAACCCACGCATTGAGGGTTTCCATGGCAATACCAGTACGTTGGGCGTGGCGTGAAGGGAAGCCAATCACACGTCACTTTTATTGACCAATCCAATTGCTATATTTTGAACTATTTTACCAATGAGACGCAGCATTGGATTGTCACATTTCCACCAATACTTTCCTCAGAGCCCTTAAAGCAATATATCCATCAAACACAGTTCCGTTCAAAGATAAGGGGTCACTAGCGGTACTTCGGGGAGGCTGGGATGCTTTTGAGAGTAACCAATAAGGGGATTTAATCCAAAATGATGACACGATGCGTGCCAGGGCCTTCCTCGCGTTCAATTACCGCGCATCCATGGATAGATCATCCGCATCCCTAATGTTTGATTGGTGATTGAGAATTGCTATGGCCAATCAGATGACGTAGTCTACATTGACAAAGATACGTCATCCATGGTGGAACGTACAACCTTTGTACTGCCACGCACCAGTTGAATTTTAATAGCGACTTCAAGAGGATCAATACGTTCAACCGTACAAACTACATTTAACGTACGCTTGTGGCACTCAAGGGCGCCAGCCGCTCGTCATTTGAGAAAGCGCCCCTGTGCAGACAATGGTGAAGTTGAGCTTGAAAGATGTTGACGTCCAAGGCAAGCGCGTCTTGATGCGTGTAGACTTTAACGTGCCCTTCGACAAGAAGACCGGCGAAATCTCCAACTCCCAACGTGTGGACGCCGCCTTGCCAACGATTCAATTCGCGCTCGACAATGGCGCGAAGAGTGTGGTGCTGATGTCCCACCTCGGCCGCCCGGACGGGTCGGCCATCGCCAAGTACTCGTTGAAGCCCGTGGCGGACTTGTTGAAGAAGAAGCTGAACCGCGAAATCATCTTTTTGAACGACTCAGTGGGTGCCGAAGTCGAAGCTGCCTGTCAAAACCCTGCAAACGGGTCGGTCATTTTGTTGGAAAACTTGCGCTTCCACGTTGAAGAAGAAGGCAAGGGCAAGGACTTGGACGGTAACAAGGTCTCGGCAACCAAAGAACAAGTCGCTGCGTTCCGTGCTAGTTTGAGCAAGTTGGGTGATGTGTACGTGAACGATGCGTTCGGAACCGCTCACCGCGCCCACAGCTCCATGGTCGGCTGCGACTTGCCCGTGAAGGCCGCTGGCTTCTTGATGGACAAAGAGCTTGTGTATTTTTCCAAAGCGTTGGATGCCCCTGAACGTCCTTTCTTGTCGATTTTGGGCGGTGCCAAGGTGGCTGACAAGATCCAATTGATCATGAACATGCTTGACAAGGTTGACGAAATGATTGTGGGCGGCGGCATGGCGTTCACGTTCAAGAAGGTGATCGACAGCATGGATATCGGTTCGTCTCTGTTCGATGAAGATGGAGCGAAGATCGTCGAAGACATCGTGGCCAAGGCCAAAGAGCGTGGTGTGAAGCTCCACTTACCTGTGGACTTTGTGATTGCCAACAAGTTCGCTGCCGATGCTGAAACTCGCGTCGTCGACGACTCGGAAGGCATCCCTGAAGGCTGGTTGGGCTTGGACGTGGGTCCCAAGACCAATGAAATCTTTGCTGCTGCCGTTGGTCGTGCCAAGACGGTCGTGTGGAACGGTCCCATGGGTGTGTTCGAGTTCGACGCCTTTGGTACGTAGTGGCACTGAGAATTCGAATGCTTTCTTAACTTTTCCTGACTAGCCCAAGGCACGAAGAACGTTATGGACGCCGTCGTGGAAGCGACCAAGGCGGGTGCGACCACGATTATTGGCGGCGGCGACACAGCCACGTGCTGTGTCAAGTACGACACTGAAGACAAGGTATATAGTGCATTCCTGCTTGTCCTAGTGAAACTCATGAACGTGTGCAACAGGTGAGCCACGTGAGCACGGGCGGCGGAGCAAGCTTGGAATTGCTCGAAGGCAAGATTTTGCCTGGCGTGGCGGCGTTGACCGACGTGTAAAGTTGCATATCTGTGTGTCGTCATGCCTCGCAGGCGCGTCGTATTCTTAATACATTTATATCCGCCTCGGCGTTGTTGTGGCACGTGCCATGCACACGTCAGAGTCGCTGACGTTGTCATGTTGATGCAGAACCAAGCCGACACCGATTTCCCCCACGAAGACTACCCCTGCTGCTCCCCAGAAGACTCCTGCCGCCTCTGTTCCGGTGAAGCCTACCGCCGCTGCCAAGGATTGGACCCCCGTGTACATTGCCGCTGCGGTTGCAGTGTCGGTTCTAGCTGTTGCTGTTGGCATGTTCCGTAAGAAGTAATCAAGCACCCATAGAGACATTTTTGCGCTTACCTATTTTGTCTTTCAACATGCGACGCCTACAGACTGGGTGCGTTGAGTGTGCAACTCTGCATCGAGTGTCAACTGAGATCAGCATCTTGGGACCGTTGTCGCAGGTTGCATAGGCTGCCTTCGCCAGTGCACTATGTACACCCTTTACCAAATCCAACAAAATCGTATCAACGTGCATGCGTCGACGATGCGTACATGCAGTCGAAGTGCAGCCTCGCTGCTCTCCTTGGAGAGTCGCTAACTCGACGGGAGTGCTGTCCTAATGTCGTCGACTTCTTGACAGAGAAGTGGATGTCGGCCTCACGTCGAATGCAACATACAACGAGTAAAAGTTTGCATGCATCCGAAGTTATGACGACGGAGGCGGGATTCGAAAGCCCAAACCGACTGCAAAAATCTCAACAGATTCCGTGCGGGACGAATCTGGTTTGAACGTCTTGACGTCGGTGAAGAACGGCTTCATTTCTTGTCGGAATTGGTCGCCCGCGGGTGACCGAAGGATCTTGGCCACGAATCGCCCGCCAGGTTTTAAATAGAGCCTGGCCATACGCAAGGCATTTTGGCACAGACGAAGCTGCTCCTCGCAGTCTCGGAAGCTGATGCCGGAGAAAGATGGGGCCATGTCACTAAGGACTACATCTGCTTTCCGTCCGTTCATCAGGACTGCAATCTTTTCACGCACTTCGGGAAGGCGAAAGTCCCCCACCACCACGCCCACACCAGGAAACGCATCGAATGGTAGCAAATCGACGGCCACGACTTGGACAGGCGCATCGGCAGGTGTCGATGATGGACTTCCTTTGCGGCATTCGTCAATTGCAATCTGAACGTGGTTTGTGAGGTGTGTGGCTCAACACAGACGCAAAACACACCTGCGACCAACCACCCGGGGCTGCTCCAAGGTCAAGGACTACGTTGCCTTTGCGAATCAGGTTGTACTTCTACTCGGGACACACAATCATCCACTTGATCGAAGGAGGCATGCTCCTACCGCGTTCAACTCACGCAATTTAATCGCGGCTCGCGACCTGAGTCCCTCTCGTTTAGCTTGTTTCACGATATGGTCATTTTGCTGCCGTGCCAGCCATCGAGCGCTCGACAGTGTCTTGCCCTTTCGGATCGTCGAAAACCATCGCCTCTGCAGCATCCCTCTGGGCCAGTTCACCAGGGAATACCACCGTATCCGTACAGCCTGTCTTGCTGGCCAATTGAATAACGTCATTACAATCTATCCGGATTGTGGTGTCTCAAGCAAATCGTGCATTCCACTCACAGCCCAGACACTGCCACCATCGACCTCATGACCGAGAGCACACATGTGGCCGGCTACGGCTGGTCTCGGGCAGCTACCTTTGACTTCGACCCCGCTTTCTCCATAGCTAGCGAACTGATCGTAGCCAAGACTGTCTTGAGGGGTGTTTGGGTAGCCAGCGACAACGCCTACAGTTTATCATGAGCCTTCCCAATTGTTGAGGTCATCTCAACGTACTCTACAGTCTTCGTACTCGGGCTGGACGTTCACAACGCGTTCATTCAGATATGCAATCTACACACTCGATCGTTCTCGCCGTGCATTGCAAGGTGTTGTCGCACCTTCACGGACGCAGTGCCATACTGCGAGGCCACGTCGATCCTTTCACGGCGAAGCGTTATGCGCTCCATGGTTTGTCTACCGCAGAGTAGTGTTGGAAAGCAAAAACCTCAAGCTATGCTGAACCCACCGACGGATACCAAGTGTCGTTGTCTCTTCGAAGAGAATGGTGGACAAGTCTCCAACCTGGTGGTGGTGGCACAGCACACTGTAGCAATCAAAAGAGCACAGTCAAATCCGTCGATCACCCACATGATGCCGCACACACCTCATCAAGGTAGCCGGTCGGTTCTTTTTCATCTTCACCAGACTTGTCAACATGGAAGTCGAAAGGACAGATGCGATACCTGAATCGGTTGAACCCACACGTCGAGCGCCCCCTTTTGCAGTAGCCGCTCTTGTACATGTCCAAACACCTTGAACAAATGAATAGGTCGTCGAAAACATCGCGTGCTTGCTCAAACCTGTGGATTCATATCGTCCACGTTGGTTTCCAAGACGCTGACGTGTTCAATGGTGGTGTCGGAGGTTCCAATGAGCTCGGGGGAAGGCACGGGTGTCCAGTTGGCGTTGACGACCGTCGTGCTAGGGTCCACAGCAGTCCCAATCACGACGCGCACAATGTTAGCGTGATTCGGAAAGTCCTTGGTCCCGGCCCCAGAGCCTTTTGACAAACTTTTTAGCTCAACTGCGGCGTAACAAGGCGTGGCCCTTACCCAAAGCAATGGGAACAAATGGAGGTGGCTGGCCAAAGGTTCGGGCCAGGGCCTTCATGAGACTGGCGCCCGTCGGCGTCACGAGTTCCCCCACTGCACTACAACACCCCAATAAATCGAAAGATGTGCAAGTATTGACGAACCCTTTGGGCGCGGGCCCCATCGGAATCCCGTGAAACAACCGCAGCGTTGCCGGGGCTGGGACTGGCATCACTCCATGCGTGCAACGCACAAAGCCTTTGGAAAACGGAAGGAATGAGCAGTGTACTTCGTCAATGTGCAGCAGCTCGAGGGCCAGGACGGATCCAATCGTGTCAATGAGGCTGTCGATTGCACCGACTTCGTGAAAATGCACCTACAACGCAAGTATTCGTTCTGGAAATGCTCGTCAACTTTCACTTGCCTTATCCATCGTGGTGCCATGCACAGACGCTTCGGCCTCTCCCAAGCAGTGAAACACTCGCTTGCTGTTCTCCTTAACCCACGGCGACATCTCGCTTGCATCAATCATAGCCGCGATCGTGCGGTAGTTTCGGTGTTCGTGGTCGACGTGGCCGTCATGGTTGGGACTATAGGAGAGGTCATGTGAAGAGTCGTTCACATAACCATTATGACCACCATACCCGTGGGAATGGTTCTCAAGGTCGTGGTGATGTGAATGGTCATGGCTGTGACCATGATGATGGTCGTGATCGTGGTGATGACGTTGGTGGATTTGGTCGTCGTGGTCTTGGAACACTTGCTTGGATTGCTCATGGGGAGCATCGTTTGCTGCCGCCTCACCATGCTGAGGTGCCGGCAGTGACTCATGGTCGTAGATAGACGACACGTGGATCTTTGTAGCAGCAATCAACCCGGTGCCTCGCCATACACGCTCAGTCAAGATGTCCCATTCACCTCGAATGGCCGGAATGGTCAGTAAGCCGGCTTTGATAGCATCCAACGGCGCACCCTGCAACATCCTTTAGAGACTTCACTAATGGCGCATAGAATGAATATTACTGCGTCAATGAGGCTGGCCAGGATCATGTCTCCCGCAGCGCCAGCGGAGCAGTCGAAGTACGCGATCTTTCCCATGAAAATGTCTTTTTCATGCGGTGGGTGACTATCCGAATAAGCATAACAATATACAGGTTTTCCGAATAATTCAGGACTCCTCGGCTTTAATTGTGAGAGGCAATCCGCTTCGTCGCCCAAGCAAACGCCATGGACGTCGCCGGCGGCAGCTCGCCTTACAAGGACTTGGATGATATCTTTGGAGAAGACGACCAAGACGGACTTGCACCAGTGGTAGATGCAATGTCAAACAAGGAGGATCTGTCGTCAGATTCAGTTCATTCCCAACCGAGTGTGGGTGAAGTCGAACCGGAAGATAAGCCCACGTCGCCGGACGTTGCACTGTGGGCTGCAGAGTCCAAACCTTCGACTCCTCCGTTGGTCATTGGCGAAGAAACGATGAGTGTTGTGGACGATGATTCCTTGACGACGCCCAACACATCACTTCCACCAAAGGAGTTCCAAGCGTCGGAATCGCTAGAGTTTCTCGACTACCCACCCGAGGCGAATCCCACGGCGATGGCACATTCCCAGTCCACTTCGTTGAGCTTTCTCGACATGGACACGGATTTCGCAAATCCACCATCTCACACCCCATCCGACTCTATGAACTTCCTCGATCTGACAGACCGCCGTGGTGACTACACGACTGGATATGTTGAGGCTCCGTTGTCACCGTTTTCACAGTTTCTCTCCACTGCGCAAACAGCATCAAGCGGCATGCTGACGCAACCACCTCTCTCGGCGGTTGAACATGGTTGGAACGACAATCTCGATGTTGCTGCCTCGACGCCCTCGCCAGGTGGCAATTCCCATGCTGCATCCATCCTCGACGAAGCCCACGTCGATGTTCGACCCGTTGCTGATGAAGAGCTGAGATGTACACCGCCTGCATCAGAAGAGGCTGAGTCAATCTCTATCGAAGCTAGCCATGGTGATGTTTTTTTGAGTGAAAATGCGGGCATTCTCAAAGCGGCCGAACATCCCTCAGCAGCAGGTGACTCCAACACAAAGACAATTCAACTCCTGAACATTCGTCGACGTTTTGTAGATCGATGTGCCGAGGCAGCCCCAGCCGATGAAGTGACGAGTGCATGTAGCATTCGTGACGTTCACGACAAAGTCGGCGCAACGCATGCTTCGTACCGTCCCGACTTAGCGGACACGGAAAAATATGCGGAAAATGTGGCAAATGATGGGTCAGCTGTTCTTGATGGCTCGCAAAACGAGTTGTCTGTGGATGTGTCGTGCAACGACTCGTTAGATCCGTCGGCGCCAACATCAGATGTGTCAAACAAACATGCTGAAATTAACGACAAAGATGCTGACTACAGCGCATCTCAAGCCACCGAAGTGGTCCCGCTTGAAGAACGCGCGCAGATGAAGGTATCCCATCACGACGCCAGCTTCGAGTGCGGCGTCGATCTCACTACGACGCATCATTTCTCTGTCGAAGACGACTTGCATGAATGTGAAGAGCATGCTCAAGACGATGCACCCCAACCAGTCGCCACTTACAACGACGGTGTTGTTCCCATGTTGTTAGTTGAGGACGACATGCACATGGCCCCAACCACGACAACTCAACACCATTGGGCATTACACGACCCTGCAGTTGAGAGCTCTGTCTCGGTGGATAATGAGTCAACAGAGGCATCAGGGCACGAGGAGAGCTTGCTGGATTCGAACTTCGATGACAGCCATGGCGAGACAGGAGTGCTTGCGTTGCCAGTCTCAACGATCACTCGAGCGTCGCAAGACCTGGCCGCTTTCGATTTTCCTTCACTGGATGCCTCGACAAACCACAATGCAATGCAAGAAGAATCCATTTCCACCGACGACGGCAAAATCGATGGTGAGCGCATCTTTCCAGCCAACGAAGGCATCGAAATAACTTCACCTGATATCCCAAGCGAAATTTGCCCCGTTGATACCCCTGCGGTGGTTGCCATTGGTGGCACAGTGAGCGATGTATTCGGTGTTTCTTCAGCGTGCGAGGAGACTATTCCACGCGAGAACCTCCAAGACTGCTCCAGTGAATGCGAAATCGCATGCGCCTCGAATGCATTATCGTTTGAACAGGACTCTCCCCATTCTCTCGTTCAACTGTCCCAAGAATCCTATAGCGCTAATGCCGTTGATGCCGACATCGAGGATACGTCAGATTTGTCCTTGGATTGTGCTGCTCCCTCCGAAATCGCGACTACTCCGGATGATTTTGTTGTGCTGGCTCCCCATGACGTGGCCATTGCTACCAACGTTATGCAGTCTGGTGGTGGCGATGTTCAAAGTGTCGCCGATGACGCACCTGCAGCCCCTTCGTCAGCTGTCGAAGTACCAAGTGATGCCTTTACCTCAAGTCCACCTGTACCCAAGAGCCTCGTTTTTCCCGTTTCCGCATTCCCGGATTCGACCACTGATGCATCTGCTGAAGAATCGTCGAATTCGCGGTTCATCTCTCGTCCAACGGACACCTTGTCCACTGCACACATGACAAAGTTCCAGACAGCTCCCCCCCCTTCGAGCACATACAACCCATTCGAAGTGTTGGCGCAAGAAGAGTTAAAATCCGCCACAGCATTTCCATGGCTCAACTTTCAATCGGCGCCCGTCCAAAACGACAACCCTCCCATTGACACTAACAACCCATGGGCCTCAGCAACCCCAGACACAGACGACTTGGACGGCTTTGTGAGCGTCCCCACGTCGACCAGAGCAGCAATCATAAACGTCGTCGCAACGCAGGCGACAACATCGTGGCTCGACGTTGCCACGTCTCAAGTAGCTACATCGACGAGTAAGTTCAGGGATGCGGATGGCGAGCGAGAGAGCTTTGGGGCGTTTGAGGGCGAATCGCCCGCGTTTAGCGATATTTCATCGTCTCCTCAAGCCCCTTGCGAGTCGTTTGGAGATTTCTCAGCTGCGACCACTACACCCGCTGAATTTGGCGACTTTGGGGACTTTTCTTCGGCCGCTATCTCCGCCGTGGAATCGAACGACGGCTTCTCCGACTTTGGTGCTCCCTTGTCAACCACATTTGGAGGCGACGATGACTTTGGAGAGTTTGAATCGTCGCCCCCTGCCGACGCCATGACTTCGTTTGGTGACTTTACATCGGTGCAAGCGCCTTCGTCCAGCATGTCCACTGTACGTGTTGGACCACCTCTCACTGGCACTTCACGACTATTCTTGACCGACAGGTTCCCTTCGATGACGAAAAAGTCGCCACGTTGTTCGCCAAAGCATTTCCTGTGCCCGCACGAACCGCACCTTCCATTCCGTCCAGCTCGATCACTACCCAACAAATCTTGGGCTCTGTGGATTTTGTATGTCGTTTTCGAGAAGTCGCGATCGTTTGATGCAGCCATTTTGTAGGAGAACACGCAAAAGCCTATTGTGTGCACTTCGCTGTTGGACGTGCTGGTCAAGGACATTCACGCAAACCATGTCCAGTGGGACGCGAGAACCTCCAGCGTCCGGGAAGAATCCGCCCATGTGTTGGAGCAATGCAAAGCAGCGCTCGCCCAAAAAGTCAACGAGGCCGTGCTCCACCACGCGCTCTTCACCGAAAAGTCGCCAGAGTTTGCCGAATACCAGAGCCTCGTTCACACGGCTGATAAAGCGGCGATGCTCGCAGGGTTACGGAAGCTCCAGCTCGACATTTTTGACGACATGTCGAACAAAGCGACGTTGTCGATGGCCGAACAGGCGGCGCTGTCAGCCCAAGCCACGATTGCCAGCCACGCGCAGCACCACAAAGAAAAGGTGCCAGGTCTCAAATTCCAGTTTGCTTGGTCATCGTCGAAAGACAAGTCGGACCACGATGACCGCGCAGCTTCCACTCGAGTTCTCACGCCGACAGGGGCGTCGATTTCCAAGTTGCACCGCAACTCGTTCAGCAACTTGCATGCGTCGATGGGAACGGCAGGAGGCACGGTCAGCGAGGGTGAACACACGAGCGGCTCGGATGGCGACGGAGAGTCGTGGGAAACCGCGAGTGCCACGAGCGATGGTGCCGGGACGGAAGATCATCACCACCATCCCCCCAGTCGCACGGGGTCGGGGTCCCTGGCAGGGTCGATATCTGGCACAGGACTGATGAAAAAACTGTCGTCCAAGCTGGGCTTTTCGAGCTTGCGGTCGTCACTGTCGCTGACGTCAACCAAAACCAAAGTAACTCAACCGCCCGCTCTTGGACGAGATGTCAATTCTTTCGATAGATGGTGAGTTTGTCGTTGCGTCGAAAAGGCGACGCTGCGGTCCGGACATTTGAAGTGCCGCTGGACACCATTAGCGGCGGGTTCGACGAGCTCAAGTGGAAATGTGCCGTGTACTTGTACGATGCAGACGAAGTTGCGGCCGTGGCACCGGCGCAGATAGAAGTGATCGCGTCGAATGGCGTGACTGTGTCGTCAACAGATCGATCCGCGTTGCAAAAGCTGCTCAAGGAAAAAGGAGCGGTTTGGACAATCGATGTTGGCACCGACGCCAAGGAGTCGGTGAGCGACACGACATAGCTATCAGGACCTTTGCAACTGCAACTTGTCAAGGTGGAGAGTTATGTGGTCAATGTATCAACTAACTATACCAAAACAGCACAGAGCGAGTGGATGCCAGGGGCCGCCTTGATCCATTGCTCATGCTTCAAAACTGAACACAGAGTTTCCAATAAAGGACCCAGGTGTTGGCAACATCGAGTACAATTCACTCGACTTGAGACCGTCCATGGACAGATCGAGCGGTGCCACGAGATCCTCGCCGTTGGCGGCCGTCTTTTTGAACTTGAGAGGAAGTTGCTGCGGCCTGTCGCGCACAAACGGCGGTGTGGGGATCCTTTGGTACATGCTGCTACCCGGGTGTTCGTCCAAGAGTTCTTGCAAGGGAAGAGGAAGGACAGTCGGGGCCGTTGTCGGCCCTGGTAGAAGCATGGGCATGGCTTTGAACGCGGTTGGCAACGCCATGTCTTCCATGACTGAATCGACGTGGTCGAGAAGCGAATGCATGTCGTCGACGCTTTGGTGGAAGTGCTGTGGCTGCAAGACCGGGGGCGAGCCAGAGTTCTTGCGATGGATACCAGGCTGTGGAGTCGACGATGGCGGTGACAACGCAGCCATCGGCCGATTGTGAGTTTGCATGTGTGAATTCCGGTTCGACGCCTGGGCAAACATTCGGTTGCACCCAGGCACCATGCAAGCAAACGGCTTGAGGCCGGTATGTGTTCGCAAGTGGGTTTTCAAGTTGGCTTTGTAAGCAAATTGCTTGCCGCAACCGTCGAAGGCGCATACAAAGGACTTTTCCCCCGTGTGCACCAACATGTGCCGCTTCAACTTGGCTCGTTCGTAAAATTTCTTGTCGCACCCGTCAAACGAGCACAAGAAGCGCTTCTCTTGGTGGGTCAGCAGGTGCTTTCGCAGGACCTAGACAGCACATCCACCCGATCGGTTAGTGGAACTGTCGTGACCGAGAGACGCGGCGCACCTTGCGATCGGTCACGCTTTTACCGCAACTAAGACACACAAACGATTTGTTTCCGTTTGGAGCGACTTGTATCGTGTGCGGCCCCCAAGTGTGCTGCGTCAGGTGATCTTTCAGGCTCTGGGCATCTTCAAAGACGTGATGGCACCCAGGTTCTGTACACGCATGAGCTGTGTCGAGACCTGCGGAGCCACCACCCACGTCGTCTCCAGAGGGGTGGAGGACGTGGTGGGGGTTCGGGTGTATCTTGAGAGGATGATGGGCGGTGCCATTGTAGAACGGCATCATCGACCATCCCATGTCGTGCATGTAAGCCATCGAAACCAGCAGAACTGCACTGCCCCAAGTCAAAGTGCAGCATGCGTTATTAATACCCACACCCCAAAATAACCGCAGGCATGCTGGCTGGTGGGCAAAAATAAAGCCGCCTTTCTCCGTACGACGCCAGGTGCAATAAGCGGGAATCGTACTATGACAGCGTAGAGTGCCAGCCAGCATCATGCGCGCGCTGCGCGCTCGTGCCTGGTCAAATGAGCAGCACAGAGTCTCCAAGATGCACTGAAGGACTCGTGGTTTTCGTCGCCACAGACGGCGACGCGACATTTCAAACGTGTGATATATTCCACGCCCAAGAAACCGCCATGCGTTTCAGTTTCGCACACTGCATCATGAACAACGAAGCCGAGCCCGAGGGAAATGTCGTCGCAACAGAAGCATGGCGGTATGCCGCACTCCATGCAAAATGACGTCAAGACGTCATATGTGTCATGTGTATAGAGCGTTTGGCAGCGACACGGAAGCAGGACGCTTGCTCAAGAAATTGTATTGCGGCAACGCCAAACCAGTCATCAACTACCCCAGTACTGCGAGCGATTTCTGTCCAGGAAACTCATCGTTTGTGTGCAGAGGTAAAAACGACAAAGCAGCATGCCCCCGCTGGCCCGTTCATTCCTGGAGGGGGCAGCGGCGTGGACACTCGTTCAAACAACTGGGCATCGTCCAACACGGCGCGGGCGGTCAAGGTGCCAACCGTGGGAAACCACCCAACGGTATCTCAACGGATCCAGCTACACCACCCTTCACGGTACTTCGTTTGTCGTAGAATCAATCCCACGCTATCGACGCCATCCCAGTCCATCGCCGCCACAAGGACATGATCGACAAAGAGCTCGGTCAAATCAAGCGAAGTGTCGAGGGGTATCGCCCAACCGTGGCCAGGTACTTGGTTTTTGCAGTGGCCGTGCACGCTCTAAGTGCAATATTTCGCAGCTATCCAGGCTCCCAAGCGGAGAAGCAAAAGTTGCAACAGCGATTCACTTATGCCGCAGGGACGATCCTACCTCGAGAAATGCTGCCTGGCTCTGGTGTGTTCTCACCAACTCCATCGTCATTCGAACGTGAATGTATTCGTGTCGCAGATCTGTTGGACAAAGAGCTGTCGCACTTGGATGCCAAACGTCAAGGAGGACCCATGACAACTCTCCAACAGCTCCAGAAACTGCGGACGCAAGTGCTGGACGACATTGAATCGCGCAAGAAATATATTGCAGAAATGTCGGCCTTGGGAAAGCATGCAGACACGCAACAAATGCACCATGACATGGAACAGTTGCTTCTCGAGTTGAAGCAAATCAATTCCCTCATGAACCAGCAGAACTAGAGCTGGCATTCTCTGGCGGAACAGCCCTAATGACATACGTTTTTAAGTTTCTGACACGTCTCGACGCTACTTCTGACGAAGCCGTGACCAAAATACGACCGCTCAGTCCATGAAGCACAAAAGTGCTCGAGCCACACAGACTGCTCACAGCTACTATGACACTTCGATATGGCTTGATGTGCGTGCTTCGGTGGGACCATCGGCATGATCTATTCGTTCCAGAGGAGGAGTCGCGGCCCGCCTTGGGTCAATCAGGACGCTGTGAAAGCACAAGTCGAACAGCGTCTGCGCCCCGCGAAAATATGGAAACTGGAGCCACAGCATTCCGACCAGTTTGATGTGGTATACAAACGGCACCCACCACAGCACACCGCTCATCGCGTCGAACAAGTACTCGACGATGGCCACAACTACGAAGTAGCACACCCACCATTCGTGCGTGCGGCGTTGGTGTCGCGCCAACGTACCGAGTACAACGTAAGCTGGAAACGCGAGGGCAACTGCATCGCAGCCGACTTTCGTCAGAAAGCCGGGCGTGACGAGGAAGACCAGTCCAAATATGGCAGGACCCTGAGCCATCACGTCGCGCATGATGTTGGCAGTGCGGGTTGAGATGAGCCCAACGGCAGTCAAGGTGCGGAATACGATGCCAGCGTGCGCAGGCGGGGCCGCGATGACAGACATCGAGCGGGTCGGGGAGAAACCAGACGTGGCGCCATGTGGAAACACATAGTTGACCGCAAAGCCCAAGAGCACTCGAGTTCCGTGCATGTGATGCAACCAGTTGAGGAGAAAGTTGATGCGAAGAATTGACGGCTTGAAGTAGAAAACAATGAAGTGAGGCACGAGGGTAGTCGCGATAGAGTGACTGGTCAGGTAAAACGCCCACAAGATCCAGTAGCGAAGAGATCGCTCAAAGTAAACGGCGGCGGGGTCATCGGTATACCGATGGGTCCTCACGGCCCGGATGGACATCATGATGGGGTAGATCGTTGCGAGCCAGACCAGGATCACTTCGTGAGAGAGGAGGGCGAGAACGGGGGCGGGGGAAAGAGTCGCAATGACGTGACAGAGCATCGCGTAGATGGCGTGGGGGAGAATGTACGCGGCGACTTTCGATTTGGCTGCGACTTGCAGCCGGAAATTTCGCTGAGCTTGCCGCCATCGTAGCTTGACCCGTTTCCATGCCATTCGCACACGCGCAAAATATCCTTTGCGCCACGTTATAAGCACACCGAGGGTGATAACAACAGCGGTGGCTTGATGAACGGGGTCCAACGAGCGGAACGTCAGGTACGCTGAGTGGACGAGCGAGCGAGTATGCGGCATCAGGGCTTCCATCACCATGAGAAGCCCTGTCAGCACTGGAATCGACAACAACTTAGCGAGATAGATCCATGCGACCACAGCTTTCCATGTGTCGATGACGCACGCCGTAAAACATACTTGGATTTCAACCCAATCGGTGGGTTGGCTGAGGACATCGAACAGCGTCGTGTTGGTAAACAATGAAGACACATCCGTCAAGCTTTGCAGCAGCCAATTGGTGTCGTGAGTGCCTTGGTGGGATGGCGTCGGGGACCTTGTAGGTCGTTGGAGGCATGTGGTTGCATCAGGCAACGGACTCATCCACTTCTCCATGGGGCACTGCATTGCACCACCGCCGTGGTGACGAGCAACATCAGTTGCATTAACCCCTTCTGAGCTCCACCCGATAACATGCACTGCCAGACAGCACACGACGCTTGTCGAGAAGGGCCGACGCATCGAACGGGCCGCACCAAGCGTAGGCAGGAGCGGCCTGCGGCGCATCTTCCACCAAGAAATGGGATTTTCGTAACAGAATTTCCGTTGTCTGGATAAATTAGACAGATATTTATCCAAGTGGCCACGTCAACACAATATCCCTTTAGAATTTTAGCCAATCAAAAGTTTTACTTCTTGGATACATTGCCACGTAACCCTGGTCTATTCATTCTTGTAAGCCAATCAAATATTTCCATGGATGAACTTTTGACCAATCCTATTCGCCTTGTTGTGGATTCGTATTGCGTCGAGTCTGACGAATCTTTGTCTGACCTGGCCATGGCAAGTTCACTTTGAAACAATGAAACAAGCGACGCCGATGGCACCGAAGTTTTCGTTTAAGGACATCCCCAGCCTGGCCAACAAAGTTGCGATCGTGACGGGGGCCAGTGCTGGTATTGGCCTCATCACAGCGCGTGAGCTGGCCAAGAAGCAGTGTCACGTGATTTTGGCGTGTCGCTCCAAGGCAAAGACCGAACCGGTAGTTCAGTCCATCGCGGCAATCGCTCCGGACGCCAAGGTCGAGTTCATGGAGCTTGATCTTATGAGTTTGAAATCTGTCCATGCGTTCTCGGAAGCGTTCAAGACGCGCAATCTGCCGTTGCACATCCTGATCAACAACGCGGGTATCATGGCGCCGCCGTTCGCGCTGTCGGCTGATGGATTCGAGTCCCAGTTCGCCACCAATCACATAGGCCACATGGCGCTCACGCTTCGGTTGCTTCCCGTCTTGGAGCGCTCCGCCCCTTCCCGCATCGTCGTCGTAAGCTCCGCTGCTCACAACTATGTATCTTCTCAAGGCATCAACCTCGACACGCTTAACGATGCCAGGGCATACTCGGCTTGGACGTGGTACGGCCAGTCGAAGCTCGCAAATATCTTGTTTGCACGGGAACTTGACCGTCGGTTGGCGGCGCGGGGCATAAGCAATGTGTTTGTGAACACGCTGCACCCTGGCGTCATCGTGTCGGAGCTGATGCGGCACACCAACTGCTTCGTGCGGCTCATCATGCGGCCGTTTCAAATGTCGACCGAAGATGGAGCTAAGACGCAGCTCTATGCCGCCACGCACCCCGACATTGAACAGCAGAACCTGCACGGCAAGTTCTTCGTTCCGATTGCACGAGTCGGCGAGTCGAACGCACTCGGGCAAGACGAAGCGCTGGCGAAGCGCCTGTGGGAGTTTACGGAAGCGGCGATCGCCAAGTGTATTGGGCCTCCTCCACCTTAACCAAACACTGGTTGTTTGTTTCTGGAACGGATGTGTCACCAGCATTGCTTTCGAAGCACTCTTGATGGGGTGTTACGTCAAAGTGGTAATTTTAGCACGGGAATGGTACGCTATAAATAGTCCGAGGGCAAAACCGCCACACAAACTCTTCTCAGCCGCCACCACCGACCTCGGCGACAAGCATGGGATGCGGCTCGTCCCTCGGCATTCAATCCAAGGTTGCCGACAAGAACCACGTAGGCGACGATCGCACGCAGCAACTAGACAACTCGCCTCTCACGGCCGAAGAGATCCGTTCGCGCATCGTATGCTCGGACAAACCTGTCAAGACTCAGCTCACGCCGGCGCTCTCTATCGAGTACGCGTTTGTGACACAGCGAGGGTATTATCCTGACGGTACGGCTTCGAACTGGATGGCGTGGACGCGCTGACGTGAATGTAGCGGTCGACAAGCCCAACCAAGACAGCTACACGATTGTTCCCAACTTTGCAGGGGACCCGACCAAGATCTTCTTTGGCATCTTCGACGGCCATGGGGCCACGGGCGACCTATGCTCTGTCTTTGCAAAGAAGGAAGTCCCTGATCGACTGCAAAAGCTCATGGGAAAGGCCAACGCGTCCGTTCCATTCACGGAAATCTACTCGAACTGTTTCACTGACACCAATGCAAAGGTCAGCCGTCCTCTCGATTATTCCGACCAAACCATACATCGACGTGTCGTGGTCCTTGGTGGCTGGTTTTTCTGTGGCCGCCGACTCATGTACCTTTGCATGCACAGCTGCACACGTCGCGGATCGACGACAGCTTGAGTGGCACGACCGCCATCACGTGCTTCATGGACGGCAACATCATTCACATCGCCAATGTTGGCGACTCCCGCGCCGTGATTGCCAAGTCGGACGCCGCGCGCATCGTGGCGTCACCTTTGTCTGTGGACCAAACCCCATATCGCACGGTACGACACGGCGTTGGCATGCACTCGCGTGCTGATCGGTCGTAGGACGAGCGAGAACGCGTCAAGCGGTACGGTGCTCGAGTCCTGACGATGGATCAGCTGGAAGGGATCACTCCAATCCACGAGGTAGTGCCATCTTCCGTACCCACGTCGAGACCGAGAGCGCAACTGTTTTGCAGAACTGGGCCACAGCAGTGAACGAAGAAGTAGACGAAGACGGCGACCCGCCCCGCGTGTGGTCCCCGACCGGCAACTTCCCCGGCACGGCGTTCACCCGGTCGATTGGGGACGAAATCGCCGAAAGTTTGGGCGTGTTTGCGACGCCAGAGATTGCAAGTTTGCAGCTCACGCCCAACGACCGGTACATCATCATTGCGAGCGACGGGGTGTTTGAGTTCTTGACCAACCAAGCGGTCGTCGACATCGTCAAGTCGTACCCGAATCCATTGGAGGCATGTGAAAAGGTCGTGGCCGAGTCGTACCGGCTGTGGCTGCACTACGAACTGCGTACGGACGACATCACGATCATTTGCATTTACTTGGAGCACACTGCGGTCACGGAATCGTCCGAGATGAGCATGCGCCACGCCAGTCAAAAGGCCAACGACCTCCTCACAACCAACATCCTCAACACGCGTGTGACGGAGCTGCGCCCGGTACGTCGCGGCATGTCGAAGCAAAAGCGCCGCGACCAAATGAAAAAAGACATGGCCAAGATGGTCACGGACGAAGACTTGAACTACAACATGAGCGATCACGTTGTGCCCAAATCCAAGCCAGAAATGGACAAGATCATGGAGATTACAGCTGGAAATTGGCTCTTCAAGCAGCTCAACGCGCAACAACGGTCCGACGTGTACAAAGTCATGATCCGTGTCAACGTGAACGAAGGCGACGTCGTCATTCGCCAGGGTGACCCCGGCGACCGCTTCTACTGCGTCCAAAGCGGTGACTTCCAGGTGCGTGCGCCACCTTTCCGTGTATCTGGACCTGACAAGTTGAGCTGTAGGTGACGGTGAAGAGTGAATCGACTGCTGGGAAGCGCGAAGATATTGTGCACTTGTACCGCGGGGACACACATCCATCGTTTGGGGAACTAGCTCTCATGCACAACGCCCCACGGTCGTCGAGTGTCGTGGCGCTGACCAAGGGCGTACTGTGGGCCATCGACTGCCGCGCGTTCCGTTTGGTTTTTATGAAGTCCCCGACCAACGTGATTGTCCAAACACTCAAAAAGGTTGACGTGCTCAAGTCGCTCACGACGTCCCAGCTCGAGCGACTGGCGACGAAACTGACCGAGATAACATTCGAAGACGGCGACTACATTTTGAACCAGGGCAGCATTGGCAACACGTTTTACGTGATCAAGGAAGGAGCATGCATTTGCACCGTGTGGGACACGACACCTGGCGACGACGAGCGACGCAGCCGCGAGGTGCTGCGGCTGCGCCAACACCAATACTTTGGCGAGCGGGCTCTCCTCAACGACGCCCCGCGCGCCGCCAACGTGATCTCGGTCGGCCGCACCAAGCTGCTCCAAATCGGACGCCAAACGTTTGAAGAGATCTTGGGACCGTTGCAGCAAATTATTGACAACGACCGCGCCCAGCGCGAGGCCAAGCATTTGTTCCAGTCGGCAGTGTCCAACTTGCGCGAGTCGACGAGAATCGCCAACGCGGCAGCCCCTGGTGCGCAAGATCGATCGACCCTTAAGGACGACGTCATGCGCGGCGCGGTTGTTCCGAAGTACGCGACGCAGCCCACGGAAGTCGGTCTCGTGGTCACGTACGAAACCTTCAGCCACGTCCCGCTGTCCGTGCGCACGATCTCCAAGAAAACGACCAAATCCTTCAACAAGATGGAGGAGGTCATGCGCGAAGTCAACTTGCACAAGAACTTGCGCACCAATTGCCGCGTCGCGACCGTGCCGCCCCTCCTCGGCACGTGGACCGATGCGAATGGCCTGTACATGGCGTTCGAGTCCACGTTTGTCTGCGACTTTGCCACCCTCATGTCTGAGCACGACGCCAAGCTGCCAGAAGACGTCGTCCGGCAGTACGCCGCCCAATTGCTCGTCGGGCTGGAATCGCTCCACGACTCGGGCTACGTCTACCGCAACATGAATCCAGAGAACCTCGTGCTGGACACGTCGGGGTATTTGCAACTAGTCGACTTTCGGTGCGTGGGAAATTGAGAAATGGATATGCTGGAAATATTCAGAGCTGATCCAAGGGCGGTTGGTTGTAGGTATGCCAAATGCATCGAGGACGCACGCACGTACACCCTGTGCGGGACCGCGGAGTACACTGCGCCGGAGATGGTGTCTGCTCAAGGCCACAGCTTTGGCGTCGATCTTTGGGGACTCGGAATCCTCATCTACGAAATGCTCTACGGCGTCACACCGTTTGCCTGCGATGACCTGGAGAACGATAAGGACGTTGTGCTTGCCGTGTACTCGAAGATCTCGCGTTACGACAAGAAGGACCTCGTCATGCCCGACCAAGAACGGTCGCGTGAAGTGACCGACCTGTTGTCGCAGTTGCTCCATCACTCGCCCGACGATCGATTGGGATGCCAAGGCATTGTTGACATCACCACGGGCGGGTCAGTTATCCGAAGTCACCCATGGTTTGCATCTGTGGACTGGATCAAGGTCGCCGCGGGGGTTCAAGTCGCGCCACACGTGGAGGAAATCAACGCCAAGTCCAAATTGTTTGAAGCGCAAGCGACGCCGTGTGTCCTCGCTGAGTACACCGACTCAAATGCGTGGTTCGATGGCTTTTAATATATTCCATGCCGTCTAATGTTACATCAATACACTACTCCTCGCGTCCCCTCCATCATGTTACCACAAGGACAACACCCCAACGCAGCAACGCACCTGCTTGGTCCGTCGATGGCTCACCGTCAGCTATCCCGGCTAGATCGTAGAGGCGCCGTCGCACGCCAGCCGCAACGTGCGTACACCAGCTTGCATCCGGATATCGAGTCGCCCGCACTTCCGGAGTCGCCATGCCGTTTGGTCAAGTCGTGCTGGGTCCACCAGGTAACGCGAGAGACTGGAGCATGACTGATGCAGCATGACCACAGGCAGTGGCAAGACAACATATTGCAATGGTATGCAGCAGTTCCTTCAAGCATCCGGCCGAAAAGTGGCCGTTGTGAACATGGACCCAGCCAACGAACAACTGCCATACGTTGCCGATGTCGACATTGCCGAGCTCGTGTGCCTTGAGAACGTGATGGATGAGCTGCATCTTGGCCCGAACGGAGGTACGATCTCACAGGACCTTGTCCATTGACGACGAACTGTTCGAACGACGGCCAGGCCTTGTGTATTGCATGAACTTCATTGATCAAAACTTCGACTGGCTCGCCGAACGGCTCGACGTGCTGCCAGGTGCGTGCTCTTCAATCGATCTATCTCAAGCAGATCGCATGCAGATTCAACGTATGTTCTATTCGACTTTCCTGGACAAGTCGAGCTGTACACCCACGACGGGAGCATGCACAGCATCGTGAAGAAGCTCGAGAAGCGGCTGGAATATCGGGTATTGCATCGAATCCAACCGTCCTGGGTTTTCAATTAACGATCGAGTACAGGTATCAGCGGTGCACTTAGTCGATGCGCACCACTGCACAGACAGTGCCAAGTTCATTTCGGTCGTCCTGCTCAGTTTGTCGTCCATGGTCCGCCTCGAGCTGCCGCATATCAACGTCCTGTCCAAGATGGATTTGATCCAGCAATATGGCCAACTCACTTTCAATCTCGAGTTTTACACAGACGTGCTCGATCTTCGGTACCTGCTGGATCGGTTGGAAGCCCAGGACTATGGCGACTCGTTCGACGACGACGTGAATGGACTTGACGAGGACGTCGACACGATGCAGCCGCCGCCCGCCGTCGCCGCGCGAAAGCTCAAAGTCCGCGAGCGTTTTCGCAAGATGCACGAAGTGCTCATCGAAGTGATCGAGGACTTTTCGCTCGTGAGTTTCGTGCCTTTGCAAATTGAGGACGTCGACAGTCTCCAGCGCGTCGTCAATGCGATCGACAAGTCGAACGGGTTTGTGTTTGAAGGAGCGTCGGCGAATGCAATTGCCGGGGACCGCGACTTCCAGTCGGAGCGTATCGGGGACATGGAAGAGCGCTACGTTCGATAATACAGACGATGGCGAGTTGGATTTTTTCACGCGTTCCCCGTGTCGCACGGCCGTTTCGGTGTTCGGTCCTCTCGAAACGAATCGTTGCGATCTTGCACCACCTCGTCGCACACGGACCTGCCCCGTCCTCGACGGACCCACTTGTAAACAAGCACAATGCAAGTGACGTTGCTGAAGGATGCGTCCCGCGAGGAAGACGTCGAGTTGCAGACTCACGCCGCTGGGGGACCCCGGCGCGTCGTGAAAGGGCCGAGTCGATGGTCGGACAACGCGTGGGATACCATCCGTCGAGCTGTATTTGTCACGATATACGTCGTCGCGCTGATACTGTCGTCGACGCTCGTGTGCACGTGGATCACGGATGCCATCCGCGCGCTGCGTCAGGACCACATGGGTCAGCAGTTTTCGTTGGAAGCCGCGATGCTTTCGTTCCACACATACGGTGTCATGTACTCGATGTGCATGGACGTAGCTGTGCGCGAGAACCTCATGCAGACCGCGCGTGGATGGAAACACGAGCAAGTCAAGTTCAAGACAGCGGTCGAGGCGAGTCAAGCGGTCGTGGACGCCATGGCCATGCACACGAACGAATGTACGGCGATGGCATGCGAAATGCACGTCGTGATCCCTCGGTAGGCAAAGATGCGCTTCGCCAAGTGCACGCAACGTTGCAAGCGTCGAACGCGCACTTGAAATGTACGACGACGGCGGATTTGCTTGAGCTGGAAACGCTCAACAACGCGTGGGCGATGCGCCAACCCGTGAGCGAATCCTGGCTGCTCTTGGAGACGTCAAACGCGACCCGCAACGGCACCATGGACGGCGACGTGACGACGATCACCGAAGGCCACAAAGCAGGGCTCATCCGTCGATTGAACGAATCAAATTTGGCGATGCAGCGTGCGGTGGAGATGGGCGCGGACGAAGCCAACAGTCGGTTCGACCGAATGCAGCAGATTGCCACGTCGCTCCAAGACAGCTTGACGTTTCCGTCTGCAACCAATGGCCTCCCCATTGCGATGGGGCAAGCGCTCCAGTCGACCCAAGAATCGTTGCGGGAAATCAAGTCGATGTGGACTGCGATGGAACCGGTCTTGGCCATGGCCGGCGCCAAATCGGTGCCGCCCACTTTAGTCCTCAACGAAATGGACGCAAATCTGGACATGATGATCCAAGTGGAGCAGTCGTGGAGTAGACAACTCGAGAACCTCCAACGCGCTATCAACGACACCCACGTGGATGCTGAGCATCTGCGAGAGGCTGTCATGGTCTACTCGGGCGACGTCAGTGCGGAATTGCAGCTGCTCTCGAATGATGTGAACCAGTCGACAGGGGACATTGCGGCATACTCGAACTGGACGATTCGAACGGCCCTGTTGCAGCAAAAGCGACGTCCCGATGGTCTCTACTTCCCCCCGTTGTACGACACAACCAGTCGCCACACTTGATGTACGTCGTCGACCTTAGGGGCATGGCAAACTGGACGAACAAGTCGTCCCATGGCAACAGCTCCACCCCCCAGAGCTATGGCTTGGACATCCACCTTGAAGGGATCGTTCTCACCGTCCCCATCGACATGGTGGGTCGAGTTGTCGTTGCCATAGCATTGGCCATCAAGGTCTGGAACAAAAGCTATGCGAGCATTCCCCACGTACGACCCATCTACCGATTGTTCTGCGACGTTCTCGTGTTGGCATTGTAGCTGGACAACCAAGGGATCACGACGATTCGAACCATGGTACAGTCGAGCGTCGACGGGCAACGTTTACGTGGTCGTAGGCGGACTGGCTGGACGTGTTTCGGTGCCGCCACAGCGCCTCGAGCGTCCTCTACAGCCTCTCCACGATCCAGTTGATGCCGTACTTTTGGGCGATTCTCGTCATGTTCGTTTACCTCTCGTTTGGTTGGCGACCCTGACACGTCACAGGACGGTCTGCTCTGGAGCAACGTTTGGCTTTGTCGTCCCTGTGAATCGCATGCACATACGGGCATGTTCGAGCTTGACCAGCACGGACAAGGCGGCGACGTCACTGGGGGGCTTCCTCGTCAATCTAGCAGCCAAGCATGCCCAAGCCGACGGGGATGTTCAAGCCATGGAGGTGAATGGATGGTTGTCGTTGGGGGCGGCGCCGCGAAATTGATCGAGTTGTAGGGCTACGCTCAGCTCCAGTCGATTCATGACCGCACTTGCACGACATATCAACACCAACTCGACGCGCTGAACGGCGCGGCTGTTGGTACGAAAACGATGCATTGAACCGAGCTCGAATCACGAATGAATTGTAGCCAATGCGTCGGTGTGGATGGACGATTACAGCCATTTGCATGCCTTGGTGAAACTGTTTGGCCAGTGCAATCGCTCGACCTCGACTGCAACAACAAACGCGTCCATGCTCGGAATGTGCGGTGTGCAGCCAGCGATACTCCGAGAAAGGATTGTCGCGGCCAACTGGGCGTGTCCACCCAAAAACTGGACGCTGGAGTCGATCAAAGCCCCATGCACGATGGCATTGACCCAGGAATTCAAGGACACTGAAGGCAAGGCGCACGGGTGTGCCCTTGAGCGGCGGATCCTCGAGACGGTGGCCATGTGGTGGGTGTGGCTCGTCCTTTTGGGCATGCTGAACCTCATGCGGCTGGTCTTGATGAAAATCGTTGCGATGACGCTGTGGCGGGCGCTCAGTGGTGGCCGCATGCCGTTTGTCGGATTTGTTGGCGACGACGGTGCGGTCTTGGACCAGAATCAGCTCACCTATCGCTTTGAGCGCCAACTAGACGAGTACATTTTGCTTGGACGACTTCACGCGATATGTGCTGCGATTGTGTTTGCCATTGGAGTGGCATTGATCGCCGCGACCTTGAGCAGTTTGGCATGACAGCCTGACACAATTTGGATTGCTATATAAACATGGTTTTTCAAGAATTTCAGTGCGCTTTTCTGGCCAGCCTACTGGCGACGAACGGGCGCAGACGACGCAGCACCAGCTCCCGAGTAAGGACGTACGTCTGGTACGTTGAAGCCTGCTCTTGCGACGGTGGCCAACGTCCCAGTTGAGGCCAGTGGGACTTGACATGACGTGGCACTTGAAGACGACTACAAATCAGTGTAGCAAGCAGTATGGTGCAGTGCACGTGCAAACGACGAGCAACGACTGGCCTTCCTTGTGCGAAATCACCATATGAGAGCCCAGTTGCATCGATACAGGCGAGAGCTGCGACCGAGGAAGCCCTCGCCTCCACACACTTGCGCCGTCCCGAACACAATCCTATCGATGCGAGGGGGAATGTCCGGATAACTAAAAGTCCACCCAATGAGGAAGCACTTTATTACCATATCCAAGTAGGTTTTGTGCCTTTGACTACTAAACTTAACCAAACACAAGGCGAAACGGGAGAATTCCAATCTGCTGGTTTCCCGATTCTGAAATTGCCATCCGTGGATCTCTTCGCATCATTCGGCACGCTTATGCCAAGTGCGCTCGAGCCACTTGTTGAAAAGCTCCGCCCCGTCCACATTGGCCTCGCGATAGCTATCTCCACCTGCGTCTGTATCCTCGTTACGTACCACGCCCTGCGACCTAAAGACCATCTAGACAAACCCAAGTCCAACCCGTGCCGCTCGTGCTCCACAAACTCTCGAATGACTTCTTCCCAAGGTATTGATGCCTCGATTCCAGCGACTTCTCATGGGCCTGTACTCCAGTAACGTACCTAAACAATGCCAACGCCATCCTCGACTACACGGTTGGAGGTCGTGGAGAAGATTTTGAGTTTGAAGACTGCAAACACGTGGCCAAGACAATCTACCCTGGCTTCAAAGATGCCAACGCTGACGACATTGTGATCAAAATCATCTGCGGTGGCATCACGAATCGCCTCTATCGACTCACGTGGCATGATAAATCCGTTCTCATTCGGCTCTATGGCGAACACACCGAAGTGTTTATCGATCGCGACGTCGACAATGGTACGAATCCATTTTTTCCACTTCAGTCGGCTCTCATCTTCGTGCAGAAACGTTTGCGGAACTCTCGCGACGGGGTTTTGCTCCCGTGTACCACGGCCGCTTCACGAACGGCCGCGTCGAGGGCTGGGTCGACGGTTCTCCGTTTGAGCCACATCAGATGGGCGAGCCGTCTCTTCTCGCGCTCATCGCGAAAGAAGTGGGCAAGTTGCACGCCATGGAAATGAAATTTACTACCACGCCTTGCTTGTGGAAAGTATGTAAATGCATCTCACGTCGTCGTTTGTGGTCTCATCGACCCTCAACGTGGCTAGAAAATTCAAGTGTTTCAAGACTTGGCGTCCCAAGTTCGCTTCGACGACGCGACTAAACAAAAAGCCCTCGATCAACTCAAATTTGCCCAGGTATGCTGCCACAATCCCTTGCGTGAACTGAGCTTTGGTTGTAGATCAAACAGCGCGTGCAATGGTTGCAGTCGATCTTGCCTTCGCCCAAAAACGACCACGGCAAACAACTCCTCGAAAACTTTCGAGGCACCGTCATCGCCAAGCTCGCGACTGAATTTCTTCACGAATCCGTGTTTAGCCACAACGATATCTTGAGGTGTATCGCTGTCCTTCACCCTATTCGATTCGACTCATGTTGGACGTGGTCGTAGCGGCAACGTCTTGTACAATCCGACGTGGACCAAAGTCCAGGTCATCGACTACGAGTATGGCGGGTACAACTACCGCGGCTTCGACTTTGGCAACCACTTTTGTGAGCACTGCGGGTTCGACATGAACCTGAACGACTTTCCGTCTCGAGAAAAGCAGGTATGTCGATCGCCCGCTACTTTGCATGCGCAAACGTGGGTGGCTCCGTGCCTTCCCCCGCTGTAGTTTCAGTTTTACAAAGCGTACTTGACGACGGCGCGTCCATCGCTGCTGCACACACTCACGCGTGACAACACACTCGATGAGTTTCTCATCGCGCTGCACGACGCTGGCAACCTGTACGCCCTCGCGTCACACCTCTTTTGGGGCCTCTGGGCCATTGTCCAAGCCGGCAACTCGACGATCGATTTTGACTTTTTGGACTATGCCCGCATGCGCTTTGACGCGTTTGAAATTCAGCTCGATGTGTTTTGTCCATCGATTGCCAAGGACATTTAACAAAAATAAACACGATTCAGAATGACACGAAAGAATGTGGATTCGTTGAAATCAACGATGGAGGCCGCGCGACCTTTTGCAAGGCACTGCCTCAATCGATTCATCTTTTTCGCTTGTCGGACGGCGCGTCCGGGAACGGTTCGTACGGCGGCAGGTTGTCCAGCGATGTCGAATCGCTCGTCTTTTTGAAGTACCGTGTGATCACAACGTTGGGCTTGTCGTTGTCGGGCAGCGTCAGCGTCAACTCGACGCGCATGCGACCCAATTCGTCGAGCGTTCGCACATCATGCAAGATGCCGCGGAAGCCCGAGAGATGCGTCACAGTCTTGATCGAAGTAGGTTCACCCATCACTTTGATCTGGGTCAATGATGAGGACGACAGACGATGGAGAGTATCTGTACCGTGTTGGTCTTGATAACGACTTCTTGACCGAACTTTAACTGCTTGGTCTCGAGGAAGATGCGCGTGCGACGGGTGATGGTGAACTCGCCGGGGGTTTGCAGAATGATCACGGTCAGGTCGAGTTTGTCCGCCGCTTGTCGGGCAATTAATGGCAACCCCTGATCAACCGACGAAGGTGAGGCGCCCAAGTTGAAGAAAGAAGAGTACCATCGCTTCCAAATAGTCGTTTGTGGAATCGGACGCGTCGCGATCGAGTTCCCATGTCCCCGACAAGTTAAGAGCACCAGCACCAGCGGTGTTGACTGGAACGGGAACTGTCGAGGCAGATGCGACAGCAACTGCGACCGCGGAATTGACACTGACATTCGTCGGCTTGAACGCTCGGTTGTGTGCTTGGGCTGACGCGACATTCATGCGGTGTTGCTGTTGATTCATTTGGAGCTGCATCGCCGCCACGTTCATGTTGTTCAATTGCTGCAATGCATTTAGGTTCGCACCTGACGGCATTTGCATGCCCATGCCAAGACCCATTCGTTTGAGTTGTTGCTGTTGCTGGCTGGTTAATGCAGCCGCCGCGGCGGCCACCATTGCTGCGGAAGGTGCCGGGGCCATGGCGATCGACGTATTCGGGTTCCCAATCGACATCGCTGCCGGTCCAGGACCGGGATTCGGAGGCGCCGCGGCCAGGATAGGATTGGACATCGAAATCGGGATGGGTTTCGAGTTTCCAGAGGTTGCGGGGGGCTTGTTCGCAGACATCGTTCCGCCACTTCCGTCGTCCTCGAACGATGACGACGGAAGTGGAAGTTCGAGAAGAGGTGGTTTGAAAAAGTGTCCGGATACGGATACCCTATGTCGTGTATCTAGGCAAGAGGGTTGACATGTCATATCAATACTGTGTATATTTCTTGGCAATTTGGAGGCATTCGGCAGATATGTCATGCGAAGTTGAGAGGACATTCCAGAGGATATCATGTCCATTCTCGTCGTGGCGGGAGAGGCCACGTACGGTGTCCAGGTCACACAGGCAAGGCAGGAAGCTATTGCAAGATGCATGTTCCATTGGGTATATATGGCGGCGAGTGGATGGCGTCGGTGGCGCATTCAAGAGCTGTGCGCTGTCTAGGATTACGATTACATCCCATTTTTTAATCTTCCTTGAGGTGCTTCTTGGCCTTCAATCGGTTCGCTAGTTCTCGTGCTGCCATGTGCCGGCCAAATACCTTGAGGATTTCATCCATGAGGATCACGGGGAGCGAGTACGCGAGCACGAGGAGCCATTCGTTGAAGTCCAGAGGGCATACGCTGAAGATTTCGGCAAGCCAGTCGACGTACAAAATCACGAAATGCAGTCCAAACGAGACAAACATCGCAATGATCAGGTACGGGTTGGACCACGGCGGCATCGTAACCAGGCTACCGTCCTCCGACAACGCGTTCAATGCGTTGAACATTTCGATGGCGACCAGCACAGAAAGCGACAACGTAGACGCTTTCACCTTGCCAGTCGTAAAGTACGAACACGGATCTTGCGAGAAATCCAGGCCGTTAAAGTTGTTCACCTTGAAGTCCTTCCACGTTGCGCATTGGCCAAAGTGGGTCAACTGGTCAAACGTGATGAGGGTGTGGCCGTCATTCGAACCGTCGTAAAACATGTACCAGTGGCCAAACACACCCACGCATGCAAAACCGACGTAGATGCCAACCACCATGTAGCGGAAAAAAGTCCACTTGTTGATGAGGTCGTCGTTCGCACGGCGCGGGGGCTTCGTCATGATGTCCTTGTCCGCCGGGTTGAAGCCCAAGGCGGTGGCGGGAGGTCCATCCGTGACCAAGTTCACCCAGAGGAGCTGGACTGGAATGAGGCCTTCAGGAAACCCGAGCGCCGCCGTGAAAAAAATGGCCGCAACTTCACCAATGTTGGACGAGATCAGGTACCGAATGAACGACTGCATGTTGTTGTAGATCGATCGGCCTTCTTCAACGGCCGACACAATCGTGGCAAAATTGTCATCAGCCAATACCATGTCGGACGCTTCTTTGGCAACTTCCGTTCCCGAAATTCCCATAGCAATACCAATGTCGGCCTGCTTCAATGCAGGCGCATCGTTCACGCCATCACCTGTCATGGCCACGACTTCTCCAGCTTGCTTCAACATCTTCACCAGCAATTGCTTGTGCTTGGGCTCTGTACGCGAAAACGCCATGCCGTTGCCGTCTTTGCTAGCGAGCAGCTCAACTTGCTTGGCTGTTGGCAAAGCAAAAAACTCGGCACCCGTAAACGACTTTTGGGACACGTCTTCTGTTTCAGTGAAAATTCCAATCTTGCGGCACACCGACTCGGCGGTCAACTTGTTGTCGCCCGTGATCATGATCACGCGGACTCCAGCGCTAGAGCACACTTCAATCATCGGACGGACTTCGGGGCGCGGAGGGTCTTCCATGCCAGCCAACCCGACAAACGTCAGGTTGGATTCTATCTGAGCAAAGTTTTCCGTCGATTCGAGCTTCTTATGGGAAGGATGGTGGCGGTCGCCGTCATACGTGCTTAAGTCACCCAGGTCCTCCTTCTTGGCCAACGCTAAGCAGCGCAAACTCTTTTTGGCCATAGTCGTCACCTTCGCCAATACGGCTTGGCGGCCCTTTTCAGTAAATGGGACTACGCGACCGTCGAGCAATTGAACAGTTGTGCATCGAGTGAGCAGGCCTTCAGGCGCACCCTTGACAAACAACACATTTTGTGTGGCAGGGGTCGAGCGCGTCGCGCGGCGGACGTCGCTGGCTTGAGAACATAGCACGGACATCGACTTGCGGTCACGAGAAAACTCTAGAGTTGCCAATTTCTTGTACGCGTCCAACCAGTAGTTGTTGGCATGTTGGACAACCTTGGCGGGATCCGATTTGCGTTGGGAGGCGACGGTGGCCTGCTGGGACTTGTCCGGGACTCCGATCTTTTCCGTCAAGACGCGAAGGGCGGCTTCCGTTGGCTCGCCTATACGGACGTACTTGCCGTTGTTGTATTCGATGGTCGATTCGTTGCAGAGCGCGCAAATGGCCGCGATGGTGTTAACGGCCTTGTCATTCGCTGGAGTCATACCAGAGATGTTTCCGATCGGGGCATACGTGTGGCCCTCGACATCGTAAGAGATCAAGTCGCCTTCTGTAGTACCGGGATGCGAAAACGTAACACATGACATTTCGTTTGTTGTGAGCGTCCCAGTCTTGTCCGAGCAAATTACAGTGGTGCAGCCAAGGGTTTCGACTGACGGCAGCTTGCGCACAATGGCGTTTTTAGCCGCCATTTTCTTCGTGCCCAAAGCCAAGCAGGTCGTGATGACAGCCGGGAGACCTTCGGGAATGGCCGCAACAGCAAGCGCAACAGCAATCTTGAAGTAGTAGATGCATCCCTTGAACACCGAGCCGTGGATGGGGTCGAAGAAATTCTTGTAGTTGATCAGCCATACCACCAAACAGATGACACCGATCACATAAGACAATTGTTCGCCAAACGCGTCGAGCTTCTTCTTGAGCGGTGTCGATTCCTCTTCTTCTGACGCGTCTTGGACACTCTGCTGAATTTGACCGATTTCAGTCTTCATGCCAGTCTTCACCACCACTCCGCGACCCAACCCATTGACTATTACAGTCGCCGCAAACAACATATTCTTTTTTGCTTGGATAATGTTTTCGGTGGTCTCTGGCAATTCGTCAATTTCTTTGTTCACACTGACACTTTCCCCTGTCATCTGCGACTGCTCGGCACGCATTGCCGTCGTCTTGAGCGAAATCAAGCGCATGTCAGCAGGTACTTTGTCGCCCACTCGAACTTCCACAATGTCACCAGGGACCAATTCGCGAGCCGCCACAGTCAGCATCACGCCATTACGAAGAACACGCGCGTTTTCAGGCTGCAAGTTCTTCAGCGCCTCCAATGCAGATTCTGCATTGGCTTCTTGCCAGACACCGACAATGGCGTTCAAAATCAGAATCACAAGAATTACCAGCGGCTCGACATACGCGCCGATTCCTTCACCATGGCTGTCTTCGTCCATCCAAGCAAGCACAAACGAGATGGTCGCTGCTGCAAGGAGAATTCGCACCAAGGCGTCTTCAAACTGTTCCAATACGAGTTTCCACAAAGGAGTTGGCTCTTCCTTGTCGAGCTCGTTCCATCCATGGATTCTGCGCGCTTCTTCGACTTGCTTGTCATTGTACCCGTCGTTTTCATTTACTTTGAAATGCTTGAGCACTTCATCCACGGTTTTCTAGGCGAGACAACAGTTATGCATGCATCGCGTCCACGGCAACTTACAAGTTCGTAGCGCAATGCCATTGTCACTTTTGCCCCGTGTCCCAAATCTCGAAGTGCTTCAAACCGCACATTGAGTTAATGGTCGCAGTATCCGGTTATCTAGAATCTATCGAAATACGGCCATTTTTAGTCGGCTCTGATTGGCCAAGCTGAGATTACGAAAATGCATGATCACTTGTGTCAAGGGTGTCCTTCTAGAACGCATCTGCAATACTTGTATAAATCGATATATGCACAAACACATTGTAGCCCTCTGTAAATATCAGGGAAAATTGTAAATTTGTTGGGACTTTGTTGACAACGCCAAGAATCGTGAAAACGGATATCCTATGAAAACGAATGGTGTAAATTACTCATGGATTGTCGGAAATTTAGAAAACATCCGAGCTGCACCTCACACGGCCTTCGTTTGTTGTGCGTTTCTTCCTAACTGCGGGGGGGCTCACGGGAATGTATGGTTCCTTGGATCGGAACACCCCACATTGTGTTTTATTCTAATCATTAGGTATTCAAAACACATACCGCATCCAGGAGAATCTACATCCAGGCACATGAGACTAAACCAGGTTGGCAGTAAATTGATTGTTCCGAGTCCGAGCTTTTCTGCACGACTCGTTTGATGCACCAGTATTTCAGCCAATCAACATCGTCCACGCATGTCAAGGTGAAGCGGATAACATGATAAGGAGTTTTTCAACAAGATGGAGTTCCAGTCGAAGTACGAACAGAACATGGTGAATGCACATGGACCAGGATATTTGCTTTCCAACATATTTGCGCATCGGCCGCGCTCTCGTGTCATGAATATGACCTGGCTCAGCGCTTGCAGGTGCGATGTGTATAGCCATTCAATGCGCCATTTTCACACGGGCTGCATGAAGTTCACGTTGAAACGACCAAAGGCGATCGCTTGAATAAATGAAGGAAAAGTGCATGGTGTCTAAACGACGATCCATGATCAAATCTCAAATGGTTTGCTGGGCTGCTTGAGATCCTTTCGCATGTCAAACGAGCTCACGTGTTTCAATTTCTCTTTTCGAAGAGCTTGGAACGCCACAAGGAGCACCAGGAGCATCACCACCTTGCACGAACGCCAGATGCCTGAGCGAAGTGGACAGTAAAATTGCATCTACCTACCTCAAACATCATGACGTCATGGAACCCTTGGTACGCAGTGGAAACAAGAGTGCAGGACTTGAACGTTGTAGTGTTGGCACCATCAACTAAACACAATAGCTCCAGCTTGTGTCCGCTCGCTTTGCAAAAGGGTTCGCTCTACACGATTGTTCAAACCATGTTTCCAGTCAAACCTGAACGACGAACCATTTCAGATTTGGCGCAAGGAAGACACTCTCCCGCGGGGACACATGAGTTCAGCGATGCTCCAGCTAATTGCTGGCCTGAGCACGATCCGATGATCACGAGCAGAGCGGCCGACACTGCCCTTGCATGGACACCCATGCTCAAGACAGCGGAACACGATAGCAGTCGAGAGTTTTTCAGCCAACTCCGAATGTAACCGGAAATATGCAGATTATGAAAATATATCCGGCATTTCGGACTTGATATACAGTCAATCCCAATCCGAAGAAGCAGGATGCATCAAGTCGAACCGGAATACGCGGTAGACGACATCGCGATCGACCTGTCCTTCGAAAACGCAGAATTCATCCAAGGTGATAGCGGCGATGAGAGTGAACAGTTGCATGCACCCCCTCTGTCCAAGAGTACCACGATCAAGCGTGCATTGCAAGAATTGAAGGAGGAGTTGGGGACATTGTCACCGACCCATCGTTTCGAGGAATCGTTTGCAGCCATCTCTGAATACCTAGTACTGTCCACTCAGCTAAGTCAGCGTATCAAAGCAGCTCACAATTGTAGGTCGACTTGGAGGGCAAAGTTCAAGACTTGACGGTACAGAATGCCATGAAAACAATTGATCTGCACAACACGCGGGAACTGTATCGAGCCAGTGTCGAAGAAAACGAAAGGTGGGCGACGGCAAAGGCCACGCCACCGCCAACCGCAGAAGAACCGAGAAGGATGGCGGATGTCGCGGTGCGACCTATGGCGCATGCGCATGACATTTACCATGCTGGTAGAATTCGCAACTCCAAGAGTACATGGAACTCGATTTAGAAGTGCATCAAGCCAAGGCAGACAAGGAAAAGCTCAAGCTCGATTACGAGGTACCCAACGAGTTAGATGTTGAATTACGTGATATCCCAATTCTAGCGCATCGTGGAGACGTGTGCCCAGTTCCAGAAAGAAATCTTGTGGTGCAATATCGACGTGGCCGAGGGCAAAAAGCAATGTCTGGCCATGTCACAACAGCTGAGCGGAACCAAGCAATTGTATGACGAATCGCAACGAGAAAATGCAGAGCTCAAGGCTCGCATCGAGTCCATGGCCCACGAGAATCGAATTCTGCAAAAGCATAAGAAGCTCTTGGTGAGCGAGGTGAAGTCGCAGCAGAAGTATTCGCACGTCAACATCACAGGACTCGAACAAGACGCACATGAGGCGCGCATGATGCAGAAGAGTTTATCTGCGCAGCTCGACAGGTTGGATATACAGAATTCAGCCTTCTCTGACCTAGAACGTCGTAGTGAACGCGCAGTACGAGAAGAGCTCATGGTCAAGCTCAACGCGCACAGCATCGGTGCGGTGTAGACGATTAAATGCGTGTAAATATGTTAACGCGATGCATTTGACTGACGTCTCTGCATCGTGTCGCGGCGTCCACGGTGCGTCAAGTTGCCGGTTGGTGATGTGGCCGATCTTCGCATTATCCGGACATTCCTTCTCCACCAGCTTTGGATATCCGGATAGAGTGGAGAAGCCAATTTGACGATGTTCCAGCGTCTCCGCCATGCCGTCGGCTGGGGGTCGTCTTCTGTGATCGGCATGCACATGAGCGGCGGACAGTCGCGTGTGGACTTTCAAGTGCATGCGCAGCTAGGCCACGGAGAGTCGCTTTATGTGGTTGGGGATGCAGCTGGTCTGGGAAATGCCCTGTCCATGCACATCGTCGACGCGAGTCACCTCAATAGTCCGCTTTCGCTTCCTTCGTCTGGCTTGAGCTTCAACGCCCCATCTCCTGGTGCCCCTGTCCTCAAGAAGCCATTCAGTGATTCTGGTGAAGAAGTGCCCCCAGAACTGAAACATAGCTTGTCCTCGGGCATGAGTGCCCCAACCGTGTCAAGTTGTCGGTTGGTAACTACCCCCGAGATGTATCCGTTGTGGTACAACGCTGAGCCAGTCGTCCTCAATTCCAACACAAATCTCACGTATCGCTATGCTGTGTGCTCGAACGGCAAGTTTGTGCGGTACGAATCGTTTGAGAGGAGTTCCGTCGTGGCAGGTGACTCGCATCAAGTCGTCGATGTGCTCGATCAAAATCCCAGCGACGTGAACTTGAACGAAAGGGGTGATCAACATCGCACCCAAACGACGGTCGTGCCGCGTCTGAGCAGTGGTCAGGCCTTTGTCGACCGTCGCGCCGTCTGCGCTTGCAACGACAGAGATAACATTGGTATTTCGCTCCATAACAGCCATCGTGGGTCGAAGCGAGGGACGCTTCTTCAGGAGTCGTACTCCATTCCAGAAGGAGATGAGGATGCCACCGAAACCAAGCAAGCCGCGCCGAAAAAGTACGTCATCGAAGAAGAGGCTAGCAACCCCCTCAACCAAGGTGGGATCGGGCTTGGACAACGCCGCCGCACCAGCGGTAATTACAGCCTCCACTCGCCCCGTCACAAGGAAGTCGGGGACGCGACATCCGCCAACAGCACGACCAGTCCAATTTCTCCTCAGAATGTCACTATCCAACCCACGGATGGCGTGATCATTGTCGTTCATCGGCTGCCGGTGCTTGTGACCAAGATCGGCGACGGTGAGTACCATATCGACTGGGAAGACGACAACTTGCTGTGTCCATCGGGCCTGATCAAGGACAATCAAAGCAACGGACTGCTGTACCGCGACGGGACCGCGAGCGCAATGCGATTAACGTGGGTCGGTATGGTGCACTGCAATTCTGTGATTCCCAAGGCCGACGAAGAGAAGCTTGCCCGGCAGCTGCAAGCTTACCATTGCGTTCCAGTGTTCATCGACCCCGTCATGAGCCAAACGTTCCACTCGTTCTGCTACGGGACGTTGTGGCCGATTGTGCACAACATTGTGGACGTGTACGGAAAACTTCCGACGCGGTGGTGGAACCCGTCGCAGCAAAAGAACGCGTGGAGCTCGTACATGCACGTGAATCGCATCTTTGTCAACAAAGTCATCGAAGTGTACAACGAAGGCGACCTCGTCTGGGTCCACGGCCTCCACCTCCTCGTTGCCCCGTCCTTTTTGTCGCGTCGGCTGCCTTATGTCAACGTGGGGCTGTTTTTGCACACGCCGTTCCCGTCGTCCGAGATCTTCCGGACATTGTCCGTGCGCGCTGACTTGTTGCGGGGCATGCTCTCGTCCGACCACATTGGTACCGTCTCTCGCACGGACCTCTTTTCTGGGGAACTGATGTGGGATGGGGCGATATGTGTAGGGTTTCACCTGTACGAGCACGCGCGGCACTTTTTGACGAGTTGCAGACGCATCCTCGGACTTAAATACAACGCCCAAGCGGGAGGATACATTGGCGTTGAGTACAATGGCCGCATGGTCGCCATCACGATCAGCCACATCGGGATCGAACCTCCCTTTGTGGACCGGTTGTCTATGCGGGATCGCGTCGTGGAAGAGACGGCTCGGCTGCGGGCGCTCTACGGCAAGAAAAAGATCATTGTCGGCGTCGATCAAGTCGAGCGGCTGAAAGGAATCAACCTCAAGATGCTCTCGTTGGAACAGTTTTTCCTCATGCACCCGCAATATCGCGACACGGTGCAAGTGATGCAGGTATGTCGAAGCATGTCGTCGGGACTACAATTCAACCAACTGGGTGGCGCAGTTTGGAATCGTCGACGCGTCCGATACGTCGGAGGCCAAGCTGAAGCTGCGCAAAGAAATCCAATCGATCGTCGACCGCATCAATGCAACGTATCCCCAACCTGCCGGCACGGAACCACTGGTCGTGTACCGAGAGCTCCACAACACCGACTTGTCGATTCGGCTTCCACTATGGAACGTTGCCGACGTGATGGTGCGCAGGCTGTCCTGTAGCTTGGTGTTGATGTGGTGGTGTGTCTTTTCATGGTAGTTGCTCACGAGTGTGCGCGATGCGGTCAGCCTGTATCCGTTCGAGTTTGTCTACGCCCACAATGTCACCAAGCGCCCCGGAGTCGTGATTGTGTCCGAGTTCTCCGGCAGCAGTCGAGTTCTTACAGGTAGCCTGGGCGTGAATCCGTGGAAAAAGGATGAAGTTGTTGAGGCGCTCGTGACGGCGTTGGAAATGCCGGAAGAAGAAAAGGCTGCTCGTCACGCCCACGACTTTGACTACATCGTCATGAACACGCGAACCAAGTGGGCCGAACGCATCTTGGTCGACTTGAAGCGTACAAGCAAGGCGTCGTCAACTGTTGGGATGCAATACATGGGGTACCTGGATCGGACCAAGCACGACTCTGACATGCAGTGCTTGTAGGTATGGGCTTGGGCTGGGCTACCGCATGTTGGAGTTTCATGCAGGCTTTAAAATGCTCGAGACCGACCAGGTCGTGCGCGCCTATCGCCACACGTTCCGCCGCGTCTTGCTGTTTGATTATGGCAACACCCTCGCTCAAGAACATCTACCGCAAAATAACTTTTCCAAGTATATCAAAGGCGACGAGGCTGGCACGACATTGTCTGGCGACCTGCGACACGACACACCCAAGGCGTCACCCGAGTTGCTGACTGCTCTGTCGAAGCTGTGCAGCGACCCTCGCAACACTGTGTTTGTGCTGTCGGGAAAGGATCGCCAGGACTTGGAGAAGACGCTCGGGGCCGTTCGTGGCCTTGGTCTGGCTGCCGAGCATGGATATTTGTACCGATGGGGCGACAACGACGACGGCTGGCTGTGCACGAAGGAGAACTTTGACGACTCGTGGAAAGACATTACCCATTCTGTGATGGCCATTTACACGCAGGTACACGTTGATTTGAAGGTCACAAGGGTCGATAATGATGATTGCTGCAGCGAACCCATGGCACGTACATCGAAGTGAAGGGCAGTGCTCTGCTTTGGCAATATCGCGACGCCGATCCCGAGTTTGGTCAACTCCAGGCGAAAGAATTGCATGAACAGTTGCTCCAAGTGTTGGAGTCATACCAAGTCGAAGTGCTTCCTGGCAACGACTACTTGGTACGTGGAGAGGTCATACAATTGATGTTGAATCGTGCACAGGAAGTCCGTCCGGAAGGAGTTGACAAGGGGGTGATGGTGGATCGCATCCTCTCGACGCTGGAAAGCCGAGGAGGCACCCCGGTCGACTACGTGCTCTGCATCGGCGACGATTTGTCGGACGAGTTTATGTTTAGCTACTTGGAAGAGCGCAACCTGCCCAAGACGTTCACGGTCACTGTGGGCAAAAAGCCCAGCGCAGCCAAGCATTTCCTCAACGACGTTGATCAGGTCATGGAAATATTGAATGCCCTCACTAAAGTCACGACGACCTCCAACCGCAATCTCTCGATGAACGATCTGCGAACAATGGACCATCGGTACGTTGATTGAGTAGGTAGCCTGCAGATGAATCATTAGCACGCGCCAGGTGGTCAGACCAGCCGTCGTCGGTGCACACGACAGGCGCTGCGCCGTCCTTGCCTGCCCCGCCGTCCAACCCGATGCCTTTTCCAGCTCCGACGGTCCTCGGCCAGCAATCGCTTGGTGGATTCAGCTCAATGAAAAGCGCAAAGCATTCGATGTCGATGACGAGCCTCTCGTCCATTGCAGCAGATCCAAAACCAGACTTTCGCCGTTCCGCCACTGCTTCTACGTACGATGTCTACATCAGTCACATCCAAGAGGACGACGACCACGGCGGCATCTTCTTTTAAGCCAGCGTCGATATATAATTCAAACACATCTCTCCAACTTTGCACGAGTCGGTTCTCGAATGCGATCGCCGGGAGCAAGATGCGCACAGGTCGGTCCAACCTGCAGTTCTCCATCGCAAGCAATCAGGTTGCGCGCTGGGAACTCCGTCGACACGGTTGTCATGTAGATATTTCTTCTTGTTTCGAAAGTGTCTTTTTTATGGTTTTGCCCTTTATTTGACATATATTTTATCGATTTGTCAATTAATTCCCCAATTCCGGTCGGCGTGGCGTAAGCACTCCAACTTCCTCCACTCGATCATCATGAATCGGTACACAAAGGGCAAGAAGCTGGGTGAAGGGACGTATGGTAATGTATACTCGGCAGTGCAGAAAGCGACGGGTCGTCCGGTGGCCATCAAAGAGTTCAAGCGCGGCCAGTTCAAGGACGGCGTGAACTTCACAGCCGTACGCGAAGTGAAGCTCCAGACCGAGCTGAATCACCCGAACGTGACCCGACTCTTGGACGCGTTTGTGTACAACGACACGATCAATGTCGTGTTTGAGATCCTTCCCAAGAACTTGGAAGACGTGATTAAGGACAAGTCGATCGTGCTGTCGCGCAGCGACATCAAAGCGTACATGCAAATGCTTTTGCGCGGAGTCGAGCACATCCACTCGAACTGGATCTTGCACCGCGATTTGAAACCCGAAAACCTTTTGATCGGCGGCGACGGGCAAATTAAATTGGCCGATTTTGGTCTGGCGCGCATCTACGGCAGTCCGAACCGCAACATGACGTCGGAGGTGTGCACGATTTGGTACCGACCGCCGGAACTCCTCTTTGGCGCGAGAGAGTACAGCGGCGCCGTCGATATGTGGGGCGTTGGTTGCATTTTTGCCGAGCTCATGCTGCGCACTCCCTTCCTCACAGGTCAAAGCGAACTGGACCAACTCGGCAAGATCTTCCACGCATTGGGGACTCCCACGGAAGAACAATGGCCGGGCATGTCATCGCTGCCAAACTACTTGGAATTCACCCCGAATAAAGCACCGCCTCTTGCGTCGCTCTTCAGCGGCGCTTCCGAAGATGCGTTGGACCTATTGCGTCAATTGCTCTTGTTCAACCCGTCCGAGCGCATCACGGCAAGTGCTGCCCTCCACCACCCGTACTTCACCAACGACCCGCCCCCGACTGCCCCGGAAAAGCTCCCGTATCAGCTCGACACTACCTCGTAGCATCCAAAGTGTACACGTCGACATATCCAGCGAATTTTGAGCACTGCCATGGACTCGCTTGTCGACGTGCTCCGACGCATAGACGGATGAGGCATGCATCCATTCTCTCGCTACAGGTGGCAACAGAGAGACTGGAGTGCGATTGTGTACAACGTTCCACAGGATTCACATGGAGGCATGTCTTTAGAACAACATAAAGGAAGCCGGGTTGTTCAGAGCCGTCCAGCTCTTCTCGTACTCGACCCAGTGCGTCCACCCAAGTTCGGTGTACAGTTGAGCCTTCAAGTCTTGCACCTGGTCACACACATCGCTTCGTCACAAACGCACGCCAGCCAACACGATATCGCACCTCTTTCAACGGAATAATCTTTTCCATTTCGTTCGTCGCCAACTCCAACACTTTCTGGAGACGTTTGAGCGCCATTCCCTTGTGGCCCTGGCGCAGATCGTTGTGGATCGATGCGTACACAAATTGATTGTCGTCGGTGTCGACCCATTTCTGCAGCGCTTGAAACGTCACGACAAACGCCGCTTCATCTTTCAAGTCGCCCAGCGCACGAGCTTGACGAGACAACGCATCCACTAACGCCGCCTTCTCGCTGTCCTTGACCTTGCGGACCCTGGACTGAGTCACGTCCCCAGGAACCAACTTGACGCCGTAATGCACCGCCAGCGCATCCGCGTCAATGGCCGACACGATGCTGGCCGCTGCCTCCACGATTTCCTTGAGCACAGCGCGGCGCTTGGAGCTGTTGTTGTCGTAGTGATGTAGTCGAGTCTAGCAACGCCGTGAGCGATTCAAACACTCGAGCTTGAAAACAAACCTGAAGAAGAGGTAAATGGGACGGATAAGTCGAATTGAGCTTGGCCCATTGTCCCAAGAACGAGTCCTTGCCCTGCAACTTGACCAGCCTCTTGACCAGCAAGTCGCGAACAGCTTCATTTGCCAACACGTCTTCGTCACGGACGTCCTGCGACAGAGCATCGCTTCAGCAAAGACATCGACATGATGCACTTGATACCTCGGCTTCCTTGGCTTCAGGCTCCTTTTCCACCGTGGGTTTGGCAGGCACAGTGTACGAGAGGGGATACCCGTCCGGCTTTTGAGTGACCCTATCGACGAATTGGAAACGAACCGCTATACGAGTCATGTACCCCTTGACGTCGGTGCTCTTGCGACCATAAGTGATCTTCCCCGAGAGGATATCCCCCGTCGAAGCGCCCTTGGGCAGCTTGTCAAATGCCGGTTCACCGACGTACACTGGTCGGTATACTCCTTTCTTCAGCGGTCTGCACAACAAGTGAAATGATGCGCTGTCAATGTGTTTGCACACGGCATATGCCATTTGGAAGTACGTACGAGGCAGATAGTGCCTTGCCCTTGAACGAAGGATCGTTGGGCGAATCGTACACTGTCACAGTCACGTCTTTGATGTCGTGCGTGACGAATGCCATCATCGACTTGAGGTTTTCCAGCACACTTGGATCTTCGTGGCGCACCTGCCCAGTCCCATTAGCAGTCAAACCCTATCCTTTGTAGTGTTGTCCACAGTACCTGGGCGCGCAGAATGAACTTGCCCTTCTTCAACGACGTCGATCGAGGGTATGCGTCCGAGCACCCGAGGTATTTTTTGTTGGTGTCAAAGATCAAGATCAGTTGCGACTCGAAGGGCGACTCGTACAGCCGTCCGTTGAGCAGCGGCAAGGACGGCGTGATTTTTCCTTCCTCCGCTTTTTCAAATGAGTACGTGAGCACCAACTGGTACACGTGGCGGTTGTCGTCAAAGACATCGCGGGACCCCAACGTGGACACAACGGCCGAATCCGGGCGGAGGCGCTGCGTCCACTTATTCAGCACAGCGCTCGGCTCGATCGATTCACTGCGCAAGTGCGCAAACAGGTTGACTTTGGTCGACCCGACGCCGCCCGTGACGTGCACCTAACATGGTTGGCAGTTGAGACTGTGGAGAAATTGATGGCAATTAAGTCATACGGAGCGCTCGTCAGGCACGATGCCTCGAAAGTCGACTTCCAAGTGGACGGTGGAGGACCCGATCGAGTTCCAGTATTGCGCCAAGCACAATTCCAGCGTTGCCAACCCCTTAACAGCGAAACTGTGGGTGACTTGCCCGGTCGTGTTGAGGTAAAAGTTCTTCTGCAGGGACGTCGCGCCCTGGCGCTCGTACTTCTCCAACTGCATCAAATGCAAAGAATACAAGGCTGCTGCCGGTTCTTGGGCCGACTTGGGACGGCGGCTCACCGAAACGTTAACCCACGTCGCGCCAGCCGGCACTTGGTAAAATGTGCGGGAAATGTTGGCAGGTTCGAGTTCTTTCACCAGTTGCAGAGCTGCGTGTTGCTTGGCGGCAGGGATAACCTTTGAAAGCGCACACATCAAAACTGAATACAGTCCTGAAGACGCCAACCTCAGGCTTGACGACAGTGACAGGGATACGGAAGACTGGGCCACGGCCAAGATTCTTGGTGTCGTACGCAATCACTTCACCAAAGTGCGCAGCTCCCGCGGTCAACGCATCCGAGTTCACGGACACCTTAAAGTATCGACCTGGGGTAGATGGACAGTGAGTTTGCATTCTGCCATTCCAACCAGCGCACGGTACCTTGATGCAGCAACGTAAGATGGTCGGCAGTGGCGATCCAAGGCTTGGTAGGCACCAACTTCAACGACAACTCAAACTGAATGCGATGGTCGTTGCGAGCGTCCTTGTGAAAAATGGGTTCGACGTTCACGTTGAAGTCCTTCTCAACAAGTTGGTCGAGCTCGCGGAGGTAAATCCCTCGATTGTTTTGGTGGCTTGGCACGCGGACGTCGTAGTAGAGAGGGAACTCTTTCGTCCCGTCAAACGTATTTTGGTGCTTGAATAAGTACTCGAGGGCAGGCAACGTCTGAATGAGACCCTGGCCTTGCGCAAACGCCTCCGCCGTCGAGATTGACACTGCAGTGTTTTCCAATGCCCGGCGAATCGAGAAAGGATTGTACCCAATGTTGCGATGCTTGAGGCCCGAGATGAGGAGGGCGACATTCCCCGCTGCATTCGGCGACGACATGGAAGTGCCGTTCATGAGCATCTTCTTTGTCAACGTCCAGTTGGGCACTGACGTAATGGCACAACCAGGAGCACAGATGTTCACGCCGAGATCACCGTCGAAGGTCGGGCCACGCGAGCTCCATGTGTACAAACCTACCGAACTGTCGGGAGTATCGCGCATCGAGTATTCCGATTGCATCATGGTGGGCGAAACGTATGCCCCTACGCCAAGAATGCTCGACGAAGTACCTGCATGAACACATGAATGAATAGATAATGTCGCTCATGAAGTAGCATAGTCCACGTACCACCAGGTGCACCGACCGTGCCGAGGGCTGGGCCTTCGTTGCCAGCACTGCACACGAAAGTCACGCCGTGCTTCTCCACCAAATCCTTCACGACATCCACGACACGGCCACTGTCGTGCATGGTGGCGAATTCACCGTAGCTCATGTTTACAACGTCGACTTTGTTTTCGAGCACAGCGTGGAATCTGTGTCGTTCATGAGTCGATGCCTTGGTAAGTTGATTGGGGCTAGTAGTTCAAGAGCGTACCCGCGAGTGATGCCGAGAACAGTCTCCATGCTGCCCATGCGGGTGTCGCCAATCTTCACGGACACAATCTGAGCACCAGGGGCCACACCGTTGTTGATCGGATCGTCTTCGTGGTACGCAGCCACGATCCCGGCAACGTGAGTTCCATGCGCTCCTACCCCACGCAAACACTCATGATTTTTCCTAACGTTCGAGGTGACATCATGTACCAGCGTCGCACACGATGCTCAAGACACTGCCATTGTCGTAAAGGTTGAGCACGTAGTTGAGTTGGGACGCGTCGCAGAATTTGCCGTATTCATGGGCCACGCGGTAGTTGGTGAATGCAGGGCTCGTCGAAAAGTCACCCGTTTCAGATGTGTCCACAGCGGCACGCCAGTGGGTTCCATCGTAGAACGCAACGGCGTCGTAGATCGGACCAGGGTCCTCGAACAACTTTGAGTTCGCTTCCAGCACAGCCAAACGCGCCTGGATATCCTTGCGTGCATCGATCGCAGCTTGGCTAGGATTCGAGCTATTTGCCGAAGTCCAGTCGGCCAGCTCTTTCTGCACGGCGTTGATAGCTTCGCGGTCTTTGGCTTGCCACTTCTCCTTTCGCTCTTTCTTGATTCGGTCCACCAACAGCTTTGGGTACAATTCGTATGCACGCTTGCTGCCGACGCGAAATTCCGACGCTTTCCATGCAGGGTTAAGCGTCAATACCTTGCCGGAAGGAAGCACAAGCTTTCCATCCGTCGGCTTCAGAATCGTCGACATGTCAACATCACCTACAGCACATGAAATTCATAGGCATCATTGCGTCAAGGGCGTACAGGATCCCTAATGCAGCATTTATCAGAGACCGAATTCGAAAATACAAACGAGACGAACCGTCGCGTCAACCACGTCGATAATCTTGCGTTTGCCGTCGGAGGTAATTTGCAAGCCGGGGGCGCCTGGGTCCACGCCTGTGTCAAAGATAGCGACGATAGTGTTGCGACCGTCGTATTCCGGGTACAGCTGCACGAGTTGGCTAGCAAGAGTTTCGTGCTTGGGCACGATTTCCGTCGCGGGGTTGAATTGGACGGACATGAGTGCACAGACGGAGGTGAAATCTCAAATGATCGTCGGCAATGCTGGTTGTATCCTCCACGGGTCCTTGGAATGTCCAGTATCCGGATTATACCGGATAAAAGGTGTAGGAGGCAAATCCTGGCCGTGGATTGGCCCACGTGTGACTGTAGGTTCAACATGGGAGCCTGCGATGTACTTTTCAAGAGTGGACTTCGTACGTACATGTTCAAACGTGTACGCCATGAATATTGCAAAATGTATTATCTGACGTACTTGCAATGTACAGTACGTCCGCATGTGGTAAGATTGTCAGCCATTGAACCGAATGAGCGAGTACACACCCCACAGCGTGTCATGGAGAACGCGGCGGTGAAATGGTTGCAGGGCGGCGGCCATCTAGCGTCGGGAGCTGCCGGGCCGGCTTGGCGTGCTGGAAATAAATATTTCCAGCACGCCCAACTGACCCCGCCGCTCCCGATGCTCATGCATCGTTATCAAGCTACGACCTCACTTTATATTCGACATGGATTAGTTGCTTGTTGCCCTGTCCGCCCCAACAGCGTGGAAGGGAACCCAACGTATCCACGTCGGTCGGCATGCAGTCGTGTCGTTGAATCCCTACGATCGAGGCTTGGCGGCCAGCATGTTGGCTTGCGCTGTGCCTTGTTCAGGCGCGGTGTGCAGCAAAGTGACTCGCTGCACGTCAAACAAGTCGACGACCATCGCGACGCGGGCCTGGCTAGGGTTCACGCGAGGATGGAGTAGATACAGCACGCCGTTCTTGACGTCGAACAGTGCCGTGATCAGCGTCCAGTTGGACAATTCGCCATTCACATGGGACTTGTCGTCGTGGAAGATTGGATACGACTTGTCCCCCTACATGCCAAGGGAGGGTTGGTACCATGGCTTTTGCAAGGAGATGTACTTGATCCCCCAGGAGAGCCAAGGTAGTTGAGACAGAAGTGGGAGGGACTACATGGGAGTAACGACGCAAGCGGTGGTAGCTGCTGGGGCTCGCAGGTTGGCTGCCCACACGATGAGAATGCGCTTTTGTGTTGGATGGAATGTACCGGATGAGCATCGACTGGTACTGGTTCGTGTGGAAGAAGGGCGGGTCTCCGACCAAGATCTCGCGGACGTTGGAGCGATTGAACGATGCCACTTCAATGTTAAATACTCGTGAAGATGGAATATGCATGATCTACACACCAAGATGGGATGAAATACGGTGCAGATGACTTGACCTGGATGTTATGCCCCGACGCCTGCCCGGGTCGCGTAATGCGTGCGATGGCATCATCCAAGGACGTAGAGCCCAAGACATCGCGAGAAACGAAGCCTCGACCGAGGCCGCCGACGTCAATGTCGAGCGGTTCGACATCTATCAGAGACCGCCATGTCAATTGCAACATGCACATTGCCAGTATACGAACAGTTCAAGGAGAAGGCGACGCCATGCTCGTTGGCCCCAAACGCCCCCGTCGGCAGGTCACCGAGATACGTGTACGCAGTGAACCAAGGCTCGCCCTTGATCTTGGCTGTGACCAACGCGGTGTGATTGACGTCCCTGCAGCGAGTGGCCGTGAGCTACCAAGATCGAGGATGCGACGTACCCGGCACCACTGTCTTCGTTGTGACCGACGACGCAGAGGTTCGACGTGTGCAAGACCAGGTCGGAGCAGTGAAGTTGGCACTGAAACGCATTCGGGCGGGGAATCGACTGGCCGAATTCTTCGATCAGGTTGATCAAAAACAAGGTCTACGGCGTTGGGATTAGATGGCACGTTGTGAAGCGGCAAAAGGCCAACCGAGAAAGGCTCGCCACTGCCAGCGGAAATCCCCTCGAGCTCTTCCACGTAACTCTTCACATGGTGGTTAGTATCGCGACAGAAGCGGACGGCGATACCGGGAACGTCTTGTTGTGCGTTGCAAGGTACTTGTCGTACGTGGTCTTCCCCAACGGGGTGTTGTAGAAGGGAAGGAGCACCGTATGCAGCTGGGAACTCAAGCGCAAGCGAGTTGAAATCGCGTCGCGGAATTGCTTTCCAAGCAACTCACCAAACTCGAAGTGTGAGTCCCCTTCATATTTGAACCAAGGGAGTTCCAAGCTCGTGTCCACCGACACTCGAGCGGGGGCGGCATCCGCAGATAGGCCCGCGAGAAGAACGGGCAGAACAAGGGCACGTAGCATGGATCCCATCGACGGCGAAGGCTTGTCGTTCTGATGCTTCTAGTGCACTCGCCAGTGGTGGTGCTTCCCTTTCCGACCTCGACCAAACTTCAATGTCGAGGTGGATCTTCTTTACGGTTAACCAATCCGTGCGCATGACTTTTATCTCGAGCGTTTCATTCGCTAATATTGTTCAATTAATATGTATATCTTCCAATCAGAGGTAATCACAGGATCACATTGGACAATATTCACCAGATCTCAAACCAATTTGACAGCCATGGCGACGGCGCATGAGCTGGTACCCAAGGTGGAGACACAGGCGAGCGATTTCGTCAAGCTGTACCCCGAGTACGATGGCCGCAATGTAGTCGTTGCAATCTTCGACACTGGAGTCGACCCTGGCGCACCCGGGCTTCAACGGACACCAGACGGTCGGCCGAAGATCATTGACATCGTCGATGCGACCGTAGGTCACACGATCGCGCTGTTTGTGTAAACCTCTGGAGCTCATGGTGCATTCTTTAGGGATCAAGTATGCGTGCCTTCGTCGATAACATCCATGCGTTGACCAAATCTTCTGATGATTCCCCTAGGTGATGTTGACATGACGACCGTGGTCAAGGCGAAAGGAGGCAAGCTCAAGGTCAGTGCGCAAAAGGTATGGACGGTAAATCCGGCCTGGAATGCAGTCGACGACAACTTTCGCGTGGGGATCAAGCGCGGGTACGAGTTTTACCCGCAGCCCCTCGTGACGCGGCTCAAAGAAGCTCATAAAGACGACTGGACCAAGTTCCAACGTTCCGCGATCAATGCCACGCAATGCGAGCTTGCAGAATGGACACGGACGCACGACATCAAAGCTCTGACGCTTGCCGATGTCGAGGTCCGAAAGGACATCGTGGCCCGCCTGGCCATTCTCGAGGACTCTGTGAAATCGTTCGACGACCCTGGTCCCGTGTTTGATTGCGTTGCGTTCTTCGACGGCACTCATTGGCGTGCCGCCGTGGATGCGACCGGCACAGGCGACTTTTCAACCGCCCACGCGATCGCGAGCTATCGAGTGGCCCAAGAATACGCCACGTTCAGCGACGAAAGTCAGCTCAATTACGCGCTCAACGTGTATGACGATGGCGACGTGCTGAGCATCGTGTGCGACGCAGGCTCCCACGGCACCCACGTGGCAGGGATCGTCGCGGCGTATCACGAATACGACCGGACCAATAATGGCGTGGCACCAGGCGCTCAGATCGTGTCTGTCAAGATTGGAGACAGCCGTCTGGGGGCGACAGAGACAGGGGTTGGCATCTGCCGAGGGTAACGAAAGCGCACCACTTCGTTTTCAAGCCTTCGTGACAAACGGTCGGCGTGTTAGGATCCTGGCGGTACTCGAGCACAAATGTGACATTGTCAACATGAGCTATGGCGAGCACGCAGCGCGCCCCAACTACGGCCGGCCCGTTGAATTGATTCAAGAGCTTGTCGAAAAGCACGGCGTGATGTTTGTGGCGAGCGTCGGGAACGACGGGCCCGCGTTAGGCTCGATCAAATCGCCTGGAGGTGTGTTGTTTGGCAAGTTGAAGTCGTTCACAGGTCTGTCGTGTGGCGGATTGGGCAGGGCTGTCATCGTGCATTCTCGGAGTCGGCGCGTACGTGTCTCCAGACATGATGGCGGCAGAGTACTCAATGCTGGAGCGCCATCATCAAGGCACCGCGTACACGTGGTCGTCACGGGGACCGGCGATGGACGGCGACGTCGGCGTGAACGTGTTCGCTCGTGGTGGGGCGATTACGTCGGTGCCGCAGTGGACGCTCATGAAGAAGCAGCTGAAGAACGGGACGTCCATGGCGTCCCCCAACTGCGCTGGGTCCGTTGCGCTGTTGTTGAGTGGGTTGAAGGCCAACAACACCGGTGCAAACCCATACGAATTGCGTCGAGCGCTCGAGAACACAGCGATCAAGGTGCCGCATGTCGAGTCGTTCGCGCAAGGCTGCGGGCTCATTCAAGTCGTTCCTGCTTTTGAATACTTGCAAAAGTACGCTGCCAAGGATGCGCACGTGCCGTTGTACTACGACGTCCGAGTCACGCGACCTGGCACGACCGCGAACACGCGAGGCGTTTGTCTCCGTGAGCCTACCGAAGTGTTTGGCGCGCCCAACGTCGAAGTGCAGGTGAAGGTGTGTCCTGTCTTTCACGCCAGTGCCCCCAATCCCGACAAACTTCGCTTGGACATGAACATTGCCCTCGTGACGTCGCAGTCCTGGATCGCGGTGCCCCCGACAATTGCCTTGTTTCACGACAGCCGTGTGTTCTCCGCGTTGGTGCATCTGGACCACCTCGCGACTGGAAAGGTCCACTTTGGCGAGATCCTCGGCTATGACGCCACCGATAGAGCCAAGGGGCCGCTCTTTCGAGTGCCCGTGACGGTGATGAAACCCACGGTTCTGGTGCAACCTCACAAGACGCTGTCACCGACCGTGGCCCCCGGGGCCATCTTTCGATCGTTCTTCATCGTCCCAGCCGGTGCCACATGGGTCGATGTCCGCGTCACTTCGGGGAAGCAGCTGCAGACGCTCGGACGAAATCGCACGGTGGTGCTGCACTTGATGCAGTACGAAACGCATACACGACCGAGCGCGACATCCTTCCACAAGCGATTTCAGCTGGATGCGTCGGACGCGGCGTACAGCATGTCGGTGCGGGCGTTATCAACGATCGAAGTGTGCGTGGCGCCCATGTGGAATACAGGCAGCGACCCCGTCCTGCTCGAAGTCGACGTTGTGTTTCGAGGGATCGTGCCCCACCAAACTTCGGTGATGACATCACACCCATCCTGGGCCAGTACATTGACATTTTGTACGACAGATCGTGGTCCAAGGGGGCGAAGGGGTCACTCGAGTCAATTTAACCGCGATGCTGGCGCAGGAAAACATCCTTCCGCAAGCCAAGTTGTGTACATGGACGCAGCGCCACCGGCCGACGGAGAATGCCATCACGCCGTGTTCCAGTCGAAGCACGTGGCCCGACTCTCGTGTCGTGTACCAGCTCGTCGTCACGTACAAGTTGACAAAATCGGAAGACGGGAAAGCAGTGCTGCGGCTGCCCATCTTGAACGGGAGACTGTACGACGCCCCATTCGAATCGCAGCTTGTTTTAGTCTTTGACGCGAACAAGAAGCTCCTGGCAGCTTCCGATGCTGTACCAAAAGAAGTGGTGTTGCCCAAGGGACCGTTGATCGTTCGAGTGCAGGTAGCGTTTGGAAGGAACGCAGGGAACAACTTGTCATGATCTCGCGGTCGCTGTAGGTTCGACATGAAGACTACACGTTGCTCGATAAGCTGGCGAATATGGTACTCTTTGCAGATTTCACGGTGAAGGATATTGTCGTGCCAGTGTACGACACACCGGACGCCGCTTCCCTGGGATCCAAGCCCATGGGCTCTTTGTACGAGAACCTGAACGATTCCGTGGCTCTAAACACTGCTGCATAGCGTCCTTGAACGGGGGCTGCAGGTGCCAGTGTATGTGGGCGAGCCAGACAAACTCCCCAAGGGCGTCGGCCCTGGCGATTTGCTGTCTGGGCGCATTACGTTTGGAAAGAGAGGCGGGACGAATTGGAAGGGGTGTGTACGTTTTACACGAGCTTCACCTTATGCGTGCGATGGCAGGTCGGCATGCAAACCCGACGGATTCACGTTGACGTATGTGGTGCCACCAGCAGAGGCCAAGCGAAAGGAGCCGGATGTTGCGCCGACGACAACTACAGACGACTTGGAGGAAGATGCGCTGCGGGAATTCATCTTGACTCGCGTGAATAAAGCCATTGGAAAGGTTACGTTTGATGCGTTGTGGGAGAATGCAATTGCAACTTATCCCAATTCGATTGCCCTGTGGAAGGTACAACCTTCGTGCAGAGCCTGCAAATTTTTAGGATTGACGCAGCGGCACAGGCGAAACTCGCGCATCTCGACAATGAAAAGAATCGCCTCCAGCACCTCCAAGAAATCGTGGAGGCTGCGACTACGCTGGAGACGTTGATGGCGCCGTGGCTGCCCACCATGACTGCGTTTTATGGCGTGCGACAACTCCCTGGGCATTCTTCGGTCAAGACCAAGATGGACAAAGACAAGGCTACGATCGTCGACACGTGGGCACGAAAGGCGCGGGCACTCGGAGACCTCAAATACGCTGTCGAGTTTGAGAAAACGTTTGGGCTCTTGCAGCAGTGGGCAAACGTCGATGACCCCAAGTTTCTCCATGTCGGGTTGCACGAAAACCTCGAGAAGAAGCAATTCGGGACCGCCTTGCAGGTACGGAATGTTCTCGGAGCATGTACCAACGGGTTGACACAATTGAATTCCTTTTGCGTGTTCAGCGCTTACAGAAATTCCAAGAGCTCGATGCCACGGACCGCGACAAGATCATGCCACCGAAGAAGGTACACTACTCAACTGGTCTCGCGGACGAATGTGCAACCAATGATGTTGCTACTAGGTCTTGGAGAAGAAAATCGAGATTTACGCAGCGTTGGGGTGGACTCACATGATCCACCATGAGCAGACATGGGCCGCGATCAATGCGCCGGCCAGATATACCCTTTTTTAGAGGCTTCGTTCGGGGCCTGCTTACCTTAACGTCGTCCACTTCAATGGACATGCAAGCACAGTGGATTCATCACCAACTTAACCCACCCCATGGCTGAAACCGTGTTGTCTAAACATAGCTATTCAAATCACCAGCGTAGTGCGTGAAGGCTGACTGCATCCACCGTCTACGATGAACTCGCGGGACTCGGTGGGATCGTACTTGAGCTCATTGCGTAGTGAGCGAAAGGTCGTCGAGAAAATCGACGAAGGGGTCCCGTTCTTCGTCCCGCAGCTGTCTAAAGTCAAGACGTCGGCGATGTGCATCAAGACGCAGACGCATCTTCTCTTTGGGTACGAGCGCCTCGTGAACCAAGGGGAATCCTACCGCAAGCAGGGCAATGCCACGCTCTACACGGACGAGAAGCTCCTCGAGCGGCAAAATCTTCAGCACGACCGGCAGGTGCAAGCCGCTCTAGGTCGGTTCTGGGACACCTTTGGCAGTGTTCGCAATGGAAAATCCACCATCGACGAACTTGAGTACTGCGACGTGTTTGTCAAGCTGTTTAAGGCCCTTGTGCCGCCTCAAGAGGTATACCTCCGTGCTGGTTCATCTCCAGACCAACTGAAAAACGACCGACATTAGTTTTCCGTGCCGGAAGCACGCATCATTGTCGAAAAGGACTGGGCGCGGGACGTGGGGGAGAACTGCGACGTCATGGCGAAACCCATGTTTTACAAGTCGCTGTTCGAAGTGGTGAGCGATCGAGGGAGGAGTCTTCACACCTCCTTCGAATTGCCGTCACATGGCGACGCTCCCATGTTGTGTTGTAGGCGGATCTGTGGACTGTGGGCATCGGAGTCGACGAATACACCAAGTTCTTGACCAAGCTCTTTGAACGAGTCACGATGACTGTGTTCGACCAAGAAAAGGCGCTGTGGCTGACCAAGTTCGCCGAGTTGGATATGATCAAGTCGTCGTGGAACGATGAGGACAACATGTCGCCGTCGCCGAAACGAACCCCCGGCGTGGCGGCCATCGCGAAACTCAAGAAGAAATCCCACACGATAGCGTCGTTCAAGCTCACGCCTGATGGAGGGAGTTTGGATTTGACCAAACCTGGCACCTCGGACGCCCCGAATCTACCCGACCTCGCCTCCCCGGATCGCCCCCCTCGCCGCCCTGCTCGGCCGCGACTCACCCCCGAACGAAAACCCCCTGACGAGATCACGACCACCCCACCAACGATCGAAGAGCTCAAGTTGACTAGTTCCACCGATGGACCAGCGAGCCCCATCGCGAGCCCTGTCAAAGCCACATCCCCCAAAAAGACAAAACTCGCAGAGACAAACAACCAAGACCGCATTGCCATGCCGAGCATATATCTCTCGCCCGACTTGGACATCCAGCGAGAAGACGACGTCGCTGTGAAGCGTCGTCTGCGCGAGAACACCAAACTGGTCCAGCGCTTGCGACGGTACGGCTTGCTCCCTTGCCTAGTTACCGACAAAGTGAGATATGTGTAGCACGACGTACTGATCCTCTCGACCGTCAAGTTCTTTTATTTTATCTCCTTTGTGGAGCGCTAATACAGCCCGCCACCCCCTCCTCCTTGCTTCTTGAGCGCTTTGTCTTTGCGTCGGTGGTTGGCCACAACGCTCTTGTTTTGCTCCTTTCTCGCACGAGTGATCTGTTGCTTCTTGGGATCTTCCTCAGTGGATGGCGAGCCTTGCTTCGACCTCGGCGCTCCCCGATCGACCTGCCTTTCGGTGTTCGCCGTCGACCCTGGCTGCTGCTGTTTCTTGGCATGGCCATCCCCTCTGCCTTTCGTAGGGACGAGTCCTCGTGGTGGGGTTGCAGCACGTCGTTTCGTTTCACCTTCCCTGCCATCGTCGCCTTCCTCGACGTCCACGTCGCCGCGTTCTGTTTGGCTGTGGTTCGGGTTTCGCATGCTCTCCCAGAAAGCATCTTCCGCCTCCCTCGCCCGGACCACCTTGTTTCGCGCAATGATATCTTCGTAATCGGTCGGCTCGTCGTCACGCACGCCAAACGGCTCGTATTCCTCGAGCTCGTCGTTGTAATCGTCGTTGTACTCGTCCATGTGCACTGGTTCGGGCCATGCTGGCTCTTGGTCGTACCTACGATAGACACTTAGCATCGTCACAGCGGCACCATGCACCGGTATACGTTTGGGCAAGCTGGAGTTGCTTGGCGAGGTATTCAGGGTCTGCGCGAACACTCTCTGGCTTGTACATGTCGGGCAGTTTCTTCTTTCCCACCTACATAGCGATGAAGCGTCGGAAAATCAAAACAACTCGCGATAGTGTTACCCATATCTGCGTCGGGTCAGCTTTTGACGTTGGTGGCGTCGTCGACGCAGGCACGGACGTCAAAGCTGAAGCCGTGATGGCAATATAACGAGGGTCGCTTTTCGTCAACGTTCGATCGAGACTCGCGACCGCTAACAAGTTTCGACTGTCCGTTTTGGCAAGAAAACGTGAATTTGCCAAAAAAATCGTTGTACCTGGGGGTAGGACGTCTTCCAAGAGCGCCACGATAACTTTGTCGGACGAGTATTCGCATGCAACAGTGACGAGTTCGAGAAATCCGTCGCCCAAGTCGGGAAAGATGTCCTTGACTTGGACTCCAATCGACTGGAGAATCGCAGCTCTGTCGTCTTGCGCTGTGTTCCCCACGACAACATTCGGGTTCGTGTCGTCGATGGGGACGGCAGGTGTTGCTGGTCGCGCGCGCTCGGGCAGCTCGCTCAAGAGAAGTGCGAGGTAATCTCGCTGCGCATCGTCAATAGCGCCATCGTCAAACGCACGTCTGCATTTCGTCTGGACGATAGCTCACAAATGAGGCACAACCACGAGTCTCGATAGAAGGACGCACTTTGAACTGGAGCAACTTGCACAAGTCGCTGACAAGCGACGCTGGTTCGGCCGCGTCTGCGTTATGCAACAGCGAGTTGAGAACGCCAAAGAACGCTTCGATGCGTTGTGCAGCTTGCATCGGTTGCCTTGTCAATTTGGAAAGAAATGTCTTTTCTAGCCAAATACCAAGGCTCTGCAAAGCAGATGAGTTTGGCTGGTCACGGCGTACGATTCACTCACAGACAACATGTGGCGACGGGTCACTGGGACGAGCTTGTCGTTGCGGCTGAGCTTGTTGAGAATTGGGAGGTCCGTCTCGTAACAGACCAAAATTGCGTGCAGAAGCGTTTGACCGTCAAAACTGTGGCTGAGGTCTCCCGCGGCGGCGTGTGGAGGTGTTAGAATCGAGAGGAACACGTCGGAGCTGGCTAGAAGCGCATGGATCTGGCCACGAAGAGTTCAACGAACGGTGAGTATATCAATGCAGATGGCTTACCGTTTTTGACATATCGCAGAGCTGAGTTTGGATTCGGGTCGCTTCAATAATGCATGGGATGTGGAGGGATGCCACTTGGTGATGCATGGTCAACAGTGCCTACGAAAGGCAGAAAATATCAAACGGCGTCACAGTGATTGAAACGTGCAAATGCGCACAACGGATGAGGACGCACATGGTAGAATACGTCGTGCAGCATGGGGATCTGATCGACAATGCGCGGCGCACAGGAACACACCCGTTGCAGCCACCATTCCAGCACGTGCTCATTGCTCTGGGCGTACAAAGAACACATGACAATAATGCGAGGCAATGTGAGGAACCCTCGATTCACTAAATGCGCGAGATCGAGGCCATCCGATGCGACGATCCGAGCCGCAATCAGCAAGAGGTTGTCGCCGTGTTTGGACACGTAGAACTCATCTGTTTCGGAGTCGAGGAGAACAGCTTTCATTTCACCAAAGAGCCAATCGGAGACCGAACTATCGTGAGCAATTGCTTCGACGAACTCGTCGTCGGTGAGGCCGAGAAGGGACGTTGCTACGTCCACCATGACGACGAGGGATGGAGGACTGGGGCGTGCTTGGCCAAACTCTTTCGGAGGACAATCATCTTGGAAAATCCGGATAATTTGAATTTATCCGGTGCGCTCGACACAGGACATTCAACCGAATTGGAAGTGAAAATTCATTTGACGGCCACGATGAGCACCGGCGACGAGACGAAGCGGGTGATTTATGTGTCTTCGCGGAAGAGCGACCTCGCGCTGTACCAGACGCGCGAAGTCATATCGATGCTCCAGGAGCACTACCCTGAGATCCGCTTTGAAATCGGGCTCCAAGACACGGTCGGCGACTCCGTGTTGGACAAACACTTGACGCAATTGGATAGTGTTGGAGTGTTCACCAAGAGCTTGGAGGTACACGAACATAATCCACTCCTCTGATCGAAAGAATGCATGTTGACGAGTGATTTGATGGACCAGGATGAATTGCTTGCTGGTCGCAGCAGCTTTGCAGTGCATTCGTTGAAAGATATGCCGACTCAACTCCCACCTGGTCTTGTGCTTGCAGCCATCTGCAAGCGTGAAAGCCCCGAGGATGCTGTGATCATCCACCCCAAGCACAAATCTGAGGTAGAGGCGCTCCTACAGATTGCGAGTAGGAGGTGATTTTGGTGCATTATAGGGTCGTTTGACGTTGCGCCAACTTCCTGAAGGCAGTGTCGTTGGAACCAGTTCTCTTCGTCGTGAAGCGTTGCTGCTTAAGTCTGTTCTCAACGTCCTATGCGCTACTGTCTTCGTATTGATTGCGTTGAGTAGGTTGTATCCCCATCTAGCCATTAAGACCATTCGCGGCAACATTCAAACGCGGTTGGCGAAACTGGATGACCACGGTACAATTCCCTTCTCCTTGTCCTGTACACGCGAGGTCTCGAATTGTGTTGTGGCGTATGGCTAGACGAGTATGATGCCATAATCGTCGCGGCTGCTGGTTTCCGTCGCGGGGGTCTTGGCAAACGCATTGATCAAGTAGGGCTTTGTCTCATTGAACCTCCTTCTCAACACTCCATGCGGTTAGTTGCTCGACCCAGAAGTGTTTGGGTATGGTGTTGGCCAAGGTAGCATTGGTGTCGAGTGCCGGGAGGATGACGAGGAGGTTTGAACGTCGTATCTTGAGTGAACAATCTATCTCATGCAGAAATCGTAAGATATTGGCCATGCTGGCCAAGATTGAGCACGAAGAATCGGCACAATGCTGCAAGGCAGAGCGCAGCCTCCTACGGTCCATTGAAGGCGGGTGCCAGATCTCGATGGGTGTCAACACGACCCTCGACGACGACACGATCAAGTTAACTGTGACCCTCCTCTCGAGAGATGGTAAAGTTAGCATCACCGAGGCCACTCGTGGATCTCGCTTCGAAGCGGAGCAGCTTGGGGAAAGCTTGGCCCATGAACTTCTGAAGAACCCCGATGCCCGCCCACTCCTCGGCCCGGCAGGACAGAAGCGCGCGCTCACGTATGGGTACATGGAAGCCCCTGGTGATGCCGCAGCTGCCGCAGCGGAAGCAGCCAACTCGAGTCCGTCGAAGAAAGCGTGCATCCGAGACAATGAGTAAGTGTAGAAAATCCATAGAGTACGGAAGAGCCGTTCGTGGTGAATTACTTTGAATACTTGGCAATGCCAGACGACACGTACGACGTTTCCCAGTTTTGTCCGTCGTATTGTTGGATGTCGACGTGTGTGACTGTGCCGGGCGTGATGCACGCAATGGTCACGGCGACACCGTCCGGGTTACTGCGGGGGACGTAGAACGGTTGCACGCCACATATACGGCAGAACTTGTGCTTTGCCGTGTGCGTGTTGAACGTGTACGTGGTGAGCACCTCCTCTCCTGCCAATAGTCGAAAAGACGACGATGGGACGATCGTATGCACGTTGCGCTTCATGGCGCAGATAGAGCAGTTGCAGTCGAAGGCAACAAGGTGGTCCGGTGCATCGAATTCAAACCGGACCGCGCAGCAGTGACAGGAGCCGGCGTGGGTCACCTTGCCGTCCGACATGGAGATTCGCGGTGCTGGTCCAGTCGAAAATGTAAATGCCAATGTGTGGAATGCATGTCGTGTTTAGAAAGACCTTCACTCTGGCATGGCCGTTTTGCGTAGTTGAAACGTTCGAATGGCGGGTGTCGCTTGAAGATCGACGATGGAGCCCAAACGGTTGCCGCCGTCGCCACGTGGAGGCATTCCGCCGAAATTGGAGCGTCCTGGCGTAACATCTTCATTGACGTCACCAAGAGCAGCTCCACTAGTCCCTCCACAGGCTCAGCCTGGAACCACATCTACCCACACACATTACAACGAGTCGACGTGGTTGCGGGATGACGAGTTCATTTGCGATGCATACTACGCTAGCCAGTCGAAGGCAAGGAAGACAACCTACTCGTCACCGTCTCGCCCTGTGCAAGCCGCATTGCTTCACAGGCAGTGCGTCGAAGTCATTGCCCAGTGCACGCAGTCGCTGAAGGAGCGACAACAGAAGATGGCAGAGTTGACACTACCGTTCGCTCCTTTACGTAACAAATCTGGGATACTAACCCCTACCAGAGATAGTCTTGCATCGCCAAGCCCTGGAACAAGGCTGTTTGAATCCAGCATTTCACCAATCCTCCCGGCAAACAACATTCCTCAGCCGACACCCGAGCCTTTATGCGACGTGAGGAAGCGGCTTTCGTTCCTCGACGATTCAGAGAATGAAGACAAGAGCTTGCATTCCGTCACGCCGACTACCTTGTCCAGCGATCTCTCCACCGAGTACGCCCAAGCATCAGATGGAGCTCCTGGTGGTAATCTTCGTGATGGCACGATGTTGTGAATTTGAACATTTCTACTTCCACCACCAATATGATTGGTTATAATTCCAGCAAAATAAACCAATCCATGAATTGGAATAGAGAGCTAACAATTCCATGTGCCGCACGACTTGGATCCGATCGCTATGGGTTGTGACGATGCTGCGCTTCCTGGCTACAGTTGCATCCACCACATACGGCAAAGGAATGATATGCGATGAGTTGTCTTCATCGACATGTATCCAACGGCTCCATGTCGCACTTCATGCGCAAGCACATTCGTCCAATGACCATTTTGTCGTGGGATCCGAAATGACATGCCGTGGATTTGGCAAAGCGTTCGGAGCCCAAGGACACCACGTGCAGATGATGTACCCTGGGAGCTATAGCTCCATTGCCGATCACTCGTGGGACATTGTCTTCATCGAAGGGTGGTTTCCAGCCATTGTCGCGTTTATTCATGAAATTCGACGCCTCACGCAAGGTCACGCAAAAATCTACTTCTTCTGCCTCGATCCCGACTTTCCAGGTTCTATTGGCGTTTGCACATTCGTCCATCTCTCACACGATGCAGGTTTGGATACCATCCAGCAACTGGACGTCGATGCCTTCTTTTCCAACAGCCACGATGCCCTCCGAGTCCTCCAACCGCATGCTCCGCATTCTGAGTTCATGCTTCTCGCAGCGGAGCCTCCATCGAGCGCTGGATTCAGTCGCGACTCAAGTTCGCTCAATGTTGTTTACGTCGGAAATGTCATCGGCATCAATACCAAGCGAGATCTCGCCGATATGCTTCGCGAAGCGATTCCCTTTGGTTTGACCATTTACGGTTATGCTTGGGACCTTGTACCAGAGTTCACTCCGTATTGGGGCGGTATCTTGCCACCAGAAGACCTCCCCAGGGTGTACGCAACAGCTCGCGTCGTGCTCGGCGCCACCATGGACGGGCAGCGACGCAGCGGCATGATCAACAACAGAGTGTTTGAGGTACTTGCGGCTGGCGCAATATTGATTAATGATCATTACGAAGCCCTGGAGCAACTCTTGGAGGACCGCATTCTATACTACAGCAAGCCCGGCGACGTCGCTCGCCACTTGCTCGAGCTGTCGTCCTTCCCGTACTCGCCTGTCGATTTGCAAGCGTTCGTCCGCTCGGCCCACACGTACAATCACCGCGTTCGGCAAATCCTGGCCGCACATTTCAGCCTTTCGACGCGCCACTCGTGCACCGATCGACTGCACTGCCCCAAGTTTGTCGTTGTCTTGGACGAGCATGTCATGACGTCAAATTTTCTCGTGTCGCTGTTCGTACAAGAAGTGCTCCTTCCAGCGCTGGAGAACCTTCGCAACTATTATCACGTTCGACTTGTCTCTTCAGTTGGTGAAGTCATGGCTATGACAGACCTGGGTTTTCACGATTTTGTGCTGGCTCTATCGTGTTGGAACTGCCCCATCGATTTCGACCTCCGGCAGAGTGCTGTCAATTCGCTCATGGTGGGCAAAGGCATGTACTTGCTGCGACCGCCTCCAATCAAGGCACACGATCTCGACTTTTACGACGTCCTATTCGTCACAAGTCCCTTGGATGGCGATGTTCTGCTCACCACTCGAACGAATCGGCAGCATGCGTTTGGCGTTCCCAACCGAGGGCGCCATCCTGCACGGACCATCGCAGATTCAACCTGCGAATGGATGGCTCTAGGTGACTGGACAGACGATGCCCAACGGCTCGTTCACATTCTCGACAACGCTGTTGACAGCTCCCAACCAAACGTCACCACCGTTGTTGTGTTTCCGGACCATTCGAAGCTTGCGTTGGCCCACACAGTCGCGTACCTGCAAGCAACTCAGCCACGCCTGATTATTCGATTTGCAACCAGGCCAAGTCAAGTGCTCGAGATGTTGATGGAGACGTATCAATGCAATGCGTTGTACCTCCCCGCGACAGATGAAGTCGGTGGAGGAGATTGGGTGGTGGCGATCGCTGCAACATTGGGGCTAACACTCCATGTGCAACCAGATACATCGAGGTGGTCGAGGACGTTCGTGGATGTGCTCAACTCGACGTGGGACCTGCAATACGTGACCAACGCCTTTCGTTTGGGCATGACCCAGAGACTCTGCCTTGGCCACGGTGGCGCTTTCGTTCGTATGGTACATTGCGTGGGTCATATCCTGTCAAATTCCACGCTATCATTGTCTCACGGAGCGTAGGTGTGGCCTCTGGACGGCGCCGTCGTAGGCGAAAGCTTTGACGTTTCCTTTGAAACGGAGCGATTCGAGATTCCGCGAGACGGAAGCGTGTGCCTTTTTGTCAATGACCAAGTGAAGGGATGTCTTGTGCGACCAAACTTGAGTTTCGCCGTCGAGTGGCCGGATCAAAAACGGAATGACATGCTGGTCCTGGAGCTGACCCTTCGTAGCAATATCTATGGGAACGACTTTGCCAAGACGGAACCAGTGACAGTATTGTTCGGCAATGGCAGCCAAGAAACCTACCAGATAGCAGTCGACCCCGTCTTCGTGAGCAACGATAGGCGTCATGAGCTGATAGATCCCAACTAGAACGAAGAGGCCATGATGGTCCTCACGTGAAATGCAGCAATTTTCAAAAAGAGATGAAATATCTTCCTTCTTTTGGTTAAATGCACCGTATCCGGATATAGCAACTGTGCCAATCGACTGCCAACTTTCCATCGAGAAGCGGCGCAGCAGGATGGACACAACATACGATCTATCGAATCCAGACTTTGAAGGGGAACTGACGAAGCGAAGTGTATGGCTAAAGGAGTGGCGCGCGCGATACTTTGTCCTCAAAGGAAATAAGCTCTACTTCTGCCGCGTCAAAGGCGAGAGTCCCCACGGAGTGATCGACCTCTCCGAATGCCTCACCGTGAAATCGGCCGAAGAGAAGACCAACAAGCGATACTGCTTTGAAGTGGCGACGCCGGAATCAACGTACTACATGCACGCTGAAAGCGAGAAGCAGAAGGAAGAATGGATTGGGGCGATTGGTCGCGCCATCGTCAAGTTTTCGAGCTCATTCACTGGTGAAGAAGGGGCGAACGACGAAGAAGTCTAAGGCATGTACAAAGATGCAGAGCTGTAATTCTCCTATTTTATGCCAGCCGCCGTTCACCGACCCTTCCTTTTAACTTACTTTCGACCTGCCACAGCTCCATGCCATGTCCTCAGCACCAGCGTGACAGGGTGAATACCATTCAACATCGACGTTTCATCATGGCTACGCCGTCGCCGGCGCCCACGGCCCGAGCCACTGAATTACGATGCTGTTTACAAGGTCGAGGGGTAATCTTGTGGCAACCACAAGTGCACACTTCGGATCTCGACAAACAGGTCGCAAGGCGTGCCACACCAGTTTCTCGTAGATGACTCTGTTGTCGTCGCCCCTTCGTCGGCCAGCGGCCCACACGTCGAGCGACACCAACGTTCGATCGAGTTCCGATTTGTCGTTCATGTTCAACGGGAACAAGAGGGACCTGACGGCCTTGACCACGTCGCTTGGGGTGCGTCCACTGCGATCTAACGCGTCCAGTGAAGCACTGCGCTCGAGGAGAGCGATGGCCACACGCCATCTGCCAAAGCTGCACGCCACGTGCAACGGAGTAAACTTGTCCGTGTTGGCCACATTCACTTGGGCACCACCGTCGTCTACGAGACACTTGACCATCTCCGCGTCTTTGCAACCGTGCAGAGGTGTGTCACCGTTAAATGTCCTCGCATGCACGTTCGCCTTGTGTTGTACGAGCACACGTGCGATGGACGACAATCCACAAGTGTGCAATGGTGTAGCACCGTCGTATCGTTGCCACTCGACACAGGCACCTCGGCGGAGAAGCAGCAATGCAGCTTCAGCAGATTTGGCGAGATGCAGCGGTGTGGCCTTCCGTTCATCGTTGCAAAGAACATTGGCGCCACAGTGCAGGAGAAGCGTGGCAGCTGGGACGTTGTCCGCGAGGATGGCTTGATGGAGCAAGGTTAGGCCTTTTGAATACAGGTTGACATCGACATGTTCGACGAGGTGCCCGAGAACGTCTTCTCCTTGATGCGCGTGTATCGCTGCTTCGAGGAGGGTGTAGTCGCGGTGGACGCGCATTTGTGAAAGTGCACCCGAGCGCAATTAATTTACACGAGGAAAAAATCGAACGAAAACGAGAGAGGAAGTATACAAAAATTCAGTGTGACCCATCCCATGTACAAACGCTCCAATTAAATCACAAGACCCACATGACGAGGACGACTGCGAGTTTGCGCCGCAGCGGTCACGATGGGCTTACGATCCTGCCAGCCTTTCATGCAATATGACCACATGACACAGCACTTCTCTGTAGATCCGCATTGCTACGACTCGACTATCTCCACCTTGATCCCACGGTCATACGTGACGACAGCAGGATACATTCCTCGCTTGGCGACGTGGAAGGCGACCCCGAGGTCTCTTCCGTTCTTGAAGAAACGCATCTCCGAGTTCGCTGCGTCCAAAACGACCCCAAGCACGTCGCCTGTCTTGAAACGAGTGCAGTACGGGGTATTGTCGTGGCCGTCCTTGGAGCACAGGGCGCCGCGTTGCACGTTCAGGAACCATCCAAACTGATTGAAGTCGAACGGGGAATGTGGCCTTTGCAACGCTTCTTTCCAAAACGAAGGATCTTTCGTCAAGCCGATCGCGACCGTGTTCTTTTGCTTGGTGGTTGGGAACGAAATTCTGACAACAAAGGCATCCGCGGGCTCTCTGGCAATGACGACGTTCCACCCAGAAGACGTCGTGCGCAGCCGGCGGCCATTTCGATCGAACTCTGAATAGTGCCCACATCGCGCTACGTCCCATCGACCAGGGTACAGGTATGGAGTCATGTCGTGGACGGCCACGTTATCGGCTTTGCTGCGAGGACCGCGCTTGCCTGTGGATTTACTCGTTTGAAGGGGCTTAAGCAGTGCGGGAGCGGGAGGTGCTTTCCGAGGCGGAAGAACGCGAACTGGAACTGGAGAGGCGACCCTGGAGCGCTTGGAAGGCGGCATAGTAGGGTCAGTCGATTGATTGTGATCTTCAATGTTGCTGCTCGCGACCGAGTAGTCCTTGTTGAGCAATTCTTCCACGTGGTGCTGCTGTCTCAACAGTGAGGTCGACTGGTCCTCCAACAGACCGAGATGTGAGTTCAATTTCTTCTCCAGCGCGGTGAACGTGGACAAGATGGTGTTCATTGACGCGTGCTGTATTTTCTTGAGTTCTTCAAACTGTTCCTCTTGCTTCGCGAGTTGTTTGCGGCAATGGATCGATTCTGCCTTCAAATCGGCCAAAAATTTACTGTTGACAGACAAGTCGTCCTCGTCGCTGCTCTGAGTCCCGCTATCGTCGTGGCTGCTTCCGCCTGCATGCACGACTGTTTTTCTGTCAGACGTTCGAGATCGCGCATGCTTCCTCGTACCTTTTGCGCTGGGTGAAAACGTTTCCGTCACGACAGTCATCGCGGCAACCTTGTGGGTCTGGACGCTCATGGGGTCGTTGTCGGAATTGGTTGTGATGGGCGAAATTGGAGCTTTTTCCACCTTAATTTGCAAAAAATCGAAAACCCCTCTATTTTTATGTTCCAGTTGAACCTCTTTTGTATGATACACACCGTTGATGTGAGAACGGGTTTGGCTATTCTCAACTGTAAGCTCTGGCCCAGAGTGCTCGACGATGCCCTACCTGCTCACATGGAGTGGTTACTGGTGATATCTGGGGCCAATGCATCCCTATGGGCGGTGGTTCAACTGAGAGAAGCGGCTAGTTGGCCGCGGGTCTCGACGACCTTTTTAAATCACACGGATGGGCTGTGGGAGGCAAAACTGTGAGTCGACTTCATCGCGTTCAACACTGAAAACGTCAGGTTTACAGGTTTGCCATCCAAAGTCCACTCGTTTGCGATTACGACGTACGGCATGGATGACCCGAGCACAACCAGAGACTCGCGAGCTTGAACGCGATTCGTTTCAGTGGTGGTTTGATGACGAGGTGGTTCCACATGGATTCTCGCACTGTGGGCAACGATCTTACTGCTCATCCGAACCTCTCGTCCTGCTCGGAGCGCTGGTTTGTGGTCCAAGCCACATTGTACGACTTCCGCCAAGGCTTGAATTTTTGCTCGTGTGAACGCATGGCGCCGGGATTCTTTGAAAATTGATATCGTGTCCCGAATGAAGTCGCCCATGTCGCCGTTCCAATTTTCAAGCCCATGTGGTGGTCTATAGTCTCACCCGTACGAGGACGTTTACTTGAACTGACACTCGCGCATTCAATTACCTCTGTCCTTAACCAAACCTCAAACAAACTGCGTTGATCCCTGGGAGGTTCCTGGCGGCGGTTGATGTCTTCTACAAAGATACAATATGCCTCTCGACGACTGAAATACCGTCCCAAAAAGTTTCGAGCAGTTGGACAGCAAGTTGAGGAACTCGTATGGTTGCTGCGCAGACTTGACAGTGTACAGTAATTTCACGTCCGGGAAAATGCCGGATAGGCCTTCATCATCCGGATAGATTGCCTCGAAACTTCGAATCCGGATACGGAAGAAAATTTCCATTTTCGACCGTGTGAGCAGATCCAAAACAGCCGAGAGGGATGGCGCGACGTGTGAACCAAGGCAACAAGCGTGCATCAAAGACGTATGAGCGCCCAGGTCTGAGCGAAGAAGAGATCGAAGAGATTCGAGAGGCTTTCAACCTGTTCGACACGGACGGCAGCGGCACCATTGACCCGAAAGAACTCAAAGCCGCAATGCAGTCACTCGGTTTCGAAGCCAAGAACCAGACGATTTATCAAATGATTGGTGACATTGACAAGGACGGGTCGGGCTCTATTGACTTCGAAGAGTTCCTGGACATGATGACAGCCAAGATGAGCGACAAGGATTCTAGGGAAGACATCCAAAAGGTGTTCAACCTGTTTGACGACGACGGAACAGGTAAAATTTCACTGCGGAACCTGAAGCGTGTGGCAAAGGAACTTGGGGAAACCATGTCAGACGCAGAGTTGCTTGAGATGATCGAGCGTGCGGATGGAGACCAAGACGGGGAAATCAACCCCGAAGAATTTTATGCGATCATGACGAAGAAGACATTTACTTAAATGAGGCACATCCACAATTCATTTGATCGTTGTACCTCATGCATTGTCAAAAGTCCTCGCCAAGTTGCTCTTCCGCTCGCTCTTTCGAATGTCTTCGCAACAGCGCACGCGTGTTCGTAAACCTGGTTGACCTCATGTATTTGTTCTCAAGACAGGGCCAACTGTTGTGATCCCCATTTTCTTCTCCATTTTCAACGATTCAATGCAAGGGACGCTTCACCTGGGCATAGGGAGTTTGCCAGATATCGAAGGAAGTTCTTGAGTGCAGAAGAGAGGGCTGGACAATCGCTGCCGAACACGTTTCGTCTGTGCCCATGGTATCATGTGCTCAGTGATTCACATGCTTTGTAAGAAGTTGCAGTAATCGTTCAGGGCGGCGCGATGGGCGTCTTCCTTGGATCGACAATGCTGGCATCATTGCATTGCCTGCTTCCTTGAGGGGCCGGATAACCGAGGATTGACCGGATAATGACATCCGGTAAAGCGCTGGAGAACTAACTGGCACAAGACAAGTCGGCGACGTGACCATGAGCGGCGTTGTGCTGGCTTCCGCTGGTTACGACCACACGATCCGGTTCTGGGAGGCCGCGACCGGTACATGCACGCGAACGGTCAAATACCCAGACTCGGTATGGATCTTACATCGCACATGACTCTGCCACTGACAAGTTGTTTGTAGCAAGTCAACTGCTTGCAGATCACACCAGACAAAAAGTACATCGTGGCGGCGGGCAATCCCCACATTCGCCTGTTTGAAATCAATAGCAACAATCCAAATCCAGTGCGGAGCTATGACGGCCACTCAGGAAACGTGACGTCGATTGGGTTCCAGAAGCACGGCAAGTGGATGTACAGCGGGTCCGAGGATGGCACGATCAAGATTTGGGACCTCCGGTACTCCCTCCTTCCTTCACTCTCCATACCCTAAAGCAATACGTTGGAATAGCGCGCAAGGGTGTCAGCGAAACTACGAGTGCTCTGCGCCGGTGAACTCTGTCACATTGCATCCAAACCAGGTGCGATACTTCGGCCCCCGTCGTTGGCCACGCAGTCACGGAATCCTCCAGGCAGAGCTCATTTCCGCCGACCAAAACGGAAACATTCGCGTGTGGGACTTGACGTCCAACACATGCTCGACCAAGTTCAGTCCTGACAGCGAAAATGCTGTCCGTACAGTGGATATTTCTAAAGATGCGAGCACCCTCGTTGCCGCCAACAACCATGGCATGTGCTTTGTCTACACGCCGAAAAGCTCGTACGTGCACCACGCCTCTACCATTCTTGTCCATATATGGGGTATCGTGGTAGGCAAAACTACGTGCTGCGCCACTCGTGGTCTGCCCACAACGAGTACATCTTGAAGGCACGCATCAGTCCGAACGCTCAGTACCTTGCGACGTGCTCTTCTGACAAGACGGTCAAAATCTGGAACACAGTCGATATGACGCTTCTCCACACGTTGCAGGGCCACCAACGCTGGGTGTGGGACTGCGCATTCTCTGCTGTGTCGTCGTATCTCGTGACAGGTACAGTCGTGTGGCATCTCTGGCATTTGACGAGCGTTTTCGGCAGCTTCATCTGACCATACCGCGCGGCTGTGGGATCTGAGCACAGGGGACTCGATTCGCCAGTACAATGGGCACCACAAGGCTGCCATTTGTGTCGCATTGGACGACAGCGTGCCGGAGGTTGTGGATGCTTCGAGTAAATAAAGGCCCAAGTAAACTCACACCCCAACGATCCATCCATTTTACTTGAGGTGTTGGAACAGCTTTGAACACAAATAGACAGCATCTTCAAATGTCAGGTTGATGGTTAGACGGCGTAGGAGGTGCCAATACCTCCATTCCCCCTGCCATGGTTTCCCATTCCCACTCGCGTGTGACTGCCCTGAAGCGCCACTTCGATGCTCAGAGCTGAATCGTGATGCCGGACGCTTCCTTCTACGACTTGACTTGAGCGCCGACCACGTCTCTCCGAGCAGGCTGGTCCACAGGCGTACCAACGCCCAACATCCGTTGAGTGTATTGACGGCTCTTTCAACATTTCGGTGACCATGGCTTTCGGACTCGGGAATATCGCGTTGAGGGTCCAGCAACCACACGATCAAGAGCGGCGTGAAGTTGGTGATGTCATTTGTGGTAGCAGCTATATTTTCGCGGATGGGAATACTCCTGGACTGATCATGTATTATCCACAACGCCACAACGATTCGGCGCCTGCTGAACTTGGAAGTTTCGTGA